GCCGCTCCAAGCCAAGGATACTTTGCCGGGGCAACTCGGCTTTTTCGGTTGGCACGTCGATTGCAGACTAGCGCGTTTTGTCGAGAAATTAGGAGACAGACGAACTCCGAAGTCCAGCAGTTGAAGTGGAATATAGAGGAATACTTGATCGTGGATGGGGCTTCCTTTTCTATGTGCGGATCGTTAGTTTTTTTTGGGGCAAGGGGAATGTTTAGACGCCATGCATTATTCTTAACCCTGCTTAAAAGGCTGTGGCTCAAAAAACCGGTACCAAATGGCACCTTGGTAAGTGGAAACATGGACCAAAACCCGTGTAACTTGTAACCCCTCCAGTTTAATTTTGAGCCATAGCCAAATGGGGGCTTGATCATCCTTATGACGGCCCTTTGTTATGGTTGCGGCACATGCCGCAAGGAAAGCCGCCGGTGGCGCGGCAATTCTTCTCCACTTGCAATATTTTGGGTGTGGCTCAAAGTTATACAGGAGGGGTTATCCACCTCGAGGCCCAGCTCCTGCCTCGGGATTTTTTTTTGCCAGAGGGCAGTTCTCCCTTTGGATTCCCTTCACATGGGTGTGGCTCAAAATGAAACAGGAGGGGCAAACCGCAGGTTTTTTGGTCATCATGTTTCCACTTACCAGGGTTCCAGTTTGGGACCGGTCTTTTGAGCCACAGCCATTTTGGGAAACTGCTTGTTGGGAGACCCCCGCAGCAAAATTAACATAGCGCCAGGAAGCCAGTCAAAGATATCTGAGAGGAACTCGCCAGAAATTCGCGCAGCGAGGTGTGTCTTTGTTTTGGGGTTCACTTGAGGGCATCAAGTGGCTTTGAAAAACCAGAGTCTGAAGCTCTTTACAAGGAAATCAGGGAAACATGAGGGAGGATGCAAACTTTCCTGGCTCGGTCCCCAAATGCTCAAGATGGACTAGGGTACAACTGCAGAAGCAAGTGGGCAGTTGACGTGCCAGCGTTTCTGCTTCGTTTCTTGCTGGTACCGAGGCCGGGTTTTGGGAATGAACTGCTTGGGCATCCGCAAGAATTCCATAGGATGGATGGTTGTTTCTCGGGGGTCATTCCCTTTCTCATTCCCTGCCCTTCCATTTGCTAAAGAGTATCTGTTATTTGCCCCTGGTGGGATAAAGGACATCTATCTCCACAAGTATGTCTATGTTTTCCAGGGGACGAAGAAGCAAATGTCACTTTCCTTTCCCCCCTCTTGTCCTCATTTGGGTGTCCATCATGTTCTCCTCCAACCAGAAACGAACCAAAGGTTTCCACCCCCCGCCCGCTGACGAGGTCTCGGTGGCCGAGAGCTCCCAGCGCTGGCTGCGGCCCCTGGCGGGGGCGCTGCGCCGCGCAGCGCCGGGGACCCGGCGGGGCCAAAACCAAAGAGGATCCAAAGCTCCTCGAAGAGTTTCCGGTTGATTCAAAGGGATCCCCGGTTTATTTTCCAAAGAAAGGGGTCAGGAGCCCCTTTGCAAAGGGTCGCGGAGAGTCTAGGTACAAGTTTTTGCCATCCCCCCGGGAAGTACATGCTTCGATGCATGTGGCTGTGGCTCAAAAAACCGGAATTCCAAACTGGAACCCTGGTAAGTGGAAACATGATGACCAAAAAACCTGCGGTTTGCCCCTCCGATCGTTTCATTTTGAGCCACACCCATGTGAAGGGAATCCAAAGGGAGAACTGCCCTCTGGCAAAAAAAAATCCCGAGGCAGGAGCTGGGCCTCGAGGTGCCGCAGCAGGAGCTGGAGGAGATGCAGCTGCGACTCGCCTCAAGTCCTGCGTCCCCTGGCAATTCACCGCCCCCCCCCCCCCACCCGCCCCACCCGCCCCCCCACCCGCAAGAAAGCAAAACAACAGTAGTGATATGTACAACCAATGCTACAAAAAAAAGATTAACTACGTAGTTAAGTATTGGCACTTGTTGGGGTGGGTAGGCTGGAGGGTTTTTTTTTATTGGTAAATACCAAGAAGGGATTATAGCCCATATGGGTCCCATATGACCATATGGGTTTGATTGAAAATCATGGGCCCCTCCCCCCAAAAAATACCCTTTGGGTTCTATAAAAGACACGCCCATCTGAGCTAAGTTCCCCATCAAGGAATTGAAAGTCCAAGGAATTTTAGGACCCCGGCAAATCAGGTACCCCTTAAAACAATTGGTGGTTTGGTGGTTACGTTTGGCCCTAGTTCCTTTTGAAACTAAATGGGGAAGGTACTTTCTATCGTCAAAACCAAGCCAAGCCAGCAGTCAGGCTAAGGTGACCCAACCTTCCCCCACCCCTTCTCCTCGAGGCACTGCTCCCTGGCCTGGACGGTGTCGAATCTACGGCCGGCGCTGGAAGCAAACAACGCACAACTGCAGGCGCGGGGGCGGGAGGACACAGGGGGCCCCACTTCAACGGGTAGGGCACTTAGGTGGTTCGGAAGCTTAGCATAATTATGAGGGGGGCTTGTACCAAAAAGGTTGAGGGGGTTGTAAGCATGATTTGTCACCTACGTTCCCTTCATCCTGGCTTTGAGATGAACTTCATACCTCCTGATCCTTTTTTATGTGTCCCTTTCCTCGGTATCATGCCGGCCTAACACGAGGGGGAACATGAGGTGCCGGTGGATGAATGTGCTGCCTTGCATCCCTGCTCCGGAAGCGGCGTCAGGAGAGCCCCTACGGGCGGGTGTGGTCGCTGGAGGCACCTTGGACGAAGGGAGCTCGGCGGTCAAAGTGGGATGTTGGCGAGATACTCACTTGCCCAGCGCCGGCTTTTTTTTTAGCATTTTGGTTTATAATGAGTCAAGGTTCCGAAAGGTTGACCTTGTATTTCTCAGTTGCCCGTTTGGGCAACTGAGACTCGGAGAGTACAACATGACAGCTCGCCAATCTCCTTTAAAGGAATCAGCCTTCATTTCCTGAGAGGACTCCATGAGTTGCTTGCTTGGAATGACTCCCTGGATTGATACACCAAAAGGATTCCCGCAAAAGACCCCAGCATCATTTTTTTTTTGGGAATGACTCCCTTAAAAGGATTTTTTTGTTGGGAATGATTCCTTTAAAGGATGGCACGTCCCAAGGCTTCGCTTCTGGACTCATTCCATTCCCCGCCCGAGGCTCCGCTGTCAAAGGCCGGGGCTTACGCTCGTCGTGGCCTGGGCTTAGGCGTTTTTCTTTGGGGAAGTGATGCCGTTCACCTGGATTTGCAGGTAACAAGGGGGAACCACCCTGCAAGAACCAAGAGGAACATGGCTGGTTGCCTGATTGCTATAGTGGGAAATGGGATCTGCACTGGGGTTGAGGTTTCAACATCTGCTACCCGAGCTAGAATCCGAGAAACGAAGATGGCGAAGGGTCATCCGCTACAGTGGGATCTGGGATGAAATGGTTTTGAGGTTTCAACACCTAAATGCCTTTTCTGCCACGTTTGTACCGTGGTCACTGGTTGCAACCCTGCCTTGAGCTGTCCTTTGAACCGTCAATCTTGAAGTTTCCTGGGGCAACTGAGCCGGTACCCCCTGCGAATTGACATGGGGCCCAAAAACAAGGCCCCCCAAGAGCAGATTCCTCTCAAAGGGTGGTTTTAGGCCATGTTAATCTGCTCGCGGGTATATAACTTCTTTCGAAACATTGCGGAATCATCGGACCAAACAAATTCCAATAGTTCTATGCTTCCTAAAATCACCGATGTTGTTTCCCCAGCCCCACGAGGCAAAAAGCTTGGCGTCTCTACACTGAACTTGTGGCAAACGCACCATGTCCCACTTGCCCGGAGAGAGTAGCACTGTTTTGCAACATTGCCGGAAACCCAGAAGACTGGCATCCAAATTCCCAAAGGACATCCAAAAAGCCAGGACCGCAACTATTCAAAGTTCAAACCTTGCAGGTTCTCAGCAGAGAGTGAGGGAACAACTTCCAAGAACCATCCCTTGTGCTTTCCTGAAGGGGGAAGGTTCATTCCCAACGCCCGGACTAGTTGTCATTCCGTACCTGCCGCGCCAGAGACAAGCGATTCCTGGAGCTGAGGTCCAGAAAAGAGTTACCATCTTCCAGTTGCTTAAGAATATGTTGTTTTTTCCCCTGTTGGTTTTAAAGGGAATCTATCACTACTGGACATATTTTCACGTTTTCCTTCAACAGCCGAAACCCCCGACTTGGCGAGCGGCGAGGCGCTGCGGCTGCGGGCGCGCTGCCTGCACGCGAGGATCGGGGATCGCACCAGCGAGCTCAGCTTTCCAGGCACGCGGAGCTTGCGGAGCCTGGGGCTGGGGGAGGGAGGGGAGGGAAGGGCAGCTTAGACCAAGAGATGCACTCAGTTTACCTGCCACACCAAGCGAACAAGCTTGTTTTTGTTTGGGGCAAAACGAGAATAATGCTTGGTCGCGATTTTCTGGTGTGTATGCTTGGCATGCATTTGAGTTCTTGTCATATCTGAGTCTTTGTAGGCACTATGCTGGAAGTGCCCGCTCTTAAACCTTTTGCTTTTAAGATGTGTTCCTTTCAGCTGGGACGACAAGGATTTTTCAAAGAATGGTATCGAATCTAAATCGGCCCACTTCAATTAGAGCGTCCCTCCAAAAAATGCGTGTTTCATCTCCATGTCCACTTTAGAAGCCGACCAGAATCGAGGTCCTCATTCCTGAGTTCCAGCACTTAATAGTTTTTTGGACAGCCATTTCAGTGGCAGACAAAAGAACAAACCCATGCGCTTAGGAATATTTGTTCTTTCCCCTTTTCTGTTTTACAGGGAATCTATCGCTACGGACTTTTTCCTCGTTTTTTCAAGGAGGCGTAACCAAATGGAACACATTGTCGTCAGTCTTCTTGGCAAAATCTCAGGCAGAGTCTCTTTGTCGGATTCGCCCCACGCATTCGCCAGGCTCGGAGGCTGCTGAGCCTGCCGATGCCGACGGCTCCGAGAGCTCGTAGCAAAAGAGCGCGCGTCATGGGACCCTTGGACCCCGGCCGAATATTTTGCTTTCCGTTTATGGCTGGCTTCGAATCCCTCGCAGGTCCCAGGCATGGTGCAGCCGCCGGTGGAAGCGAAGAAGTCGGAGTCGGAGGCGGCGACGTGTTGAAGCCAAGTTTGCTTTGTGTACGGGCTGAATCCTTTGTTGGTTCTGGGGGGGGGGGGAGGGGGAAGGGGGTAGTTAAATTGTTGTTTGGCTGAATGCAACTCCTTGATTGTTTCAGAGGTGCATTTTGCTTGGATTATGGATGTTAGGACTTTAACTTGTTGCCAAGTAATGGGTTTTCCATTAAACCACTAGAAGTTAGTCACTTTTAGCAGGGAGCAGAAAGCAACTGAGTTGGTTCGTCCAGGGCTCATACTCTGGATGGACGAAGTCCATTTCGCACCACTTAAGAAACCCTGCTTCCATGTGCGGAAAGGTTTTTTTTGTTTTTCTTTAAATTAATGTTCCCCTCTTGGTTTTAAAGGGAATCTATCACTGATGGACATACTATTTTTCCAGGGGTCTTAACCAAATGGAAGCCTGGTTTCTGAGGATCCCCCTGCAAATGCCAACAAACAATGGGTTCTTCTGGTTTCAAAGTGGTGCAGGACTTAATCCATCCACAGTAGGTGTCCTTTTGATCGGTTAGTGTGCTCAAAAATATGGCCCTGGTTTAGGTGGGTCTGATTGCATATACCAGGGCCATCTATTTCCCAAAAGAACAGCTATGCGATATTAATGTGGTATTTTTTGAATAAAAAACAAACTTTATAAGGTTTGGAGTAGGATTTTGGAATTTATATATGATTTAGATTAGGTGTTTGTTTTAGTTAGATGTTTTGTTTTAGATTTGGCTTCCCCCCTCAGGCAAATTGTCAATTGCGGTTTGGAGCCCGGTGGTCTGGATTTGGAGTTGAACCCCTGGTTCTTGTAGAGAGGCAAATGGGAAGCCACTCCCAGAATTCGAACCACAACTCCAAACCGCCAATTAGAGGGAAGCTGATCCACTGGACAAGCACTCGGATCGTCTTGGGCTTAGCTAAGTGGTAGCTAACCCCGGTTATAAGCCACTTAAGGCCTTAGGGGCTTACAGCCACTGTACTGTAGGCGGGGTTCTACACCGCTTACTCTCCTGAAGAACCATAGGTGGGTGTTGTTGGGTGGCTTAATAGGGGGATCCACAAGGAACCCAACCATGTCAGGGGCCCCCCCTATCTGGACACAATCCCGTAATATTCAAACCCAACAACCAGAAACGTTTGCACATGGACACACATATATCGCCCTCCTAAAGGCAAGCACCCGACCTTTTCTGTAACGGGACATCTTCTTTGGGCATCAGTCGTTCGGGTTTGTCTTATCAATTTTTAGAGGGCACTGAATGCGTGTGAGCTGACCAAACTGGTGGTAAAGCTGCTGTGTTGTTTGTTTGGTTTATTTTTGCTTGCTTGCTTTTTCTGCCGTGAGGAGCGGAGCAAGTCGTCCAGCCGAAGATCCAGCGAGCCGTCGTCAAGCTCAAGTGACAAGAAGAAGAAAAAGAAGAAGAAGGTGGGCTGTTCAAATCAATCCCTTCCATTTGCTTAAGACTATGTTTATTTTCTCCTGTTGGTTTTAAAGTGAAACTGTCACTACAGGAAATATGTGTTTGTTTGTTATTTTTCCAGGGGTCGTAACCAAATGGAAGATCCTCAAGCCAAAGACCAGAGGGTAATTAATGGCTTCCTTTTATTGTAGTGCCCTGTCTACGGACTAGACTGAGGGATTCGTTGCTCAGAGGATTCCCACCCTTGGAATCCCTCTTTGGTGGGCTTGGAACGCACTGGGAGGAGTCAGCAGACATTCTGGGCAAATGCCGAAGGTCCCAGATTGGAAGGTTCGTTTCACAAGGATGACCCTTTTCAGATTGGCAAATTCTAAAAGCCCCCCAGCTTGTGTTTAACATGGGGGGCCTGAATGGTCGGCTTCTTCTCGTTACATGAAAAAAGCCAGGGCTACCTCTTCAGACAGATGCCCTTCTTTGCCCAGAGGTTACAGGCTTTGAGCCAATGCTGGCAGGACAAAAAGAAGAAGAAAAAGAAGAAAAAGAAGCCGCCGCCCCTAGCCGCGCTCGACCTTGAGGCTTGCTCCAAGGACCAACGAAGATGGCCTCATGGAAATCCCTCACCAGTGTTCTGCCCAGAGGTGGCTGTTCCATTGCTCGACTGTAGGAAGAGGATAAACGTGTTGAAAGACAGTGGTGTTGAAGCCTTCAGTCATCATGTAGGTTTCCCTCTTCATGGTTGTTGTTGGGAAACATTTTACATTTTTGCTTATTGTGGTTTAGTGGTTGAAATCCCCGCTTAACTGCTAAAATTTATTTTTGTTGCTCCCCTTCCAACGTCAATTAAGTTGTCCGTGGCCTCTTTACGCCAGCTTCTTGAGAACGAAACTTGAAAGCTCCAAGTTTGATTTGTGGTCGTTCGGCAGGGTTGGGGTAGAGCCTGGGCCAACCCAGGAATGAAATAGTATAATAGGTTCCGTGTGTTTTGGTCTCCCTTTTCAGGACACACGGGTTACCTCAGTGATTTGGAGTAAGCCGCTCTTTTTTTGCAGCGGCTGGAACCAACAACGCTGGGTATTGAGGGTTCAGGGAAACCCAACAGAAACCCACAGAAACCCGGAACGCCATATTCTGCGGAGGGTTCTGACATATTCTCAGGTTGTTGTTGGGTGCACATGTCTTCGGCATTAGGGGAAATGTGTTTTTTCCCCGAGTTACATATATTGATAGGTTGTTGGGTGTGTTCGGCATTCGGGGAAATGTTTTTCGCTGTTTTTCCCCCCCCCCCCCCCCCGAGTTGTTTAGTTTTTTTGGGGGGGTCCTCGGTGGTTTCTCGGCTGCGCTCCTTCGCGCCCAGGTCCAAGAAGAGCGACCGCTGCGGGCGGCTCAGGGTTTCGGGCCCATGGGCCGAGCTCCGCGGAGGGAGCGAGGGAGCGACCGAGCGAGGGATTTTCCTTAAGGTTGAATCTGGATGAAGAAACCCCGGTTTGTTCATATGGGGGTGAGGGCCCCTCCAAAAGTGGTCTGAATCCCCCACTAAAACCGGGGACAATTCCTTTTTTTGAGAAACCGGGGTATATTAATCCGGGGTCAACATTGTTGGTTTTTTCCCTAGCAAGTTGCCTTTTCCACGAACGGTTTTAAAGGTAAACCAGCCGGAAACCCAAACTCTAATTTGGGTGGTGGGTAATGTTGACCCCATATGAATCAACCAACCAGTTTAGGGGCGTGCCTGGGTTTGGAATCGGGAAGGCCACTTTTGGAGGGGCCCCCAGCCTCCGAATTGAACAAACCGGGGTTGATTTTACTTTGCCTAGGGATCCCAAATTTGTGTTTTACAGGGTTTGGGCTTAATCTTGTATCCGGTGACTGGGGTTCAAACTGTTCAAACCGGGGGGTCACACATCTGGCTGCAAATTGTAAGGAGCTTGACTGGGGGCCAAGACGTGCTTCATCAAGACAAATCTTTACTCGGGGCTTTCCCAGATATCCATTTGGTGAGTTAGTCTGTTTGCCCAGACTTGGTCCAAGCCAGGGATTCAAACCAGAGATTTAACAATGGGTTTAACTCAGTTTCAGAGTGTTCAATCGGGGGTTGCTCGGAGCCTCCCAACAATGACCAAACATTGTTTGTGTAGAAATCGGGGGGCCCTTGATGCTCCTTCCTTGTAGGCAAACATATGATACTGCTTCCTGTGCTGAAGATGTGCTTTTTCATGAGCCATTGCCATGCTTTGCAGCGGGTTGTGTTCTGAAGGAATTTCACCTTGATGGCTGCTTGGACTTGTGTTTGACCTTTACCTTTCTGGCAAAGCGCCTCTCTTTCTACAAGCCAGCAACAAGTGTATCTTTTCGCAGCATGCTGCTGAGGCTTTGATTCCCATCGGTTATGGGTCAGTTATCCCCCCGCCCCCAGTACAGGTTTATTGGGACCTTTTGGAGCTTGTCTGGCTGGACAACCGTCCCCCTTTGATTTAGTTGGGGTATTTGGTAAGGCGTGTTGAAAAGACCTTTGTGTGTCCCAAAACTGTGGGCCCTGTTGGAGGAATGCCAACGTCGTCCCAAACAACTCTTCAGCAGATATCTTGGGGCAAGTCCATCCCAGCGTTCCACCCCAAGCAAACGTGGTTGAGGAGATGGCTTTAGGCTTTAGACCACCTTTTGTTCAACGCACCCTTAGATTTCCCCAGAAACATCCACTGATTCAAAGCCATAGCGGATTGATCTGATCTGACCCCTGAATAGCCCTTAGCCCCAAACGCCACAGATAGCCATGTGAGGTTCAGGCTTCCGTTGCTGTGGCCTTGAACCAGGATACATGAGAAAGGGGGGCGGCAGAAGGAGTCCCCTGTTTGCACAGGGGAGGTTTGCATGCTGATTCCCATGGCGTTCGCGCGGCTCAAGGTCAACAGTGGCCGGAAAGGCTTCCTCTTAAGTGTTGCCTGTGGATTTTTGTCAAAACATAGTTTTGACATGCGTGTTTTTTAGAGGCTCTGCCGAGACCCTACACGAGGCCATATGGGATGCATGAGCAGGCCAGTCAACATCCCCCGCGGAGTCCGAAGCTTTTGCATGCCAAGCATGCGGACCCAGAAGCGCCACAAGAGCCTGGAAACAATTCATTGTTTTGTTGGCGAGTGAGCTTCAGCCAAGAACATGGAGCACGATGCATCTGTTTGTTGGCGAGTCCCACTCGGCGGATAATTAACATGCACTCACCCATGGTGAAGGTCGTGTATTTGGGGATCTTTTGCTTCAGGCGTTGCGACAAATGCAACAGTTGCACAAAGTGCGGCAGCTCACTCGAGGGGCGTCCCTATGGTTCATGATGCCTCTGAATTCCTTTGCTTGAAGGCCCTGAAATGCAATCTTGCTTAGCCTTCGGGCCCAGGGCCGTGACAGGAGGATGTACGCAACTTGTAGGAACACACTTAGGTAACTTAGGTATGACACATCATTCGGGATCCTTTAGGGGTGTCCATGGATGTTTGATTTGGTCCACTCGCCCATGTCAGACGGCGATCTTTGCCTGGCCTTTCCCAGTGGCGCCTTACGACAAGAAAAAGCTCGCCTTTAAAATGGGCAAAAACCGGGTGAGATGTGTAAGGCCGAACATAGGCGGAGCCCAAGAAGAACAATGCCAGCCCCGAGAAGACTGAGCTCCCTCTTGCGGCGAGCGGGCGAGTTCGCCATGGTCCAAGTGGCGGGGCCCTCGACGGCGTTTCTGGAGTTGGAGAAGCAGCCGGAGCTTTTGGAACGGCCCTGCTTCATCCTGGAGAACCAGCAGCCTCTCGAGCCGCGCATTTGGGGCGTATTTTTGCTCATTGGTTGGACCCTGTGGACATCATCTAGGGGATTCATGTCCAACCGCAACAGGGAGCGAGAATGGGTGTGTCTCTTGTTTTGGGGTGTACCAGGATTTTGGCCCCAAATTCGGAGCCTACACATTTTAAGTGGTTGGACCATCTGTTGTGGTGCTGGCACACGTATGCGCACCCTCAGAAATCAAGGACCCTTACACTGGTTCTCCAACAGGGGCACCTGAAACAAAAGTTGGCTGGTCATGGCGACCAAAGTTACCGGTCCCGACCTTGAGTGCTTTAAGCTGCTAACTTTTGGGCCATGTGAAACCGTGCTGCAATGTTTAGTTACATAAACTTGGAGGTGTTAGGGGTATGCTTCAAAATGCACATACACGCCCCGACTTCCAAAGAATTGTTTAACTAACTGCCTACAGAAAATGACACCGCTGCAGCTTACTGCAGTGGTTGTCTTTGATGACAGTCACTTCCCATCCGGGTTGTTCAACAACTTGTTATGCCTGATGGTAGTGGTTTCTCTTGTTTTCGTGGGGTCCCACTGGAGATGGCAGATCAGCTAGGATTTGAGATCCTCCATTTTGAAGAAACCACTTTTCGGTGCTACTATACAGGTTACCTACTATAAGGGAAACAAATTCTTCAGTTCCTTCATGAAGGAACTGGGATGCTCAGGCCCGGTGCTGATCGAGAAAGCCTTGGTTGCAAGTCTTTCAGTGGGTTATGACCATTGCTGTTTCACCACTTGCACGGGCGAACGTAGATGGCACAATTCCCTTCAAGTGGGCGGGTAAAGAGGATGACAAAACCAAAACGCACGAAGGAATCTCGCCCAATCTTGGCTCGCCCTGTGACGTACCCGACACACCCCTGCCGCCCGCAGAGCCCCGCTTTGGTTTATCGTATCCTTCTATTTGCTGAACAAATATATATGTTTGGCATTTCCCGCAGTTGGTTCCGAAGGGAATTGAATTTCACTACTGCCTAGACTCTCCATGACCCCTAGAAAATGGGGTCCTGACCCCCTAATTTTAGGCAATGACCAACCATTTTTTAAGGGTCATGGGGACTCCAGGTGGACATATGTTCCTAACTTTTCCCGGGGTCGCAACACCAAGTGGAAGTCTCCGCAAGCCGTAGAGCCCAAGAGCTGGGAGGATGGGGTGGTCTGGGGCGTGGGAGCCCACGCCGACGGAGCAGTTCAAGAGTTGGGCGGACCGGCTGGTGCAGGAGGGTCTGGGTCCGAGGGGCGGGGGGGGGGCGTTTGGCCGCCAGGGGGGCAAGGGAGGTGGAGGGGCGGCACGGGGGGGTGCAAGGGGTTTAGGGGAGGAGGGGGGGGGGGTTGGTGCAAGGGGGAAACGGGTCCGTGGTTTAGGGTTGGTTTCGGGTTGGTTTAGGGTTGGTAAAGGGTGGGCTGAGCATGGCTGCCAATTTGGATTGGGTTTCAAGGGATTCCCACCAGTTCGGGAACCGGCGAAAACAAGCGATCAGAAGAGGTGGGTCCTTTACTTGAGGTTCTCATTCTGGCTTCAGGTTTGCACATTTGTTTTTTAGAGTTTGCAGCTGGGTTTGGGAAGTTCGGGCTTGCCCCCCCCCCCTCACCAAATTGACATGAAACTAGCCTTTTTGTGTTTCTTTCTCTCCCTGGGGGGGGGGGGCGCTCGTGCTACCAATGGAAGGGTTCAGCCTTGATAAGGTTTGGGGAGTTGGGATTACTCCCCCCTTCCCCCGCAAATTGACGTGGAACCCAGCAAAGGGATTGCTGAACAACTGTATGTGTTTTGTTCAGAGAATACTTGTTCTGAAAAAAACCAGGAAGTTCCTTTTGGTATGGTCAAGTTGGAATTTGGTGTGTTTGTGTTTATAAGATGGAATCCACGATTTAACCACTTGGTGGATTCATAGTTTGTTTGAGCCAATAAGGACCCCTTTGAAATGGGACGTTTGTCTGCCGAGTCTGCTTCAGCATAAACGCAAAACTGGGATCGGAAACTGGAGTCCCGCTAAGTCAGCAAGATAGTCATAAGGAGGGGGTCGAGGGAACACGGCACCAACATAATTGTCCAGGCGCGCGGGATGTGGTCCAGAACCTTCCAGCGCAACTCCAGGAAACGACAACCAAGCAGTGTATCTTAGGGGTGCCGAGAGCACCAAGGACCCACGCTTTCTAAGTGTGGGTGAGGTGTACCACTTGCCTTTCAAGTCAACTTTCATACGTAAAGATGCTGCCTTAAACCCGGGGGCGCTGCCCCGGATTTTGAACCGCCTTGAAAGGACCCTTCCACGTGGGGTTTTCTTTGCCAGGAGCGGCCCCCGCCCTTCCAAGCCCTGCGTCTTGGCATAAGGAAAGCGGAAAGCAACACGGGTGAGCGGTGAGTCCACTCATGCTCCAGATCGGCGGGTGAGAGGTGATGTCATTTTTTTTGCCCAGATGTTGGCCCTTGGGGCCTTGAGGGCCAATGCTGCGGTCTTGGGCCATGTCAAAAAAAGGTTTTGCGGGTTCATGAGCATGTGCTTTTGTTGGGTTTGCTAGCGGTTTCTGCTGGCATTGGGCCCCCCGCCCCCAACTAAGATAGGGAAGTGGAGGGAAGCAATGTATGGAGGAGTCCCATATGGTGTTTGTAATTGGGGAGTGGGAGTGCCAGTTTCAACACGGATGTGATTTAGACAAGGCTCACGAAATGATGGGAACACATCACATTTCCCACCGGAGACAGAAGAACGAGGTGCCCACTCTCCTCAAGGCAGTAGCCTTGAGCCTTGCAATAAGTGGGCCCTTTGTACCCCCAGAACATTGGTGTACACATACACTCCCCTGGAGGTTGATCACTATTCCCTTCCATTTGCTTAAGAGTGTGTTCTCTTTTCTCCTGTTGGTTTTGTAGGGAGTCTATCACTACGTGTGTTTTTTTCCCGGGGCTCGAAAAAAGAAATGGAAGTTCCTGGCCCCAAAATGACCATGGGAGCCACAATCAAAACCGGGGTAGATGAAGGTTAGTAAGGGGCACTCCCAACCAAAAATAGCTGCGGCCGCCTTCTTAATTCTTTACATGGTTCTGGGTCCACCATTTCAATGCCAGGTTTTGATTATCTTTTGGTACTAAGGGGTCGTTTCCCTCAATAGTGAAGGATCCCCTCTTGAATGGGGACGCCGCAACCCTATTACAAGGGTGTACCCTCACCCAGCTAAAGGGTACCCAGGACAGCTTATGCTTACGTTTGTGAAGGGACCTGATGGCATAAGGAACGCGGATGGAGCTGCTTGGCTGAACAGATTTGGCGTTGACGCGTGGCCAAACCTTAATGGCCGGTTTCCACTAGCCCTGGGTTTTGGTCGGCACCATTCCCCCCGAAAGACAGACTTTGACGTCACCCAAATCACGTCAAAGGGAAGGTGTCGCTCTTGGGCCCCTATATAGAAATTATCTTCGGCCTGTGAGACCTGATGACTTACCCAAGGTTTGTAGACTTATTTACCATACATATACGCTGCGATACAAATGTATATGTAAAGTACTGGCATATACGCATGTACACATGCATAGAATATGGACATACATATAGACGCATGCTCCTCTTGACAAATCGAAACACGGACCCGTGGAACCCAAGAGTCCACATTTTGTAGGGTCACTGGTAAGGGTAGTACTTGTTATTCCCTCAGGAAATTTAAACAGGGATTGGCATGCAAAGGATTTGCCGAGTTTTTTGGGCAGTTCTGTCGTGTCAAATGCAAGATTATTCCCGCAACAGTCAGCTGCCCTGGGCTGTTCAAAGATAATCCTTAATCCTTACCTGGTTTTCGCAAGGGGTTTCGTTTGTAGTGGCTTCACCACAAAGATTATGGAAAATAGGATTGGCAACCTGCACCATATTGAACAGCCCAGCTACCAATTCAGGGTGCTCTTCTTCCTTTGCACCGGAAACCCGGGCAAAGGACATAGGAGCAGTGAGTCATTGCCAGGTGTTAAGTGGCAAAGCCCCGTACTCCGGCCGTGCATATTGGATGCGTGTGTGCCCATAAAAGTTGCGGCTTCGAGGGGTTCCACCCATTCCGGAACCGGCAAAACGAGTGATTTCGCCTTAAGCGAATCAACCTGAAATGACCTTTTCGTTCAGAAAGTCATGGTCACCTATTTCTGGGTCCTTTAGGCGTCAGATTTTGGGCATACTGTGGATGACGAGATCCTGCACCACCTAAGAAACCTTGGAACGATGATGCCCCTGTAATACCAACAAATGGTTCCACCCATGGTTTCTTGGGTGCGGGATTTTGTTCATTCACAGAGCTCCTGGGGCTTTCAATGAAAAACCCGACCCCTCCATTAGGCACCCTGGAGGTGTTTGGGACCTGGTCTCAAAACCTGGCTGCTTGGGCCCTAAATACCTCGACAGCCTCTGGGTCCACAGTACTGTGGATGAACAAAATCCTGCACCACCTGAAAAACATGGGAATTGTTAGGGGAATTATTATTGCAGGGTTTCGTTAGTGGTGCAGGATTTCGTCCATCCACAGTATTGCGGCAAAACGATGCCGGGTTTCGAGTTTTCCTTTGGAGGTCTTGATGAGGGAGTGCACCCCGAGCCTTGGCAGCATCTGTGCTGGGTCGGAGAAGGGAATAGGAGCAGCTGAGTGGACGAGGGCGACTCGTACGGGTGCGTTTAATTTTAAGGGGACCCCACCAAAACAAAACAAAGTAAAACTAATAATGTGGTTTTCCTTTTGACTTCCCTAAAACAAACACAAGCACAGTGTACCCTCATAAAGGACACGCCCAAGACTCATGTACTTCCATTCCCTTGGTTACATGCGTCCCCCCCCAAAACTCAAAAGGGCTGGCTGGGCAAGGGCAAACCCGGGGTGGGGGAATTGGGTCAGGTGCGGTTGTGCATCCTGTGAAAGATGACCCCAGGGAGGAGCTCCGGGACCTCGTCTACGAGACCGGTGAATTGCAGCACCTCTACGGGCCGCAGGTGGCGGGTTTGGGCTGGGTCCGGGATATGCTAGAAGGGGGTGGGGGGCGTGGTGGGTTGGGGCGGGGTGGGGCGTTTTGTTTGTTTGCCTTTTTGCCGGCGAGGTACTTTGAAAGGACCGGAAACTGGGGTTGGTGTCTTTGTTTCGTTGGGTTGCAAGCTTCTCCCCCTTTTGCAAGCAAGTCCCAGCCCCTCGTGTATGCACAAGCCACGACCCAGAGATGAGTGCAACGACTATGCATACCAAGGCGCGCACACACACATTCGTATACAGTATATGTACATACATACGTATATTTGAATACGTACACATGTACATACATACATATATATATATATATGCATACATGTACATGCATATGTCTATGGTAGGTGCGCACTGCAGACTGCATGCTCATTTGGGCTCGGCCACTTTGGGCCTTGTTTGGGTGGAGTCCATACCTTTGAATCTGCCCTAAAAGTCGCCCGAAGAAGACTTCCATTTGCTTAAACATATGTGTTATTTTTCCCTGTTGGTTCTTAAAGGGAACCTATCACTACTGGACATATTTTCTCGTTTTTCCCAGGGGTCGAAAAACCAAATGGAAGGGGACGCGCTGATTTTCCGGACCAAAACCGCGCCTCTGCAAGGTGGACGCGACCACGGACTGCGAGGGTTGGATCTATGCCACAGCTCCGGCGAGGCGACTTGGGACTTGGCGGACTTGGGGCGTTTGGGCCTGGCGTTAAGGGCCGGGGCACCAGCCCTGAATTCTAGGGGTTGGGTCCTTGTCCATTCTTCTCAACCATCGTTCCTTTCGTTCACAAGCTGTTTCTCATGTTTTTGTTTTTTTTGTGTGGTTTTCTCCTAGGTTTCCGCTAGGATGCAGAATAGACTACAGAAAAAAGTTGGTAGCCTTATTCTAACCTCTCTACTGGAGGACCGGTTTAGTGGGGAGCACTGTTGAAATGGGGTGAACATTACTAGTCAGCTTCCCCCAAATGTGAATGTCGGGTTGGGCAGACCCCCTGGCCCCCTTTGAGCAAGAAGTTCTTCACTTTGATGGGTGACAGTTTCTAGTAATAGGTCCATCAATCAATTGGCTATGAGGTTTCATCCGGCAGCCCTCAAAAGTGGTGCTTTGGATTGGCCCAGGGACTTGAAGTAAATGGGCAGGCACCCCGCCCGCACCAATCACCAAGAAGGAGGGGGTAAGAAATGCGAGATGGGGATATTTGGGGATCTAAGTGCCACTTGCAGCTCGTCAAACTACCACAACACACGCCACTTGATTGCTGTTGTGCATCTGGGAAAGCAAGTCTTTCCCTGTGAAGTAGCTGAGCCATGCGCAAAGATAGCCAAATGTTAGGGACTCATGGTGAGCATTCGCATATACATAAACATATTAAACATGTCCATTCGTGACCGTGTCTACGTATATGGAGTTTATCTAGGTTGTGTACAGCTGTTCATATATGCGTGGGATTGTTGAAGAACAACCTACATTGCCCTGTGGAGGTCTGGAAGTCAGAGTTTCTGCCAGACGCCCCGACGAGTCGACAAGCCAATGAAAACCGGGCACATGGCTGACAATAGCAGGCTACCCGCAACCACTACCAGGAAACGGACTGCCTGGGAATGCCCGTTGCTCATATGTGTGGCATCATATGATTCGTACATTTGTATATGTACCTATAGATGTTTGCACCCCTGTTTCCAGAAGAGCATGATATGGCATTGCCATATGGCCATTGAGGGTTTTAAGTATACATATGAACACATACGTACATACCTATACATAGAAACAACTTGTAGCGACTGCATGGTGAGAAACAAGGTTGGTTAGCACATGGACCCACGCAATTATGGCATCTCCAAGTGTATTGTTGACTGTACCTGTTGGTTGGGAATGCTTTTGCATATAGCCATGCACAATTAGTAGGAAGCCAAAGAGTAAACATACACCAGACAATATATATATATATATATCTGTGCACATGTACATAGAAATGTAAACATGTAGATATATGTATATATAAACACACACACACACATATATATATATTATACACAAGTACATATATAGACATATGTGTATATATATATATACACATGTGCATATGGATTTCTTTGTGCAACCAAACTTTCTCTGGAAAGCACCGCCCACGGCAGGCTGGACGTCCAGCGCCTCGGCGGCCGCGCCACCCCGCGCTTCGGCGACCGCGTGCGCCGGCGCAGGTGGCGCCGGGGGGAAGCGCGGCGCGCGGCGGCGCGGCGGATTTGGCCCGGGCTGGCGGGGCGCCTTAAACCTCAGTTGTCCAAAGGGAATCGACCTTTTGACCTTTTGGTTTTCCAATGTTGGTCCCTTTTTAGAGGTGCCAAAAGGTGAACCTTTTAGTTCTAGGGTAGACAACGATCCTAGGGTAGACGACGATCTCTGCTTAAAGGGGCAGGGTACTTAGTAAGTGGTCAGTAACCGTGGTTATAGCCCACAAAAGCCATGGTTATGAGTCTCCTAAGTGGGTTATAACCATTGTTACTAAGCACTTACTAAGTACCCTGCCCCTTTAAGTAAAGCCATTCTTCGCGGTGTTCCCTCCAAAAGTGGTCTGAATCCAACCAAGAGGGGACACCCCCAATCAACATGGTTTGCCGAAGATCCGTTGCCGAAAAGCCATGAAGCAGACGTAGCCTCCCCCCAATTAACATGGAACCTGACAGGGGCGTCCTGGCTTCGACCATTTTCCTGAGAGGTTCCCTGTTACAGGACTCCTTAAAAGATACATGTTGCAACCGTTTGAAACATTGCTTGTTCCACCAAAATAAAGAGAACCCACCCACCATATACAATGCAATGTTCAGTTGTATAATGTAAGGATCCCTGGTTTGGACAGTTTGGACGGGAACGACCCTTCTCAGCCATCCAACTGCCTTGAAGGGGAAGCCTGGGTTCATTTCATTTCACATCCCCCTACCTATCGCAGCAGCAAGTTTGCTTTGATGATGGACATCAAGCCGCGAAGAGGCTACGTCCCCTAATAGGTTTTCTTAGTCGCTACTCCCTGTTTCCCTGACAAGCTATTAATCCCCCATTGGGATTGGGGGGTGCCATATTTGCCAAGAGCCCTTGACAACGACCAAATTATTTTGCCCACTAGTGGCATACCAGAGGTTCGTTTTTGTTTCTTTGGTCCAGCCGCTCAGGAAGCGACTTATTTTTTGGGGGGCTTTGCTTGGTTTGGGCGTTGCTTTGGTTTAGGTTTGGTTGTTGCTTTTTTGTTGGTTGGGTTGGGTTTTTCTCTTTAGTTTTTCACGCATGACCCTGGAAAGGGTGCCCCTTGATCGGATCAAGAGGGCCTTCGGATCACGAATGTCTTTCTCCGGGCGCTCGCATAGCCTGGGTTTCTTGGGTTGGACCTGTTGGGCTCTTAATAAAGGTGTGTCCTTTTTGTTGGGGTGCTATATTATTTAGGGAATTTGTGGGGTGCTATAAAGCGCTGGAAAAAATCCCGAAAAAATAAAAACATATATATATATATATAAAAACAGGTTGGCCTTTTGTTGAGGGTGCTCGTTGGTAAAAAAGGAGAAACCAATAGGAACTGGAACCCATTTTGCGGGGTGTACCTGTTCTGAGGCAAGCCCATATTCGCTTTGCAGGTGGGTTGCGTTCGAACCACAAGTTTAGAGAGTCAGCTTGCATTGGTGGATCCAGCCGGTGTGGTTTGGTTTGGGTTTTGAAGGGAAGATGGCGTCACAAACGGAAGCAGCGACTTCCAGTTGCTGAAGAATATTTTTTTGTTTTCCACTGTTGGTTTTAAAGGGAATCTATCACTACTGGAAATATTTTCCCATGTTTTGAGGCGTCTTAACGTAACCAGGAGGGTCAGGCTTAGTTGGAGGCTAGATGCTACTGATGGAGGTAAGCCCTGCATCAGCTGGTTCATGCCAATATCCATAAGCGTTCACCCATTCTAGCTGGTGCGAAGCGGGCTTTTTGTCCATCCGCACCAGAGCAAAGTAAGCCCAATCGTTGGCTTGGATTAGTGGCAGGATTTGAAGCTCTGGTGGTTGTGGAGGGTAATTAGGGAGCCACCCCCTAACCGCCATGTTGAGATGGAGGTAGCGTAAAGGACTCCAAACAGTTGGAGCTCTCTGGTTTTGATGCTTTGGCTTGATGCTATATATACATCGGCTTCCCTCTTTTTTTGGTTCGGTGCTTTGGCTTGGTGGTTTAAAAGAAGCCATGCCCATATCATGTACCTACATATATTTCTGTGATTTGTATGTATCACACGGTGGCCCTCGGAGCAAAATGTTCATGCCCCATAAAGGCAACCCCTCCACTTTCGTTCGGCGGTTTGGATTTTACGGTTTGGACGTCGGGGGCAATAAAACTCCAGCCTCCAAACCTGGAAGAAAAAGAGAGACACGAAAAACAGGCCTGGATCTCTTTTCGGTTTGTCCAAGTTTCGTGGTTTGGTCGGGGGTCGCAACTTCGCCCTTGAAGCCTTTTAGCCCAACCTGGATATCTTTTCGGTGGTTTGGCTTCGGATGGTCTGGTCGGGGGCAACTTCGCCCCCCTCGAATCAAAGCCTCGAATCGAAGCCTCGAGACCAAGGAGGGCGCCGAGCCACCGCGTTGGTGCGAGAACAGCGAGAGCGCGGTGCAGAGCCTCTGGAAGGCGCTGGAGGAGGTGCTGGGCCGCCCCTCGGATGGATCCGCTCGCCGCTCGCCGCGTTTGCCGCTTGCCGCTGGCAAGCGTCGATGCCTCGTCGTGTTCGGCGCCGATGCGGGATGGGCTTCGTCCGGTTTGTCGAAGCCCCTGTTTTTGTGATTTAGTTTTGTGGGGTGTCCCAAATTGGGCCGTCTTTTGTCCGTTGGGCGGCACCGAGATGGGAACTGGGAATGGTTCATTCCCGCATGAATGCTTGTGGGCCCTCCAAACCAGCAATCCTTTCCAAACAAGATGTGTATCTCACTTGCCCGAAGCCGACCGTTTAACCTTTTGGGTCGCCTGATTTGGTATTTAGTCAAGGTTCCAAAAGGCCAACCTTTAATTTCCAGGCCCCTAAAAAACCACTGAGGTGTAGCAGCAAACTCATCCCATCGTCACCTTGTCTAGGTCCCCCAGCTAGGCCCTTTTACTCCCCCCCTACAATAGACTACAGAAAAAAAATCGGGTACCCTTATTCCAACCTCTCTAATCTGGAGGACCTAGCAGTTGCATGGCAGCCTTGCTCAGCCCACATGGAAGCCAGATTTCAGAAAAAAAGTCGGGTACCCTTATTCTACCCTCTCTACTGGAGGACTTAGTTGTGGCGGGTGCGACCCTTTCCCGCAGGCCGCAGCATCTCGCAGATCCCGCTGGATCCCACGGCGATGATTCGCAGGTCCCACTTCGATGTGGCGCCCTGACGTGCTGGCTGAACCCTCCGAAAAACGACACCTGGGCGTCCCGATTCTTCCATTTGCTGATATTTTTTTTTTTTGTCCCCCCCTGTTGGTGTTAAAGGGAATCTATCACTACTGGACATATTTTCCCATTTTTCCAGGGGTCCTCACCAAATGGAAGGCTTTGGGTTTATTCCCTTTTAGTTTAACGCAAGGAACCCAAACAGAAACCTTTTCCAAGCGGAGTTTCTCTTGACAGGTTTGCTTTCTGGGTTCCATCTTTTTTAGTTTTTTCGGGGAGAATCCATCTCCCGAGTTTCCCTGTGGGATGATTTTGTCCAACAGAACACGCAAGGAAAACCTTGCCCAAGCGTTCAAACATGCAGCCTATGGCTGAATTCTGGCTGGTTTTCCTTTTGGTGTGTGTGTTTGTGTTTCCCTTTGGGCCCCCATCGGAAATGGGGGGGTTCCGGTTCCCCAAATAGGAGGGGAAGCTTTGGATTTCGGGTAGGCGATGAGGCCGAGGGAAGGCTCAGCTTGGATCCTCAGCTTGAACCAAGTTGATGATGGAAGGTCATACCCTTAGACGTTTTTGTTTTTAGTCTCTAGGGATGTGTACGACATATTTCTGCGGGTACCTTCCCCATGCTTCTCAGCGATCCTTCTTTCTAAAGAACCTCCAGAAACCCGATAAAACGGCAGGTGTTAAAGAATAAGTAAATAAATAACAATGGGGCATCAACGCAGTTTAGCTTTTCGCCCGGGATCCAACTCAGGGAATAAAGCGAGGGCTGCGTTGCATGTCGAGGAGCGGTACCAGCAGCTTTGTAAGCGCCTCTGTCCCTGGGACGACCTGCCCACGCTGATGGCATCTTGGCGACGGGCCTCAGTCGCCCAAAAGACCTCTTGGCCAAGTGGGTTGGAGGTTGGCTAGGTCCCCCAGTAGTACCCTTTTCAACCCTTTTGGGTTGGGCGGGTTCCCCTACTAAAATAGACTACAGCAAAAAATCGGGTACCCTTATTCTACCCTCTCTACTGGAGGACCTAGTTGGGCTATCTGGCGGCAGTACGGGACGATAGTAAGGCCTTTATAAACTCGGGTGAAGACCTGAGGGTGATGGAGTGAGCTAGTCGCCATGTTGTTGGGTCATGCAACACACACGTATGTATTTATATATATATATATATACATACGTATATGTATATGTGACCCATACAACGCACGCACAGGCATATATACATATATATATATATGCATAGATGCACATGTAACATGTACAACCTTGTGTAGCCTTTGTAAACCTCGTATGCCTTGGAATTTTCTAGCTGCGCTCGTAAGGAGCTGGTCCTAGCGGCGGTGTACAGCCGTGCAGCCTACGGCCACACTGGGCGCCGGGGCTTCTTCGACACCGTCACCCAAGGCCTGCGGTGAATTTGCGGGGCTCCTAGGGTAGACGACGATCTCTGTTGAGCAAGACCTTTTGGTCTCCTGAAGGTGAACCTCCTTTGGTAGTGTGTGTGGGTTGCCGCGTTCCTTTACCGGCATCTTAAGGCTTACTACAAAAGGGCAAGACTCGCAAGCATTATGACTCGTACTTTTGTTGGCCAAAGCTGAGGTAGAGTTAAAAGATCCAGACCTTCAGTCAACTCCTGTTTTGCTTTAAAATGATGCCCTTTGGACGGGGCCAGACTGGTCGTGGGTTATTATGGTGTTCAGTCGAAATGTAATTTGTCTCTGGTGATTTTGCAGGGGCACAGGGGAACTCACCAAATGTTCCACACGAACCGGGGGACTCGCGAATCTTCATATGTCTTTTGGAAGATCCGCATATTTGACTCCGGCTCATACATATACATATACATATATTTGTGTATATATATATATACATGTGTGTGTGTGTGCTTTTGAGGGTTCAGTTTTTTGAGTTGGCGCAGAGGGAAACCTACAGGAAATACACACCATGATGCTGAGGTCCTGTATTATTTAAGGGGCACGCACTCCCGAGTTCATGGCCTTTTAAGCTTCTTGGAAAGACAACGTTCTGGGCTGTTGAAAGGCAATCTGCAAGATCCTTACCTGGGCTTGGGCTTCCGCAAGGATTGTGGTCCCCTTAGTGGCTTCCCTATAAAGATCCTGGAATATGAAGAGGCCAACCCATTTTGAAGAGCCCAGGCTTTCAGGCATGAGGGTTGATCAGAAGGTCCTGTACGTGGGAGACCATTGGGGCAACCCACTTAACAGATCAGACTGTGGATGGACGAAATCCATTTCGCACCACCTCACAAACTCTGCAATGATGATTCCCCTGCAAATATCGAGAAACCGTGGTTTCGTTTGCTTTCAAAGTGGTGCGTCCATCCACAGTATGTCCCACATGGGGAAAGTTGCCCTTGGTCATTTGGGAGCTGAAGGGAATATTGACCAACCCCCATATCAGATATGCGGGTGGCTCCAAACAGCGGATTTTGGTCTGGTCTCCAGAAAAACCAAGACGATCCAAGGTGCCTTTCTTTGGTACATGTTCCAGCCATATTCAAGAAGCGTTCTTGATGCTTCCCGCTCCTTTGGGAAGCTTCTTGGCCGTGCCATTTTGGGGATTCCACCACAGACAGGGCCACCCATCCTTGGATATGGCTGGGTCAATGTTTGACAGCCGGGGTTCAGGTTTTGGTGACTTGTTTCCGCAAACAAACAAAATAACGGGAAAAAAAAAAGCAAAAAAACACCAAGGTGGCCATTTTGGGGCTTCCTTTTCTTGAGCCGCAGCCTGGGCCAGCCTCGACCCATGGACCCGTTTCGGGACCCGTTTCGGGACCCGTTTCGGGACCCGTTTCGGCCGGCTTCGCTGGGCCAGGGGCCATGGTCTTCTCCGTGCACCGCGGCGTCTTCGACTTCGCGGAGCACGTGGACGACGCCTCTAACGCGCCGCGGCCGCTGTTTTTGTTTTCTTCTTGTTTTTGTTTTTCTTATTTTGTATCTTCTTTTTATTGTTTCTGTTTTTGTTCTTCGTATTTTTTTTTCTCTTTTCATCGGAAGTCGGAGGCAGAGGTCCTGCCGGGAGCGTGGTTGTTTTTTTGAAGGGGGCCCTTTTCAGGTTGGTTTAAGGCGAAACCAGAATTCAGAAAGGACAAGCCGCCATGTTGGAGGCTCCCTTGTTTTGACACATGCCCTTATGGGTAAGATATTCAAGAAATAATAGCCAGCAAAATGGTCGGTGGACACAAAAATGCCGCAAACGATGTTCGCTTGAGGGTCCCCAATTGGAATTCATGCCGATTATGGGTTTGTGTCAACTTTGGGGATGCCCTCGCAACAAACACAAATATACACACACACATCCCCACACCTGTTCGATCCTTTTCGTCGCCCTTTTTGAGATGAGCTTTCTCTTGGGATGGCTGTAAAGGACGCAGACCAAAGAAAAAAGCAGCGGACACGTGTCACATTTGGGGGTCTACATCTCTCTGAGTCGCCCGGCTCGGCCGAGCAGCGGCTCGCTCGAAATCGCGGGGCTTCCTGCGAGGAGCTGGCCTTCCTGGACATGTTGGGCCTGCGCCCGGAGGACTTGGAAGGTAACTCAGACATCTCCGTCCGCGTGCTGCCCTAGAGTCTTCTTCTGACCCTTTAATGGTTGGTCACCCCTTTCTTTTGGATAATGACCCATTTTTAAAGGGAGGTCACCCCTTTCTAGTGGAGAATGACCCATTTTTTAAGGGTCGGAAGGAGACTCTAGGTACAGATTATTAGCAACCAACTTGCAACCGTGTGTAGAGGAAGCTGCTTTTGGGCGGGCATCGGACCCCTTTGGGGTTCCAATGTTTTCTTGGTGGAGGAGTAAATTTTGATCTTGATACATCCCACGAAAAGTTAAACTTGTAGCAAGGGATCAACGAACCACTCGCACACCACTCCCCCCCCTGCCCCAAACACGCTTGCTGTCTTTGGGGCGGGGGTCCCCTCAAGCGGGTGCGCAGACAAGCTTTCTCCGAGCCTCCAGATGACAAACATCTCACGGGTAAACATTGGCTAGGTTGTTTTCCCTTCATTTCCGGTGTGTCTACCCTTTGGCTTTGGGGGTGCTTAATGGCAAATGGGGGGGGGGGTTGGATGCTGACATGGGGAGTTCCAAATTGTTTTCATACTTTTTTTGGAAGTACCATGACATCATATTGTTGGTGTTTTTGGGCGATGTTTACGTGGTTGTGGTTGGGGAAAATCACGAGCAAAGTGAACAGCTGAGCCTCAAAACAACATAATTGTCATTATTCCGCACTTGAGGTGTCAGAACCTTTTGGCTGGAGTTCCAAAAAAACCAAAAGGTCGAAAGACGCCCCAGGCATGGTGCCTTCATTCTTTTACTAGGTCCCTCAGCTAGGTGCCCTTTTGCAAACTGTTTTTTTGGGGGGGTTCCCCTACTAAAATAGACTACAGAAAAGTTGGTACCCTTCTTCTAATCTCCCTACTGGACCTAGTCTCACAAGCCGTCCTACGCCCCAAAGAGCTGAGAAGTGCTCGGAATGCTCGGAATCGTCCATCCGGTCGGGGGAAGGGTGGCTTCTTGCTTCCATTTGCTTAAGAATATGTGTTTTTTTGTTGTTGTTTTCCCCCATGTTGGTTTTGAAGGGATCTATCACTACTGGACATATTTTTTCCAGGGGTGTTAAACAAATGGAAGCTTGTTTTGACATCTTCCCCGGCATTGACATGGAACGCAAAGAGGGGGATCCCCCAAAAGCAGAATCTTCGAGAAATGCACATGTTCTTTGCTGCCCAAAGCTGAGCTTTTGACAGTTGGGCTTTTTGTTTTGGTCCATTTGCTTGGCCCCAAAAGGTGGAGTCCCTTGGGCAAGTGAGTAAAGGTGAACCCTTCAACTTTTTGGGAGAGGTTTCGGAAGAGGAAATTGTGATTTGTGGATGTTCCACACGTTGACCGGACCTCCAAACAGCTGGACATGCATCCTTTGGGGGGGTGGTCTTAAAAGGGGGGACAAGAGGAACACCACCAATTTGGAGGGTCGTCATTCTGATTTTGAGAAGCCATGTGTCATCTTGTCTACTTGAATACCGGGGGCAGTCCGTTGCGAGGACTTGGTGTGCGCGCAATGGCGCAGCCCTGGGCCTTTACAGCCTCTGGGCCTTGAAAAGCCTGTGGCAAGTGGTCTCCACGCTCGGTTCTGACACGTGGTCCTTCATGGGCTTTGGCTCCCCTTCATTTGGCGGGTCTTTTTTTGAGGGGGAGGGGGAAGAAGACACTCACATGGCCGGCGAGATTGAACACGTTCACCAGCTTTCGAGGTCCTTATGCAGGATGTATTCTTTAAGGAGCCCCGAGAGATTGCTTCTAGCAGACGCCTCTGCATATTCAGGCTATTTCAGGCTCATGCAAATTTTACAGAGAGATTCTGAGACGGCTCGGACGGCTCGGATGGTCTCCCGCGAACGTTAACTTAAAAGTACGCCAAGTCTGTTTCTGTTGAAGCTTGTTGTCCAAAAATGTTGTTTCTGTTGAATGCTGGTTGCCCATGTCACTGTATGACCCATGGCAGCCATGTTGGACTCTTGGAGCTCTTTTCGCACAATGACGCCAGACATCGTAATTTGGGGGTGTGCCATGGCTTTCCGCCTTTGACTTTGCCTACTCATGATTGTGGAAGTTGGGCTCTAGGGCTATTGGTTGTGATCCCGTGGGGGTCCCAATTCATCACTTTGGTATGGCAGTAAGGGACCCATATTCTGCGGTCGTTGTCTGCTCAAAAAAAGGCAAAGGGTCAGGATTTGTGGCAACCAAGTAGTGCGCTTATGATGAGATAGTTGCGGGCCACCACTGTCTTGCGATACGCAAGCTTCGCCTTTTTTGAAAAGCCACCAACACTGCTCATGGCACAATAGGTTGTCTATGGCTTTTCCAGGGGTGCTCTCAGCCAAGGGGGTAATGTTGACCCCATATTAACCAACCCCAGTTTCTCAATAGAGGAAATGCTTCAGACCTTTTAGAGGGCCCCCACCCCCCACCCCCAATAAACTGGTTGGTTGAACATCTGGGGTCAACATTGGAAGATTTGATATAAGCCCGTTTTGTGTCTGGGCCTCCGGACGTCCGGGCGTATGGGCGTCCTGGTTCTTTGGGGGTTTGGGAGTGAGGGAGTCTGGTAAGTTATTGAGCCAGTCAGTCACCGGGGCCCAAGGATTCGCCTCTATTGGCAATTTGTTGAGCTTTTGGTTGAGAGCTTGGATGTTTCTTCGTTTCAATCAAATCCTTCTGGGTCAACTCAACAGGTCGGAGACGAACTCCTGCACCACCTAGGAAAATGTGGGAATGATGATCCGGTCATCCCCCTGTAAATACCAGCCAACAATGGTTCCAACCATTGTTTCTTGGGTGGTGCGAAATGGATTTGGTCCACAGGTCGGACCTTCTGGTCGGATCCTTCTCCCAGGCCCGCCTTCGCGGTATGCCGAGACCACTCGCTGCGGTGGATCGTGGTGGCTGTGCGGGGCACTCTGTCCTCGAAGGAGCGGATCGAGCTCAGGTTTCAGCTATCGGCCAGCTGGCCAAATCAGCAACAAGTAGCTGGGTGAATTATAAGGACCTCACACGACCTCACCCCAAATGGTACCTTATTTCAGGCTGGTGGAATATTATATTTCACCCAGAAGTATGACAAGCACTGTGGATGGACAAAATCCATTTCGCACCAGCTGAGAAACCTTGGGAATGATGCGATTCCCCTTGTAATACCAACAAACAATGGTACCAACCATTGCTTTTGGGGTGGTGCAGGATTTTGTCCACCCACAGTATGAAGCTAAGAAGTTGGCGCTGAGACACAGTGAGGGCGTTCACTCAGGCAACCCTTAGTTGGGGGTTTGGATTGCTGGTCTGAGAACTTTAACCCCTAATTCCAGAGAGTCTTGTCCTTTGGGCAGAAATCCGCAAGTCGGTTTGGGTCAATCTTCCTTGTGGGGTGCTTCGGACAAGCAGCTGAATCAATTTGTCCGGTCATTGGGCGCAGTTTATCGTTATTTGTGACTTCTTTTCTCGGTCAAGTACAACACTTTGGTGCATTTTGCTTGGATGTTAGGACTTTAACTTGTTGCCAAGCAATGGGCTTTCCATTGAACCACAAAAAGTTAAACTTTTAGCAGGGGAGCAGAAAGCATCTTTTGGCCTGCAGCTGTCTGTTCCTCACCTCTTCCACCAAGGTGAGTAGTGGAACGTCGTGAGTGCGCGTGTAAGCCACTCAGTGGTATAACATAACATTTGATTGTCCACAACCATGGGGGAGCTCAAACTTGATTGTTGCAAGACGGCAACAATGAGAGAATTGAGGGGTGCATGATTTTTGCCCCTGACCTGCTCTTGGAGAGATGGCTTTGGCGATTGCCAGGCTCACCTTACCTTTTCAATTTGTTGCCTCTTGGTGTTCCTTGATCTGTTGTTTCAACACAATTGCTGTTCTTGTTGGATTTCCAGGTCAGAACTGCCACTTATGTAGTGTCTTTGGTTCAGTCACCTGTCGTTGCAACCAGCAACACGTTGGCTCGTTGCAGAGGGCTCCTTCCATTTGCTTAAGAAGTTGTTTTATTTTCCCCTGTTGGTTTTAAAGGGGATCTATCACTACTGGATTTGTTTTTCCAGGGGTCGAAAAACCAAATGGAAGGCTCAGATCGGCCTGACGAAAGCGCGAGGACATCCTTACGGACTGCGCGGTCACCTGCGTCCCCTTCCTGGAAGGCGGGAATTTGTGGCATGGCTGGCGAGCTTGGCGCTAGGTCCCCCAGCTAGGTGCACAATTTAAGCCCCTTTTTTGGTGGGGAGGGTTCCCCTACTAAAATAGACAGAAAACAGTCAAGTACCCTTATTGTAACCTCTCTACTGGAGGACCTAGTTGGTGACCGGTACTGAGCATGGAACCCGAAAAGCGGGCTCCCTTCAAAAGGCGCTTCCTCTTTAAACGTCATGTTTAGATGGGTTCCATCAACTCGAGGCGGCGTTCGAGTCGGTTGAAGAGAGAATGATGACTGTTCAGAAAAGGCCACCCGTCACTAAAATGGTCTGGGTGGCTGTTAGTGGCTGGATTTTGAACGTGTTTTTGTTGGTCCACGGCGGCCCTGAGGTAAGGTTCCACCAGGAGGGTTCCACGAGGCTCTGCGAGGGCTACGGGGTGATGCGAGCACTAAAAACGGCACCGCATGATATCACCTGAGCTCATTTTTTAAAGGGGGATATTTTCCCCACCAGCCGGCAAAAGGCTAGACGTTTTGGGCAGGGAAGCAACGGCCATCAAGTTGCAGTTGTGTTGTGTCGCATGCTTCGGCCCGGCTTGGAGTTGCGATCGGGACTTGTGAAGGCCAGAGCCAATCCAAACTAATTGATACCTGGAGTCTCCATGACCCTTTAAAAATGGGGTCATTACCCAAAATAATGGGGTCATGGACCCATTTTTAAAGGGTCATGGAGACTCTAGGTATATGCATAGACAAGGGGGTCCACGCGTCAAATGGAGCTGGTTTCAAAGAGCCAACCCTTTGCCCAAAGGGCAGCCAAGAGCTCATGGCACCGCCTCGCTCGCATGGGCCGCTTGCTGGGGCTGTGCCACGATGGCGGGCAACGAGGCGAGGGGGGAACTTGAGCCTCCCCACCTAAGCCACCATCAAAATCCGGGTAGATGCAGGTTGGCAAGGGGGCAAGGGACAATCCCAACCATGAATAGCTGTGGCCCGCCTTCTTAATTTCTTACATGTACCATGTTTGTGCCGGGATTTGATTGTGACTCACCTGTTCTTTGTGCTTCTGGCTTGATGGGGAGTTTTTCAAGGTGCACAGAAACCTTGATGACTATCTTTGCGGAACCTCGCCCAAGCCCAACCCATTTATTTAATCCAATCCAGTCCAATCCAATCCAATCCAATCCAATCCAATCCAATCCAATCCAAGCAATGAAGCAATAATTCACATCCGTCCATCCGTCCGTCCGTCCGTCCATCCATCCATCCATCCATCCATCCATGAAACAGTCAGTCAGTCAGTCGGTCAGTCAGTCCGTCCGTCAGTCAGTCAGTCCGTCAATTGTTCATCAAAGCAGTCAGTCGAACAACTTTGCATCACGCTTCCCGCCCCCCTCCCCCCCGCTGCCCGCTGTTGGGAAGGTCTGCTTCCAGCCGAACTGGCTCGGCTTGGAGTTGAGCTACGAGCAGTGCTGCGCGGGCGACATCTTGACTGGCCCGGACTGTTTCAGGCGAACTTCCCCTGCTTGGGCAAGACAAATGTCGGGTTGTTGTCAATCACTTGGGTGTTCGGCCAAGTTAAGAAGTTGTTGGTAACATTAGGTTATAGCATTTGGTTACAACCTACTTTTCAGTCACCTATCAGGAGTAAAATCCAGTCAGCTTATGACCCAAGTGGCCGATGAGCAGAGATGTGGGAGACACGGGGATAGATGGCGAAAGTCCAGCCCAGTTTACCCTCATTTTGTTGGGTGTTTGAAATGTGGCTGTGGCTCAAAAAACCGGTACCCAAAATGGAACCCTGGTAAGGGGAAACATGGACCAAAACCTGCGGTTTGCCCCTCCTTTTTAATTTTGAGCCACACACATTTATGTAAGAGCGTTACCCCAATGAAGGGCCCCCTCCCATTTTCCCAAAGCGAAATGTATGTTAGGTGATGGCCCCCATCGCCTTCCATTTGCTGAAAGGAATATGTTTTATTTGTCCCTGTTGGTTTTAGAGGGAATCTATCACTACTGGAAATATGGCCTCATTTTTTTCCGGGGTCGAAAAACCAGACGGAAGTCCCGTGTTTCCCGCGTTTGGTTGGGTTCTCGCCCGGCTGGGTTTGCAGCCTCGAGGCCCTTGGGCGGCTTTTACACTCGCAGCTTCTGCTGCTACGAGCCCGAGGCAGCAGAGGTCTGCGACTGGCATGAGGCAGGGGACACACAGAGGTGGTGCTTTGGGGGTGGAAATGGAACCTCGGGTTTCCGATTGGTGGTTTGGGCCCGGTGGCCGGTGGTTAGGGAGAAAGGAACCCCTGGCTGTTGCAGAGGGTAAATGTGAAATTATTCCTTAACCACCCAGCCCCACCGGGTTCCAAACCACCAATTGGAGGGAAGCTGAGAATTCCATAAACTCGGCGTCCAGCCCCCGTTTCCTTGTCAAACAAACTTCAATCAGAGCGAGCGATGCTCCATTTTGCCTTTTATCCCTTCACCCTGCTGAATGGGCTAGGTTTCCCCCAGCCAGGTGTTCTTCTTAACCCCTTCTTGGGTTGGGAGATTCGGTTCCCCTCCTAAAATAGACAGAAAAGAAACAAGTTGGTACCCTTGTTCTAAGCTCTCTGGAGGACCTAGTGGGAATCCATCAGGAAAACCACTCGTTCTTGGGGGGGCGCTCCTATTTTGACACATGAAATCCGCAGAAACCCCTTTAATCCAGAACTTGGAAAGAAGGAATCCCTGAGGCAAGGGCCGAGTTCGGATTTTCTTGCAAAAAGGGGCAAGGTACCCCCACTACTCAAAAGGTACAAAGCCCAATTTCAGGGTCCTCTGAAAGTTTCCGTTGATTCTTTCTAGCGGCTGAAAAACGATGTTCAAAGCCACCAACTTGCACCTGCTGAAAAGAGTATGTGTTATTTTCCTTTATTGGCTCTACACGGACTCGATTTCACCGCTGGGCATGCTTTCTCGTGTTGCCGAGGAGGGAGAATTAAGCAAGTGGACGAAGGGCATATTCTTTATGGCTATTTGGTTGGATTTAGTAAGTAAGGCCATTTGCGACAAAGCACATGCTATAAAATGCAAATGGAAGCCAAGCAATGTTGACCCCGAGTCAATCAACCCCAGTGTATTAATAGGGGGGTGGGGGCCCCTCGCCTACTAAGCCCAGGGTGACACCCCCTAGTAACAAACTGGTTGGTTGATGAAGTGCTTCCCCTGAATTCGCTCCCCTTGTTGTTTTTCGGCATGGTTATAGGTCTCCCAACTGAGTTAAAGCTTACTATAAACACTTACTAAGTACCATTTTTCTTCTCCGCTTTTTCTTTGGGGGGTTCCTTTTTTTGTTTTCCACCCGAAAACAACAACCTTTTCGCTTTTGTTCTTCTCGTTTTTTTGGGGGAGCCCCTTAGTTTGCCACCCCAAAAAGCAACCACCTGTTGCTTTTTTTCCGTTTTAACTTGGTCCTCCCCTGGGGTCACCGGTTCTCCCCTGGTGCGGCGGCGCGGCTCCGAGCTGAGGTCCTGCAGGCGGTGGCCACCTCCGAACAAGTCGACCACCAGCGCCTCGGAGACGGAACCGGCGCGGTGGATCGATCCATCGGCGCGGTTGGTTTTTTTGGGTGCGCGTTTGGCCGGATCCAATTGCCCAATCCTTCAATTTGGTTAAGACCCCTGGGAGGGGAAAAAAAATCACGTAGTGATGGATTCCCTTTCAAACCAACAGAGGAACAAAACATAGATGTTCTTGAGCCAATGAAAGCATCTTGGCCCCAACATCAGCGGGATCCAATTGCCCACGAACCATCCATGCGCATGGTGAACTTGTTGAGGACTGAGCATTCCATTAACCGCCTACAACCATCAATTCGAGAAGAGTGCTGTCAGGGCCTTTGGCTTATATAAGTGGCGCCGCTTTTGACGTGTTACGGCCAACAAATCGTTTCTGGTGAAGAAAGGGAGAAAGTCATCATCTGACGAATGGCAAACAGCAGCTACTGCGAATTATTTCCTTCCGGCAAGGAAACGCTTGACATGTGGCTGTCGTAAGCAGGTGGAACGGGTGTTTGCGTTGCGCCATGTCGAACATCACCTGCTGTTCATAGTGTTGTTTTCTTGCAGCCGATGCTTTTTATTGCATACTGGAGCTTTTGGATGTTGGAACATGTGTTTGTTGGAACGAGGTGAAGCCGGTTTAGCGCACCTGCAGGCTTGCCTCCAAGCAAGTTTCCCCCGTCGCAGCAATCCACCTCAGAGCAGCTGAGTCAGCAACGTGAAGGAACTTATATAAGCCAAAGGCCCTGACAGCACTCTCTTCTCGATTTGATGGTTGTAGGCGGTCAATGGAATGCTCAGTCCTCAACAAGTTCACCATGCGCATGGATGGTTCGTGGGCATTTGGATCCCGCTGATGTTGGGGCCAAGATGCTTCCATTGGCTTGAGAATATCTACTTTTTGTTCCTCTGTTGGTTTTAAAGGGAATCTATCACTACGTGGAATGTGTTTGTTTTTCATGTCTTCCAGGGGTCTTAACGAAATTGAAGGATTGGGAAAAGGAGCTCCCATGAAAAACATCATTTTCCCAATAGAAGCGCGGCTCCGGATCTCCTGGGAGACCCAATGAATGACACCCCCTTTGAGACTCATGCGCGATGTTTTGCAGGCACACGCCCTAAACCCTCCCCAAACCCACCCTTAGCCAACCCTAAGCCAACCCTAAAACTACCAAAGCGGGCCTAAACCCACGCTGGCTGCAACCACTTAGCTCGTTCCAGATAAGAGAAGATCAACGCAATAGCGCTTGAAGGCTTCAAGCAGAAGCTTTAGGAAAGGGGCAGCTAGATTGCAGCCTGAGATTTATGGTTGACCCCGGATTTTCATCCACCCAGCACGGGTTTATTACTCCTGGGGTCAACGGTATGAATTTAGGCAAGGCCCAAGTTGAGCTTGTTCAGTCAGTAAAACCGCTAAGTCTAGATCAAGGATGCGGCGCATCCACGAGGCAGCGGCTTCCTGCAGCTAGTCTAGGGGGAAAGGGGACATTTTGTTTTCAGACTTGAGACACGGCTTCCATTTGCTTAATCATATTCTCTTGTCATTTTCCCCTGTTGGTTTTAAATGGAATCTATCACTACTGGAAATATTTGTATGTTTTCCAGGGGCCTTAAACAAAAATAAATACGGGGAAAGTGAACATTTGTCTTGAGACTTGAGACAGGTCGGATGTTAGTTTCCGGAAGTGAAAGGCGGAGCTAGGCAATGTCGCTTTGGCAGTGAGGTTTCGCTGGTACCAAAGAAGAATCTTGAAGAAGGTGAAGAACCAGTGACTGAAAAGGGGGCGTAGCATCCTAGAAATCTGGGCACGTATGACAGCGCTTAAGGTACTAAGGTACTGAGGACCGTCTGTTTTTTTCTGCCAAGATCCAGGGATTTCTGAGGACAGTTTGATTTCTACGGTCAACCTTGGCAGCAGAGGACATGCAAGGCATCTAGAAAACACATGGAACATTGAAACCCAGTTTGCATGCTTGCAACCAAACAAAGGCCGCTTTCCCTAACTTTTCCCTGGTAGGGGAAGCCCTCTTAGTATGCGAGTACACCTCCCCCCTACACCCCCCAAAGGCGCAAAGCAGTCTTAACAAGACTCAGGGTGATAAATAAGGCCAAAGAAAGCCAAGCAAGGCTTGTTGTTTTCCGTGACTTCTGGCCAAATAAGGCCAAGTAAGGCCTTGTTGTTTTGCTTTGACTTCTGAATCTTCTGAAGACAAGCAAAACACATCGCACCCTGTTTGGCCCTAGGACCTTCACCAGAGTGGCCGCCTTTCCCATGATGCTGAGGGAGTTCTGCTGCATCGTGCCAGGGGATGGCAGCCACCCCTGCTGGCACGCCTTCGGCCACTTGAGCCACAATCAGAACCCGGGTAGAAGGTTGGCAAGGGACGATCCCCTGGCCATAAATAGCTGCGCAATTCCGCCTTCTTAATCCTGGGTCCTTCCCCCCCCACCCCCCACCCCCCCCACCCCCCACCCCCCCAAACTCCCCAAACCCCCCAACCCCCCCAAACCCCCCAACATTTTAGTACCAGGTTTGGACTGCGACTCACCTGGCTTCGAAATCGAGACCTCGCGACTTCGGGTTCCAGAGCCGCCATTCCAGGAATTCCGGGGGGACGCCACCAAACTCCTGTTGAACTCATTGCCCGAGTTCCCGGACTTTGAACACTTTTTGGGAAAGACCTTTTAGTGGGGGAGCCACGAACGGCACCCGTTGCTGGAAAATAACAGTTCGGGGCCATGTATCTCATTTCCTGCTGACCGGCAAGTCATTGCTTTGAACCTTTGCGGTCAGAACCCCCTAGGAAGTTCTAACAACTTAACTCTGCAGGGAGCCTAAGTCGCGGCGACGTGTTGGCCCTTTAGATTGCCAGATAGTTGGAGCTGGTCTTTTGCTCAACAGGATCTGGAAAACCGAGAGGACAGCGCTACTGGGATCGGGAAGGCCGAACAAGGCCAAAGACAGCCACAGGCCAATTCGGGCCAGGCCGGCATGAATGATTGGGGCAGGGGCGTTGCCGGGGGGTTGGTGGTTTCGTTGGCAACTAAGCAGCGAAGTCGTGCGATTGAAACCCGCGAATATGAACCAGTAGGCTTGGCCTTCAATCGGCTTCCCTCGATTGGTGGTGTGGGTTGGTCACGTGAGGTTGGGTTGCGGTCCCCCCCCCGCCCGCCCGCCCGCCGCCAACCATGGGTTAGCTGAGTCAAGCTTTTAGCCTAGAACAAAGCCCCAACACCCCGAGCCCCAACCAGCCAGATCAGGAGAAGATGAGAATGCTGTGCTGCCAGCCCCCTACGTGCAGTGCCACTGGGCGAAGGGCAAGTAAGCAATCAAAGAAGGACAGAATGTTCACCCGGGTGGTTCTTCAAAAAATGGTGCCCGCTTGAGGTGCTTGGTTTCCTCCATCCAACAAATGGTTGCCTCTTCTAGACGGACCCGGCCCGGAGCCAACCTGGTGGATTCAAAAGGTTCATTGGTTCCGCCTCAAGTGCCAGCAGGATGCCCTCCAAAATGGGCACCCCGGTCCCAGCTAGGTGCCCTTCTGTCTCTGCTTTTTGGTTGGGAGGGTTCCCCTACTAAAATAGACTACAGAGAAACAAAACACCCTTATTCTAACCTGGAGGACCCAGCCATGAGACTTCCGAGAAGATCCGAGTGAAAGATGTCAGCGAAGGGCGGATACATGAGCTCGTGTTTTCAGGGGACCCGTCTTTGGGGCTTGGTGTACCCCGAAACCAAAAGGAAACAGCCATTTGGAGGGCACCCCCCAATTTGTTGACAAACCTAAATGGGCCACATTAAAAAAGAAACGATGAAGGTAAGGGATGGTCCTAGCCAGAAATGGCTGCAGACAATTTAATTCTTTCCATGGTTCTGGGCTTGGACCATTTTGATACCGATCGGTTTTGATGGTTTTCTTTCAGTTGCCTTGGGCCCAACGGGTGTTGTTGATTTCCACTTACAAGCCCAAAGAGGTGCCCAGTCACAGCCATTGACCCGCGAGCCTTGCAGCCTTTCCAGCTGCCAGCGCAACAAAAGGCAGTTCCATGTTGCAGGGGCAAGTCCTGGGTCTGCGTGTGTCTCCAAAACCCTCCGGAGTGGTCGAAATTACCCTTCTGGAGAGCGGCCCGCCATGGGTTCTGAGTTTTTGCAGGTAGTTCACGAACGCAGGCCCCATGGCGGGCCCTTCTGTATGCAACACCTATTCGGCAAAAGCCACAATCTTGTTTCAGCCCCTGAAGTGTGACCACCCTTTTTGATTTGCAAAACAGGGGCAATCGGTGAAAATGCAAAAACCTGGGCCAATCGTTTTTTGGTTTGTTTTCTGAAGTTCCCGCCCTGGTTTCTAATGAGGGCCTGTGCAGTGCATTTGTCCAGTCAACACGGGCCACTCAGGAAAATGGGCAAATGTTTAGCAAGCTCGCCCGGGATATACAGGGGGGCGGGGGAGTAAAGGGAGCTTACAAGCAGGTTATCCATGATGAGTATTCTCTGCTTGGGATTCCTGAATGCCAGATGATCTTTGGGACCTGTCAGTTTGGTTAGTTGGCTGCGGCCGTAAGTATTCTACGTCATGCTAGTCACACTATCTTGCTGCTTCATTGTTTTCCGTAAGTGTCCGGGAGCAGGTTGGATCCATTGCTAAAAGTTGTCTAGGGTAGCTTCCCCATTCTTTCCACGGATCCTTCCTTCCAAACACCCAACAAACCTTGGGGAAACAGCGATCGGTTATTGAAAAGAACGGTTGAAAAGAATGGTTCCAGCAATCCACCCCCAGAACCAAGCCCAAACCACCCCTTCACCCATGCTCATGTAGCAACAGGATCAGCCCATTTCGCCCATTCCTCGCGGGCGCAGGCTGCTTCCCCGTGCTGCGCCGGCTCCTCGGCTCCGATCCGATCTGGGCCGAAGAGCTGCAGGAGGCGCCACCGGGCGACCAAAATTTTGGGCAGCCCCTGGTAGCTTTTGAGGGTGTTTTTGCGTAGGTTCACCATGGACCAGAATCAAGCGAATGTGTTTGGTAGCAAAGGTTGAGGTAGTTTTGGCTGGCTGTTTCTGTTGGCTCACAACACGAAGTTGAAGAAGGAAGACAGGAAAAGGACCAAGGCAAGCCAGGCAAGCCAGCTTGGCAAGCCTCAGTGTGGTCAGACGTCAGACACATGTTCGACCAAACCGGGGCAAACAGATCCAGGAGTTTGCCTCCCTGGGCTCCCGGCGCTGGACGTCCCAGCAGCTCCTAAGCTTCCAGGCCCATGGGCCGTTGTGGGCCGACGGGCCGATGGGCCGATGGGACGGGATCCAATGGACTCCCGGAGGAGTTGTCCAGGTTGAAGCGTCTTTTTCGTGGCTTTAAGCCACCCAAATGGGTAACTTGTCCCACGAAATGTGGGACATATCATCTTTGTTTGTGGTTTACCCAATGGTCATCCCATGTAAAGGCCTTTTGATCAGCCCCCTTGTCTTGTTGGTGTGATAGGCAGGGAATTCCCGAAAAAATAATATGGTTTGTAGGGGGTCGTTCCCTCATTCCCATCTGGGCACCAGCAAGTTTTCAATGTCTCGTTTTGGGGGTGGTTTCAAGGAAGACCTTTCAAGGGAGCCCAAAGGGACACCACTCAAAATTTGGGGCCTACTGTGACATGCCCAAATTGACCCCAATTGGTAATACCCGCTTTCCGACAATCAATGACAGGGACGATCGGAGGGTTTTGGAGGACAGCTATTTTGGGAGGCTCAAGGGTGAGTGCGGACTGGGGTCAACTCGAGGCAAAGCCAACCCAACCCACACGATTCCTCCCGGGCCCCCTAAGAGGCGGTCCGGGGCACAACCTTGTCCCAGTTGCATGATCCTTTCTTCTACCAGGGCCTTTCTGCAACTGGGTTTTGGGTCCTCGCTTTTGGTTGAACGCGCCAAGATCAGCGTAGAGCCCATAAAACCTCTCCTGCCCTGAAAATGCCAAATTGCTTACAACGCCGCTAACCGTGTTGCCCTTTTGCCGTTTTTGTTCCTCATATGTTCCTTCATCGTCCATTGCCACTGGACAACAGGTGGCCACTTTCTAGCAGCACAAACATAGCCTGGCGAAGATAGTTTCCACAACGGGAAGCCAGGGCAGCATATACCGTATACCCTTTGGCTATTTGCGTGTTGTAATAAGGTTCATGTTTGTTTTTCATTTTTTTTTTCTCAGAGTACCTGAATATAGATTTAAAGGGAAATCAGAAAACCGCCCACGTTGAAGGTGCCCCTTTGAAACAGACCCATATCCGACCATCTCCTATTGAACCCCCCCGGTTTGGGGCTCTTCCACCCATTTTGAAGGTGAAACCACCCATTTTGAAGGTGACACCCTCGCCATTTTGAAGGTGCCCCTTTAAAACAAACGCATATCCGACCATCTCCTATTGAACCCCCCCGGTTTGGGGCGCTTCCACCCATTTTGAAGGTGAAACCAGCCATTTTGAAGGTGACACCCTCGCCACTTTGAAGGTACCCCTTTAAAACAAACCCATATCCGACCATCTCCTATTGAACCCCCCCGGTTTGGGGCTCTTCCACCCATTTTGAAGGTGAAACCAGCCATTTTGAAGGTGACACCCTCGCCATTTTGAAGGTGCTCCTTTAAAACCTACCCATCTTTCATTGAACTTTTTAGAGATTTCGGGCTCATTACCCATACTGCATCCCATAACCCATACTCTCACTTCCTGAGTTCATGAACTTCAAACTTTTGGGGAGGACCATTTTAGTGGTAAATGGAAAGTTTGGACTTTTTGGGGCCATCCACTCAGCCAGTGAGTGCCGTATCCGACCATCTCCCGTTGAACTTTCCGGTTTGGGGCTCTTTGTCCGGGAAAACCGGGAGCTCTTGGCCAGCTTCCATGTGCCTTTATATATATATATATCTCCCCTGTTGGTTTTAAAGGGAATCGATTTCACCACTGAACATATCTTTCTTTTTTCCAGGGGTCGAAGAACCCAATGGAAGACAGGCATCCGCGGAGCAGAAGCCCTGCCTCCTCTCCATCCGCGGCAGCGAGGTTTGGCACCATGGCCTTGACGCCTGCTGCCCCCAGGACCTTCCAGGCAGAGCTTCGGGCGGAGAAAAAGCAGAGTGGTAGTCCACGGGTGTCCCTTGAACCTTGCCGTTTTTTGTGTTTTTTGTGTGTGTGTGTGTTGTTTTTTGTTGTGTGTTTGTGGCGTTAGACATCGCCTTGGGGTTTTCCTTTGAACCTTACCTCTCTTTTTTGCGGGGGGGGGTGGCTTTGGTGGAGTTGGATTAGCCATCGGACCCATCAATTGGACGCAGCAGGGATGGAGTTTGTACTCGGCGGTTCCCAGCTTTAGAGTTTGGAAGGGTTCAGGAGGCGTCGCTCGACAAGAAATCCTAACTTTCGGGGGCGATGAACTGGCTGCAAACGGTCGGCAGGCAATCAACTTGATGTCCAGTTCCTGCTGGAGTCGCAAAATTCAGTTCCGATCCCCGAATGCATCACAAGATATTTGAGAGTAGCTACCTGGAGCTCTCGGGCCTTGCTCCTTTCCCGCGGGAGCCCCAGCGAAGGTCAAAAAAGACCATGTCGCGTTGGCAGACTTCCCCACGAACCATCTGGGGTTGTTGCCACAAATCGGCGGTTGTTCTGTGGACTGCCATTGCTTGCTTGTTTCCCGCAGGGGATGAGGGGATGAAATCCTACGAAGTATCCCGCGTACATCCCCTTATAGTTTTTTGAAGGGTCCGTTGCTCCGATTCCAAAACCCATGTCGGTTGCCTCCTGAAAACCAGCAAACGTGGGCGGTTCCATTTAGGTACGCCATGTTTGTTGAAGGTGATTTTGAGGGTTTTGAGTTTGATGCCAACCATTCAAGGGGTTCCCCATTTGATCCCATTTGGATCTCCCCACCCAGACAAATAGCAAACAACGCAGGATCCACTTAAAAGAAGCTTGAGGGATGGTGTTTAGGCATCAGTCCCTCATTCCCTGCCGGCCAGCAAGAAAAACATGGGCAAACGGGAAAATTGGTGTCCCTTCAACAACAAAATCCTTCGGCGAAGGCAACGACTGCTCCTACATCCACGCAGTGGCGCAGGCGCTGCACATCGTCGGCACTTTGAAGCCGCTACCGGACCTGGACCTGCTTCTGAGCCCCAGCAACCAGGATTGAGAAAACCGAACGTGTCAATAGCATTTGGAGGTATGGAGGTTATGTTCACGCGTCTCTTGCCTTTTTGTTTAGTCTTTCCCAAGGTCCGTGTTCACTTGTATTTGTTCGTTTGGGGAGGGAGCTGCTCATTTATGACCTTTCAGGGTTCCAAGCTTGGAATGTATAGGTTCCTCAAGTGATTGCATCGTCTGAGTAGCCTGAACCAAGCAAAAGTCGAGCCACCATCAAAACCCGGGCAGATGCAGATTGGAGATATTCCCAACCATACAGAGGTGCGCATATCCGCCTTACTTATTCTAGGGGTTGTTTCACCATTCTTTCCAACCATTGTTCTTTTATGTTCTTTTAAAGAACCACCCCTAGACTTATCTATTATTTACCCTGGGTTGAGCCAACCATACATAGGCGCGAATATCCGCCTTATCCCTTATTTACCCTGGGTTGTTGCGATCAGTTAACAACATAATAATAGCCGAGCTTTGAGTAGAACATGGTTTTGGGTGGGTCATCTTGATATTAGGGTCGTCAAGTGCCACGTGGGAGCGAGGGAGAGAGGGTGCCATTCTGTGGGTGGACAGACTCCATTTCGCACCAATTGAAACCAGGGTTGAAACCGTAACGTTGGTTGGTTTTCAAGGGCGAATCATCAGAAGCCAGGGTTTCTTAGGTGGAGGGTATCGTCCATCCACAGTATTCTGTTTGTTCAGGAGCATCTTCAATGAACAATTCAAAACAAACTTCAGGGTCACAATGATCATATGGCAATGGGTCAAAAGCCCGTACCCCCAGTGAACATCCCAATCCCCACTAGAACAGGTCCTAAAATGAGCGGTGCAGCTACCCCAAAATGGGATCCCAAAACGGTTTTGACAACCACAGCCATATGCCAAGGGCAGCGCAGCATTGAAGCTATGATGTTACTTCCATTTGCTGAAATGACTATTTAGAGGGAATCTATCACTACCGGATTTTTTTTCCAGGGGTCGAAAAGCCAAACGGAAGGGACTCTTCAATCAGATTGCAGAACCCGGTCTAAGAAACCAACCCTTCCTGGTGAATATCCCCCTGCGCAGACCCGTGTACAAAGGGCAATCGACTCTTTTACCCTTTTTGGGGGAGGGATCCCCTACTAAAATAGACTACATAAGAAAGGGTCTTAACCAAATAACCAAATGGCAGTTTACCTTCATACACACGGTGCTGAGTATGACGCCGTGTGCCTCAAGTCAGGACCGCTACACCGCGCCGGTGCCCGTCTTCACCCGGCACCGCCCGCGGAGACGCAGCGGGAAGCTCGGCGTGGTCTCTGACTCCAGGGGTTCCTTTGCGTTTCGGTGTCATGTTGTTTTGTTTGTAGTTACACGTGTTTTTTTGTTTGTTTCTTTGTTTGTTTGTTTTGTTTCTTTGTTTTTGTTTGTTTGCTTGCTTGTTTTTTTTTTGTTGTTGTTTGATTTTGCTTCTCATATTTATGTCTTCGAAGGTACGTTTTCTCGGGCCCGTGTTTTCTCGCTCGGGTTCTTGGGCTTGACATCGTCTTTTTGGTGGAGGTTTTGGGTCAATCCACGGAAGCGACTTCGAGAGAATCGGAATCCAACATGAGCCACGAACTCTTTTGCAGGGAATCAACTCGGTTGTTGTTGGGAAACATATTTCACATTTTTGCTTATTGGGGTTTAGTGGGAAATCCCCACTTGTCTGCTAAAAATTAGATTTTTGCTCCCCTTTCAACGTCAACCAAGTCAACGTGGATGCTGAAAACCCTTTCCGAACGGGGAACCAGGGAAGTGTTACACTTTGATTCACGTAATTTCCCATACGAAGGTCTTGGTCCAAGAGCTTGCTCACCCCAAATGCTTTAACTCCCGCTTTGACAACCGTCCGGGGTCTAGGAGTTGAACAACTGTCGTTAAGGGGGGCCTTTTGCGTGGCTGACATGCAGTCTTATTTGGGGCTTCATCAAGGTGCCGAAGGGCGTGAGTTCCAGCATCCGGAAGAAGCTGACCCTCCAGACAGGCTTCCTTGTTGGCTCCTCTAAGCAGGACCCAAAGAAGTGGGATGCCCTCAAACAAATTCAGACCCGACATGTCCCTCCATACAACCCTCCCCGCCGCCCACCACCAAAAATGCAAACCAACTCAACAAACACGCGCCCCCCCCCCGAAGAAGATGATGAAGAAGAAGAAGAAGAAGAAGAAGAAGACAACACACAAAAGAAAAGAAAAGCAACAACCTCAACAAGACAAAAAAGATAGATCCCCTCACAAACCACACTTTCGTCACCCATATCGCGACCCATACTTCCGTTTGCTTAAGAATATGTTTTATTTTCCCATGTTGGTGTTAAAGGGAATCGATTTCACTACTGGACATATGTTCTCATTTTTGCCAGGGTCGGAAAAAAAAAACAAAAAACAAATGGAAGCATAGCGACCCATACTGATGGACGAAATCCTGCACCACCTAAGAAACTTTGGAAGATGATTCCCCTGCATACCAGCAAACAATGGGTTCCCATGGATTCCAAGTGGTGCGAAATGGATGTCGCAACCATCCACAGTAGTGCCCTTGTACCGTTTCTTTTTTGGGGGAGGGTTCCCCTACCAAAATAGACTACAGAAAAAGTTGGTACCCTTATTTCCCCTACTAAAATAGACTACATAAAAATGGGTACCCTTATTCTATCCTCTCTACTGGAGGACCTAGCATAGCTCTGCGCATGTCTCAGGCTGCTGCTGCTGCCCGTGGAGTGGCAGCTGTCCCCGGGGCAAAGCCGCAAGCACGCCACGGCGGCGCAGCGCCACGGCGCGCGCAGCGAGTGGAAGTGGCGGAGGCGCGCGGCCGCGCGGCGCCCGCGCGGCGCCGCGCTTGCCGCTGAGCTGCTGGGAAGGTGGTGGTTTTCTTCCACTAGGTGCCCCAGTGCCTCGGGCCCTTCAAACCAAGGTGAAACATGGCACCCGCAAAGGCAACACACATACCCAAAGCAGAATTACACAAACTAGGTCCCCCAGAAGTGCCCTTCTCTCCCCTTTTTTCGGGGGAGGGTTCCCCTACTAAAGAGGGCACACAAGCGACACATACGTACGTACGTACGTACGTACGTACATACATACATACATACATACATGGCCATGGGTCAAAAAAGCCCGGTACCCCCCACTAAAAATAGGTTCTAAAATGGGTGGTGCACCTATCCCAAAATATGGTACCATTGGGTTTGACCCATGGCCACATTTGCTGATTTTTTTCTTGTTGTTTTTTGCTCAAGGGAAGGGGAGCCGCTGGCTTCCATTTGCTGAAAGGAACATGTGTGTTTGCCCCTCGTTGGTTTTAAAGGGAATCAATTTCACTGCTGGAGATGCGTTTTTCCCCATGGGGCTGAAGCAAATAAAAGTTTTAGCATATGTGCCATGGTCATTTTTAGATGCCAACTCCCTTTTAAATCACAAAGTGGCAGGGACGGCCCACTCTGGCAGCGCAGGCAGTGTAATTTCTCACAACCATGGCATCAGCTCCGAGTGTCCGAACTGAGCCAGAAGCAGAAACTGTCCTGCCCTTTTCCCTGTGACTGAGAGGAGTCAAAAGGAAAACCACAATTTTGAGTCCATTTTATAATTTTGGAGATCCCCCTTTTGTGATACACGCCCACGTGTTCCGATCCAAAGGACAAGATCAGGGTCAGTTGCTGTCTTGGGAGTTATTCATGCCCAGGTCCCGGTCCGGACGCTTTCTCTCGCGGCAAGCTAGGTCGAACCCTGCGCCAAGTGCCAACTTTGACCCGCTGCACTTTCCAACCGGAGAATCTGTGGGGTCGTCGTGAAGTGGTGGTTTCTCGTACGCCAAAGCTTCCAGGCAAATATGGCAGAAGGACAAAATCCATTTCGATCGTAAGAAACTGCAGTTTCGGATGATTCCCCAAATGCCAACCAGCGTTATCTCAGTTGCTCAAAGCCGACCTTCTGACCTTTTGGTTTTCCCTTTGTGGTCTATTTTTAGTAGAGGTCCCAAAAGGTGATCACCTTTTATTTCCAGGCCCTTTGGGCAACAAGCGTTATGGTTTCAACCATGGTTTCTCTGCGGTGCTGCGAAGCGGATCTGAAGACATGTAGTCCCAAAGCCGCGGCGTTTTGGGCCAGGAAGGGCCTCTTCTGGCGGGGCACCAACTCCAACTGCTTCATGTCCTGCGCGCCCCAGCGAATCCTAGGTGTCTAGGTGTCGCCAACAAAACCATGTTCAATGCCAAGGCCTCAAGGAGGAATCAGCCGGAGCAGTTTAAACATGGGCCTGAAGCTGGAAACTCCCTTAACAAATTGGATTACAAACCCGCTTTGAAAAACAAAAACACACAAGAGGCTCAAGTTGTTGTACATGTGTGCCCTTGAGTACGCTGATGAAGTACTAGGGTTGAGCATGGACATAAGTGTGAGCAGGATTGAATTGGCGACTTGTCAGTGGGTGAGTGTGTTTTTTGTTTCGATCGTTTTGTAGTTTTGCGTTGCTCGCTTGTTTGCTTTTGTTGGCTTTCTTGTGTCTTGCTTTGGGGGCAGGCCCTTTTAAAGGGGCCGACAATCAGAATCGGGCCGTGGCCAATCCGAGGGGCCGTGGGCAAAGGTCGCTTTCGGCCAGCTGAGGACCTGGGCCAGGTGGCCAGCGGCGGTCAGAGCTGGGACGACTGCCTGCGGAGTTTCTCGTGGGATCTGCGAAATTCGATCGGACCTGAGGGGTTTGAATTGGATTCCCTAGATCCGATCGGTGGATCTGAGAAATTGGTTGGATTTGGGTTCTGGATCAGCGATCGGTGGATTTGAGGGGTTTGTTAGATCTTTTTGGTTTCTTTCTGAAATGTGACACGTTGAAAACCGGAACGTGACCAGATTGGATGAGTGGGTTGATTTTTGCTGGAGGAAAAGGGACTCCCGCACCCCGTTTGAATCCACCAACCTTTCTGAGGAGTTTCGGGGTACTGGGAAAGGCTCATGTTGGGAGGGACCTGTGAGGCTATGATTGCGCCCGTCCCTGGTCCTTGGCCAACTTCCTCCACACGGTCCGAGGGCGCTTGGTGCTTTGCGAAGCATTTCTCGGCATTTCTTCGCCCACCTCTTAACGTGGCTGGTTTGGCCTTTCATTTTTCTAGTGGTTGTGTTTTTTAAAACATGGTTGGATTGTTTGGCTTGTTTGTTTGCTTGTTTGTTTGTTTGGTTGGTTCGTTTGTTTGGTACATCGGTTTCTTTGCGTGTGTGGCGCAGCCGTTTTTGCCCATGGACGAGCATCCGGTCAGGTGTTCATGTCCCAGTTTTTGGAGAATCTGGACGCCAAGTGGGTGGGGACGGCGAACCCCATGGAGGACCGGAGTCGGCCGGTGTCCTTCGTCCAGATCGCGCGAAATCTGGCGCGATGCAGATGAGGAACGAGAAATGGACCCGAAGGCTTGAACCAACAGATACCAAAAGTGGTTACCCTCAAGAGAAAAGGACCACCCCACACAGTGATTTGGGGAAACTTGCTGGTTCGAGAGATGCAGGGAAGGAGGGGATGAAGGAGTGACCCCTATAAACCATCCAACTTGTGGTTTCCGGGAAGGCCCCAGGTTCATTCTGAAAACACCTTGGGAGTGCCCTTCTTGGATCAGGGTATCCCTCCTTTTTTTTGGATTTGAAAGGAAGACATGCAAGGACAACCCCAATTTTGGGGGTCCGATTGGGGTTCCTTCTAGGTCTCCCACCCCACTGGCCTGGGGCAAAGTCTTGGGAGAGAGTTACAAATGAGTTATCAGCTATGACAGGAATCTGCCCCCTGCTCTTGCGTCCCCGCTTGTTTCTTTACAAAAACCTTGGCAGGAAAATAGTTGACTTCGCAAAAGATCGATAGTTCAGAAAAATGCTGCCCTTGGTGTCCAACTCGTTTTCCACCTACTTTTTGTTTTTTTTGAGAATCAAGCGTGCATCAACCATGCCCTGATAAATCCACGATGTGATGTGTATCCTTCCCCGTCATATTCTTAGACTAGACTTTCAGAGGTTGAGAACATTTATGACACATCCCGGTAAAGTGGAACTTGTAGCAAGAATCAAAGAACCACTCAGCTGGCTCTGTCTGTCTTGATTGAGGGTACCCTTTTTTTGGGTGGTTTCAAGCGAAGTCTCGTTTTGGGTGTCTCTTTTTGCAGAGGCCCCCCCCCCAAAACAAGAAAGGCGTCGGTTTTCCTGTTTGTTTTACCTTGAAAACCACCCAAGGGATGCCTCGGAACATGACACACCCTTTTCGGGGCGTATCCGACGTTCTGCCTGAGGAGGAGCTTTGGAGCTTCTTCGAGGAGAGCGGCTTGACCAGCGCCCGGGTCAGCGAGCGCGAGGCGCAGGCGGAGTGGAGCTACGCCATCAACGTGGATGGAACTGGACGGGACGCGTCAGCCCGAGTGGAGCCAGGATCTAGAACCCGGGTAGACGAAGGTTTGTAAGGAGTAGTCCTAACCATATAGGGTGCGCATGGTGAGGGTAAAAAACAAATCCTAACCATAAATGGGTGCAGCCGCCTTTAGAATCCTTTACGCGGTTCTGCGTAGACTATTTTACTACCAGGTTTTGATTCTGACTCAGTTGGACACCCAAGGGCTGGTTGGGCCAATTCCATGGCTGCAGACGTGCGTAGGAAGCGAAAACAAGAGATTTGAGCAATGTAGATTTAAACAAATCTGAGTTGTTTGAGGGTAGCCTGATTGGGGTTGTTGCACAGGGAAAATATGGAAAGCCACCTTTTGTTTGGGGGACGTCACCTATTTTCGTCCACATGATTGAACAAGAGACCGAGCCCAGACCTTTTGGGAGCGGGTTCTAGCGAACATCGATGCCGCAGACAAGATTCGCCAACTAGCCACTGGGGTTATTCCCTAAAACGTCGGGGCTAGCTTGGGACTGAGCGGGAGGCCGTGATCAACCACTTGGTGCGTTCCCCAGACTGCATGTCCCAGCCTCTGCGTTTTTCGGGTATGTTCCTTTCCTGGTTTCTTGGAAGGCGAGGTCATTAGTTGTTTCCAGTGGCACCCTTTTGTCTAGCTGTTCTTCCCCCCAATCCAGGCGCTTGGCATGAATCGGACCTTGCTAGGAACATGGAAGCCGACATTAGCCACTCTATAGGTTGCCTCGTTTTGACAGCATTCGGTTGCCTTCTTCCGCCTGCATCATCCCGAGTGTGTTGCTGGCTGCTGTTTTAAAGGCTTTTTGCAGGGTCCCTTCGATACCGTTCGATACATTTAAGCCGCCCGTCAACCATCACTTCCAGCTGATCTTGAAAATCCCCAAGAAAACGCAGGTGGTGTTTGGACGCACTTGCTGGTGCGATAGGTAGGGAATGGGGGAATGAACCGTTTCGGGGTCCTCTTCAAGGAAACCACCAGCAAGGGATGGTTTTTTCTCGGCGTCAGACTCCATTTCTCATTCCCCACCTTTCAAACCGGCAAGTAGTGCTGACCCCCGTTTATACAGGTGTTTCCCTCTAGAAGTGGTCTGAATCCCCACTGAAACCAGGGAGAAGCACCCCCATACTGAGCACCAACAAGTTGAAACATAGTTGTGGAGTCTTTGGCGCTGAGATTCGGGTGTCTGCCCCCAGCAAAATCCAAATCCGCGTGCACGTCGCGGTGCATGATGTGCACGTCGCGGGGGGTTTCTGCCATGCAGGAAGTGGAGACAGGATCTACTGGCAACTGCTTACCGGCAGTGTTGTCTTGGTCCAGGAGGGGGTTCTCTCTTCCAATTGCTGAAGTTCTATCACTACTGGAAATATGTTCTCATTTTTTCCAGGGTCTTAACCAAATGGAAGCTCTTCAAATGTGTCTTGCTTTGGTTTGATGATTTTGAGGTGTGGCGGCCGGAAAAGAGAGCGACGCATATTTTGTGTTTGTGTTGTTGTTGGTTGTGCTTGTTTCATTGTACCCTTTTTTCCAACATACCAGGGGCTAGTGCAGGCAATGAGATGCCAAGAGAACTCGCTGGTAAAACGTCTCGAAGGGCAGCACGGTTCAGGATGCGCCTGATAGGCTTAGCAGGGAATCGAATCAACCTACTTCCTTGTGGAAGGGTCAGACATGGGAATCATCTTGCCGCCAGTTGCAAGGGTTTTCAAACTTAGGTTCTTGGCTCACTCCTGTCAAGCCTAGTGCCCTCTATGCGCGTCATCAATTCTTATGCGCGTGCGTGCTCAGCCATGTCCTTGCCTTTTTTTCATGGGCATCATACATGGGGCACATACTTATACATGTATTCATACATATGTATATATATATATATGTGTGTGTGTACACATATGTACAGATGTGGGTGCCGCACAATAGGAGCTATTTTTCTTCCGAAGCGCCGACCAAAGACATATTCGAGTTTGACATACCGGGGGGGCAACTGATAAGAACCGAATGGCTATAGTCATGGGAGTAAGCCAGCCATCATCTCAACAAGGCCTTCTGAGTGCACCTCCATGATGGAAAGAGGGCGCGGACTTCTTCTCCGCATGCCTCAGAGAGAGAGAGGGGGAGAGAGAGAGAGAGAGAGAGAGGGAGAATCGAAAAAGAGACAGCGAGATTAATATAAAAAGAGGCAAAGAGGGAGGGAGGGAGAGAGGAGTGAGAGGAGTGAAAGGAGAGAAAGAGACAGGGAGACAGGGAGAGATGAGAGAGGGGGAGATCCAATGACCCCGGTGTCATTGCTTGTCCCACAGGACAGCCCTTGGGCCTCGTGGCCGCGCTCGCTTGGGAACTTCTCCCGCCTCATACAACCGGACTTGTCGGATCTGGTGCGGCAGCTCCAGTGGCTTCAGGACCGCACCAAGGTGAGGAAATCGGGTTAAAAGAAACGTGTTTGCGCCAAGTCCCCAGCACTTCCACATCCATAAAACACTGAAAAACGGAGTAAAACAGCGGAAAATGGAGTAATACACCAAAAAATTGAGTAACATACTGAAACATGGAGTTTGTGTCTTTTGTTTTTAACATTGTTCATCACAAATCACATCGCCACTAATATGTGCTCTCAATGGACACCAGTGGCCATCTGGTGTTCCTTCTGTTTCCCAAGGCCACAGACAAAGGAGGTTCCCTTGAGCCAACAGACCTCCCCCCAAAAAAAAAGAGACAAGAAGAACACATATGATGGTTTTTCCTCGTTCCCTTTAAAACCCTCTCCCCCTCCCCCCCCCCAAAAAAAAAAGAAACAATGAACTAAACACATGGTGGTTTTCCTTGTCCCCCCCCCAAACAAGAAACAAAAACAACAGACCCCCCAACAGTGCCATTTTTTTCGCCACGAGGACCACGACTCCGAGGCGGAAGAGCTGGCCCTGCGCGGGGAGCGCTGGGCCCGGGAGTTCTTAAGCTTCGACTTCGTCTTGCTCTTCCTGCACGAGGCCCCACGTCGTTTTTTTTTGGGGGGGGGCTGGTGTGATAGGTATACAGGGAATGGGACAGGGAATGAACCTGGGGGTTCCCTTCAAAAGGTTTTTGGCTGGTGTGATAGGTATGGATGGTGCACCACGTTGAAGCCATGGTTGAGACCATAACGTTTGCTGGCGTTTACGTTGGGGAATCGAATCCTTTCAGGGCTTGTTGGGTGGTTCGGGATTTCGTTCATCCACAGTGGGTATATATATATATATACAGAATGAGGAAGGGAATGAACCTGGGGGTTCCCTTTAAAAAGATCGCAAGGGATGGTTTGTAGGGGTCCTTCCCCCATTCCCTACTGGGCATAATTGGTTGTGCCCCTTTTCTTTTTCAGAACAGGACGCACTGAGCATGCGCGTGTTTGTGATTATATATTTTTTCAGGAAAACACCGATTTGTGTTTTTGCATTTCTTTAAAAAAGTGTGAAAAACCTCTCGAAATCAAACAAACACAACCAAACCAAGACTATGTCAGCTGTCCTGACTGGGGGGGGGGTAGTCTATTGGTGGTTTTGGTTTTCTCGAGGTTTTCTTTTGCATTTCTTTGGAAAAGTGTGAAAAGCCTCGAGAGGACCAAACACAGCAAGACTATGTCAGCTGTCCTGACTTGGGGGGGGGTAGTCTTCTTGTGCTTGTCCTTTTTGGTTTTCTCGAGGTTGTTTGCATTTCTTTAGAAATTTTGAGTAATCCGGACGTGACATGGATACCGTTTAACCGATCCCAAATCCCAGACTAAGTGTCAAAATACTGCCGATTTTCTTGGAGCTTCCCTTTCAACCAGGCTCATCATGATTCTGAGCTGCAACATGCACATTTGCATATAGTTAGGGGACCCCCCGCCCAGAAAATGACGGTCGTTTGGTTTGCCTTTAAGCTTAAAGCACCCCAAAGCTACCCCAAGTTTGCTTACAACTTCAGGTAGTCTATGGCTGGTTTGGGGACGTGGACTCACTAAATTTCCCACAAGAAGAGTAGTCCTGTCCGTTTCCCACACTTCGAAACTAGACCCTGAGTTCTCGGACGCGGTTGTCAGGCGGACTAACTAACCAATTGAGCAAATCCTTTTCCCTAGAGTTGAGCCAGGTACAGAGTCCTATACTCATTCAGGGCCATAAAGCGGGAGCCATTGCAGTGTGGCCACCTTCCACAGCTCTAATGGCTCTGGTGGCTAAAAATGAGCGATTTGAATTTTAAGAGTAGGAACCACATCAGTGGATGTCATGAATTTCCCCGAATTCTGATGTCCATTTTGATCAAAAACTCCTGTACATGCGACGACCGGTGGGAAAGGAAAACCATTCTAAAAAGATTTGAAATATTTCAACCACATGTGACAAGTTCTACCCCTGGCGAACACCGGGGCCAAACCTCAGACTAGGAATCAACCCTCCCATTTCGCCTCCAATGCGCCGCGGGCCGGCCCATACGCCCATCGCCAATCCCAGGCCATGCGCCGCTACGCCGGGCACTTCGATCCCAGCAGCCTCTTGGCCGTGGCGCCATCCGCCGTGCGGCTGATCTGACGAGGAGGCGACCCGGATCTCCTGTCGGTTGGCGCCGGAAAATTTGGACGTGAGCGGGCAGCTGGGGTTGGTCGAGAGTGTTGTTGGGCGAAAAAAGCACGGTTGTCCAAAGGGGATAGAACTGGATGGGCTGCCCCTTGAAGATAATTTCAGCCATGCTGTCAGAGAAAGAAAGTAGGGACTGGTTGACAGGAATATTTTTCGAGAGCAAGGTTGGAAGATTTCGGGAGCAAACGTAGGAGAAGGATCGAATTAGAACAGGAATATACAGGAATTCTGCCCCAATCCCTGCTCTTACCCCCATTTTGGATTGTTGCGGCATCGTGTTTGTCAAGTGGGAACTTTTCCATGACTTTTTGTGATTTGGTGATTCGGGGATAGTCATCAACCATTTCATAGATGATATTTGGTGTATATCAGCTCACTGTTCTTGCTACTCCGCAATATCACCTCACTGTTCTCGCTACTCACCGGATCTGTAGCAAGGGGAGCCTTTGCAACCTAGTAGTGATGAGTGACTAGTTGGGGCCATGAAGCACTAGGAAATGCAGTCAACGAGATTCCCACAGCTCCTCTTCCTATTCTGATCAACACTTCCAAGAATCTCTGGTCCTTTTCGGGGTGCGCGGCATGGGGAATCTTGCGGATTTCTTTGCTCCACTTCCCGAATTCTCCTAATTTTAATGCAACACATGGCCTGCCAGGCCGAGAAGTCGGCTACAGTGGTGAGCATCTGGCCTTGGGCCACGCACCTTACCGCAGGATCTCGCGCCCCTGGGCCCCGCAAGCCGCAGCGCGCGCGGAGCCTGCCAGGACCCTTCGAAAGGAACGAGCTGGAGAGAGCGCCAGCTGGTGGATGTGGCCCCTCTGGCAAGACGCGCCGCTCAAACGTGCGGGCTGCCAGCCAAAAGGAGCTTGCATGCAGCTACCATGCCCAGGGGCATCGCACGAAACCCTCGTTTAGGGGTAATGGGATCCCAGAATTGATAAACTCCGGTGTCCCATTTGCCAGAGAACCCGGGGCCGGCATCTGGACACCATCCCACGAAACCTGCGAGGGTAACTAGTAGTTCAGGGGTAGCGGAATTTTATCGGCCACATGTCAATGTGGGCAGTGCCAGGCACGGCGCACGAGGGCTTTGTGAAGACGGCGGAGAAACTGCTCCAGGCACGTCGCGCCCGCCGCGCCGGGATTTGCGCCAGTGGGTTCGACGATTCTCGCCGGTCCCTCGAGGTCCCATGGTTTTGGGCCGCACAAGGGCCATTTCTCGAGTCTTCCCTAAGGAAAGCCCAAGAGCAACTGTTGGCTTTCTCGCTTTTTTCTTCTTCTCTTTTCCAGAACACCTGTTTGACACGCATTGGAACCCAGACATGTGCTGCGTGCAACGAGGAAATCCAGTGACCCAAGTGCATCACGGTGTGTGTGTGTGTGTGCGGCAAGAAAGAAAGGTCTCGGATGCGGCCAGGCGAGCAGGGAGCTGCCTTTCATTGAAAGAGTATCTCGAAGTTGCACTCGAACAGGATTCTTCAATGGATAGATCCGAAAACCACCCTGCTTTACAAAGGGATCTTCTAGATCTTAGATCAGCTTGCAACAGTACGTGATGTTTGATAGCGTAGCTGTCCGACTGTATCCTTTAGTCTAGGAACAGTTTGGATGTGGTTTTTGTGCATCCACCCCTGTAGGATAATGAAAGCGTACCAAAACAGCCCGCAAAAATTACCCAGGTGAAATCCACAAAAAGCCACAGCCAAGCCGTTTTCTGGATTTAAGGGAGCCTGTGCCAAACCAGCCGCACCCCTTGGAACGCCCCCCCCGAAGAACGACGCAGGAGATCGAGGAGCGGCTGAGGGAGGAGATGGAGTCACACCCCGCAGCTCGATTTGCGGTTTGCGGTGAGCGGAGCGGGGCCCCTGGTTTCGGGGGCCCCCGCAAAATTCAAGGAACCACAGTCTAGGGGTCAGAAATCAGACTCCAGGTGTTTTTTGTGCCCAGAGGCTCCCAGTTCAAGCCACCCGGTTTTGAGACCCCCAACCACCTCCGGGGTGTCCAATGGAGAGGTCGGGTCTTCCATTGAAAGGTTCTCAGGAGCCTCTGGGTGGTAAGAAAAAAGTGGCAATTCCAGGGGTTGGTGAAGCAAATGGAAGGTATGCATAGGCATCCTTTTTAGGTTAGTTGCTTAAAACTAGATGGGTAAACCACAGGTTTAGATGGGGTTTATTCCATGTACCAGGGAAGCCCATCTATTTTTCCAAAAGACCACCTATGTTCGGAACCCCCAAAAAAGGGGTTTTCTGGGTGTCCTTCTCATGTCCTCCCTTGAAACCCACCAAAAGCGGTTTCCCGAACATGGTTTTCCCGGAATTCCTCCTGGTTTCCCCTTAGGACCGATTAAAGAGGTTTCCTCTGGAACAAGCTCATCTTAAAAGTGGAAGTGGGGGAGGGTCCGGTGACCCTGAACGTTCCATGGCGCCATGTTCCTTATGGCGAAGGTCAGAAAAGTCGGAACCCCAGCCCCTCTTACCAGCATAGATTGGGGACAGTTTGTGGACATCATTTGCTGGCAGGCTTGGATTTTATGTTCACCACCTGCTTTTGCGGGGTTCCAGATCAAGTTTCATTGACAATATTGGGATGGTTTTGAGTGTGCCAGTGTATGCGTGCGTGCGCGCTTGTTTGAGGATACTCTGTCGGGGCTCTTTTAAGGGGAACTGGATCGACAAAGACCGCACTAAAAAACAAAAAACGAACACGAAGACACACACACACACAAAGACAACTATATCCACACAAAGAAACCCACCCTAGGAACCCCAGACCAAAGGCCCTCATATTTAGGGTCCAAGGGGCTCGTCGGGACAAGACAGACCAGCGCGTTGAAGCGGCCTCACCGTTCGCAGCTGAGGGCTACCACCTGGTCTTCTGTGGGCATTCCATGGGCGGCGCAGTATCTGCCATGTGCGCCGCGATTCTTCGAGACAAGGCCGGCGACAAGTATAACGCGGAAGGCGTGTCGCGTGATGTGTTGTTTTTTGCTTCGCTCCGTTTGGGTGTGTGTTTCTTTGGGGGTTGGTGGTTTTTTCCTGCTTTGACACGTGCGCATTCACACATCACCTCACCAAAGGGAAGTTCACTGCAAAATGGCGAGCCGAACAGGTGGTGTTTAATATTGGTTAAGTTTTGATTGACCTCAAACCTTCCTACTTCGTTTCACGCAATGTGCGCGTTATAACCATTCAAGCCCGGCAGCCATCGAATCTGAAATGCAAAGAACAAAGAAGGGCGAACTCACCATGGATGTGTCTAACTAGGCGTTGATGTGTTTTTTGTTCACTGGAAGAACCATTGACCAACTACTAAACAGGCACTACGGGCTCATGTTTTTGCACGTGGCGAAGGCTCTCCACTCGTTTTGGTGTTTTTCCTTCGATCGCGTCTTGGCTGCCCTCCTTTAAACTCAGCTGAAGACGCAAGGCTCAGATCCTGGCATGGGCCATAGCAAGCCACCAGGGCGACTTGTCCATGTTGGTTTGGTGTTTTCAGGGGTTTGTATGTTTTCAACCTGTCGGCGTTTGCAAACACCACCTTTGCGCCAATGTAAAGCAACTCTGTGGCGAGGTGATGTTTCGGGACGTCCAGGCAACCTTTTTTTGTTCCTCCGACCCTTTGACTTGATCACCCAGGTCCTTGTGCACCCTGAGGAACATAATTACGATTACGGCAGTGGGCAGAAGCGTACCGAGCCCCAATAGAGGGGCAACTGCTTCCCCCAATGTTCTTTGCCGCGATTGCAATGGAGATATGGCGGATGGGCCCTGCGTTGTCTTCCTTTTGCCGGGGGTGTGGGCCTGTCCATTATTCACTCGCCTGAAAGTTCCGACCGTGATGGCAGTCAACCACTCAACTGATATCCCGCTGTTGAATGACTGTTCATACAGTATTTGATTCCCATTAAATATCTCAATACTATCCATCATAGTTGCACAACACCAAGACATGTGAAATACATAGTTTGTTAGTAGCCTATGCTAATCCATAAAATGCACCAAAACGAGTAACCGATTTCAACATGAATGATAACACAAGAAAACCCATCACCAAAGCCAGGGAAAACAACACGGGGTGAAGATAATGAACCACGAGAACCACAAAGACCAATAGGACGACCAGAACAAGCCTACAGCCTGACTACAACAACCAGCCTTATATATATATATGTCCATGTCACGCAGCGGGGGGCGGGTGATCCTATGAACATCAAATCTACACTGCAAAACCGCGCCCTTGAACATTTTGGGTATCTGGCGAGAGTGCCTCCCGGAAATATCCTTGCAACCGATTTATGTTGTCGCTTTTCCAGTCTGGCTTACTACCTGCCACGGCCACGCTTTGAGGAATCGCTCTTGGCTGGGACTTCGCCATGTGGCCGCGGGAAATAAATAGTACTTTCTGTGATGCCAATGGGATCCCCTTGAAAACGATGACTAAGGATACCCACCTTGCCGGCACAGAAAGGGTTCTGTGCAAGGTGGGCGTGTCACGCAAACTGGGCTTCGGTCAGTTTCCTGCTGCACACCGTGAATCTGATGTCTTTAGGCCATCTGGAGGTATGGAGGCTTACTTGGCACCAACATACGCTCGGGTGGAAGGGTACCCCCAACAAAACACCCACACACAACCACATATGGATGCATGGTGGCCATGTTAGACAATTTTGGGGTTGATTTTCCATACATTACATGCTTTGGAAAGCTGTCACAAGGGTCTTCTTCCTCAACCACCTCGCATCCGCCAGCCAGGCATCCTTGCAGACTCACGCCTGGGCGCGGGAGTGTGCCTGTGCTCAGTGGGGGGGGGTTCTCTTGCGACGGGTTTTCATGTAAGCAGCGCCGCGAAGGCCCAATCCACAATTTTGGGTCCCACTACCGGGCTTCATATGAGGTTCAGCCCGGTTGGAAACGGATCAAAGGGGGTTTCGTGCTTGGATCCTCGGCCAAGTTGGCCAGTGGTTCGCGAAACGGGCCACGAACAGTGGCTATTTGGTTGGACTTCAACTTTGATGGAAGCAGTGGATTTTCCATTGGACCCGGGAAAGTTATGTAAAGTTTTTGCACAGGGGTCGACAGCAACCGAGAGATGAGCTTCCTCATGCGGTGATGTGGAGAATCCTGCCAAAGTGGCCGCTCGATTTGGAGACAAAGGCCGCCTATTGCGCACCACCAGCAACAAACACGCAAAAAACATGTGTGCATAAGCGGTGCATAACCATGTCGACCCAGGGGATAGAAAGGGTGCTCGTGTGGTTGAGGCCCTTTAGGCAACAGGGCTCTGACGCTTTTGATTGGACTTACAACCACTCTACCCCTGCTGTGGGTCGCCATCCCTAGACCTTTTTCACCATGCCGCATTTGGTAAGTGGCAAAACAGGGGCGTGCAGCAAATGTGGTATTCCTGTTCGTTTCCCTTTAATCCAACCTGAAAATGCCACCCTCAAGAAGACACACAAATCCCAAAGAGGTCAGACAAGCGCATCCAAAAGAAATCAGACATGCGGAAGCCATCTTACGACGTCAAGCCATAGATTTACGCATTGCAAGGCCGTGCCATGACCATCGGCACTCCAGCCAGCATGAGCCGAAACCTGGGGGAACGCCTGGCAGCAGAGAGCGCCTAGTCATGATTCATCTTGGGTAGGGTAAGAGGAATATCTTAGTCTTGATCGCTATTGGGTTGGACCTGTGGCCTTTAACTTCGTGGGAAGTGAATTGTTGTCCATTGGGCCCGCACAAAGTTCAATTTTGGGATTTTGGGATCTTTGGACTTTAACTTTTTGGAAAAATAAATGGTTTCCCATCGGACCCACAAAATGTCAACATCCTTTTGCAGAGGGGTCACTGGCTATTCATTTCTTGGGGTATCTTGGGGTTTGTTCAGCGAAAAACTTGACACTTTCAGGTTCACTATTTTTTGGCCAGAATCTTCAATAGTTACATAGTTGTTTTGGGTTGGTGGCAAAGTGAGGAGCTCTCTTGGGAATCCAGCGTGTGCTCGACGTACTCGCGACACGAATTCTTGAGCTCAAGAGGTAAGAATGCCTCCGGGTCCGTACATGTCCTTTTGCAGTCCGTTCAAACATCGCCGCGCAGCCCACTTTAGATGAAATTCCTGGTGGGGTGCTTAAGAGTATAGGGAGCCCAAATTCTTCTCTCCAATGTATAAATTTGTGGCTTGTAGTAGCTGATTTGCCCCACGGTTGGGATTTAAGATTTGTTCACCCACCTAAAAGGGCACCCCCCCTTTCCAGGTTGATGAGTGCTGACGCTGATTTATGCGGATCGCATTTTCCAATTTGCAGCTGGGCATGTCAACATCGATTTCGGACGGGCAATGAATGTAAGGGTGAAAGTAGAATGCACATTTCTCTTCATGTAGGTCAGTCAAGGCGAAACCTAAACCAACATGCTGGAACAGCGCCAACTTCGAGATGTTTCCAACCGCCAGGTACTGTAAATGACGAAGGTTGCTCCTGGGTTTAACCTTTGATTGGAAAATTGGCTTGAGTTGGTACACAAATTTCTCACTCACAGGCTTGAAGCTTGCACTTGGTCCACGCCCCTCGTGGCATGACCGAAAGCTAAGAATTCATTCCAACCACCACGCCGGTTGTTTCCTCGGATTTAGTGAAGGGTTTTCTATCCAACTATTTGCCTGAAGCGACCTTAAGCCAATACGTTTTTCGCACACGAGTTTCTTGGCACTTGCTTTAAATAGGGAAGGCCCTCTCGACAAAACATGGACAACGAGGCAGCAAAGGTTTGGTCTGAGGTGCTGTGTACACCGTGGTGAACGGCCAGGCAGGGGAGGGTTCGCCAGTGCACGCCCGGGGTCACCATTTGTTTTTTGCTCCATCCAAGTTTGTGTTTCCTAAGAAAGACCCCCGGGCTTGCAAATTGCGTTTACTTAATAGTTCCCAGCCATCCCCTTAGGTTTTTAGATTGTTGGGGCTCAGTGGGGGTGGTCTCCATTTACCCCCCAAAGCTTAAACTTTAGCAGAGGATCTGAGCACAGCCCAGTCTGGAGAACGGTTTGGATGCTCTTTTTGTGGATTCCGCGGCGAAAACTTCGCCTGTTTGGTGCCGTTTTGCACTCATCCATTCACTGCGGGGGGGCAGATCCTCTTCGGAGGGGTATGATTGTCGACCCCCTGAGAGGTACCCAGCCATGAAAACCAACATGTCCCTACTACGGTGGATGGACGAAATCTTGCACCACCCAATCTTACAGGGGAATCCTCATTTGCAAGGTTTCTTAGGTGGTGCGAATCGGATTTCGTCCATCCACAGTACGCCTTGAACACCTGGTTGAAGGGGAGTGCAGTTCGAGCCTCGCCATTCCGCTTCTCAGTTTCAAGCGCTTCCCGCTTCCCTTTTCGCGGCTCTTCTCGATTTCCGTTTTTTTTTTTTCCCTTTAACGGACGAGGCCCGAGAGGCGTTCGTTGCGCATTCGAGACTCCGAGTTCGCAACATTTCAAGAGGGGTCAAACAAATTGTTCATTGTGTGTTTACTCCTCGGGATGGAGATGAGACTGTTTTTGCGAGGACCGCCCTGTCGTGGCTTGCAAGTCCCAAAGGGCGTTACAGCACTAGTTTCACACATGTCCGGCGCACATGTTGGTGGATTCTGGTGGCAACCCTGGCTTTTAACCCACTAGCAAACTTACAACTATGGGCAGTTGTGGGTTCTCACCATGGTTACAATCCACATACAAAGGCAAATTACTTTGCCCCTTTAAGGGGGGCCCGTTCATTTTCGACCCCCAATTTTTTGTTGTTTCTGACCCCCTTTTCAAAGGTACATCGGGTGTCGACAACAGGTTGACCGCGAAGCGACCGTCTTAGGTGTATTTTTGCCCCGGGGTGCGGTTTGTGGTTTATCTCGCATTTGTTTAGTTGTCCAATTTGTTTCAACCACGGTCCCCTGGATTTGGCTTGGTCGTCCTTTGTCGTCGCTTGAATCTTTGCGCTCAGGACTGGTCCCCGCGTGCTTCACTGTCGATGCATGGCTGCAGCGGGTCACAACACTCTAACCCCAACACCACTGAACCCGTATTTCTCAGAATGGTGGACCACCTTTTGTTCGGCATACAGGGAAGCTTTTTGGGACCGCTTCTTACAGAACCCCCCCCCCCACTTTGGCAAATGAAAACAAGCTCGACCGGATTTCGATGCAAGTGTCCCGAGACCCATTGGTCATTGCTCACTGGGACAGCCAGTCCGATCCGAGCATCATAAACAACCCCTCAACCCACCAAAGCCCACCAAAGCCCACCAACCCCCAACCCCTCCCACCCAAACCCACCCAAACCCCACCCAAACCCACCCAGCTCCCCAGGCAAAAGCCCACAGACCCCCGAGGAGCGGCAAGGAGCTGCTGGACGACCTCTGCGAGCTCTCAGTGGCCCGCACCGTGGTGCGCCTCGCCACCGGCGCCGCCTTCCGCCTGAAGGACGAGGAGCCGGCGGAGGCGGAAAGCGGAGGGGGCGGGGGCTGGGGGGGGGGGGGGAGGTTGGGAGGTTAGCTTCCATTTGCTGCAGATTTGTTTGTGTGTTCCCCTTCTTTTAGAGGTTCCCCTTCCATCTGGGAAAATACAGAAACGTTCATTTAGAGCCCTTTTCACACATATTCCAAAACTAGCCATTGAAATATGATGTAAGGTTAGTAAGTTATATTACATATTAACCTTGTATAGTTTTATGTATATAGTTTGATAAAAGGCTGTGGGGGGGTTGGGGGGTTGGGGGGTTGGGGGGTTGGGGGGTTGGGGGGTTGGGGGGTTGGGGGGTTGGGGGGTTGGGGGGTTGGGGGGTTGGGGGGTTGGGGGGTTGGGGGGTTGGGGGGTTGGGGGGTTGGGGGGTTGGGGGGTTGGGGGGTTGGGGGGTTGGGGGGTTGGGGGGTTGGGGGGTTGGGGGGTTTGGGGGTTTGGGGGTTTGGGGGTTGGGGAATCTATCACTCCTGGGGGGGGTGGGGGTAGGGGTGGGGGTTGGGGGGGGTAAAAGGTGTCAATGTTTCTGTCCTCAACTTCGAAGGCCCAATTGGGACCTTTGGTCGTCGAGTCGCGCTGTTCAAAGGCAATCCGCAAGATCCTTACCTGGGCAATCCGCAAGGATTTGGTCCCCTTTCTAGTGGCTTTCCTAGAATCAAAATGGAAATTATGGATTGGCCAACCCTCCATTTTGAGCAGCCCAGTCAAGTTAGTCCTGAGATGATGTTTCTGGGCGTCAAACGGCTCATTAATCCTAAGCGGAAACCGCAATGGGGGCTGGCTTTTGGCATCTTTCTTCCAGACCCCTACGTGGCATGTAGCACTCAGGTTTGAAGGGACATAGAAGAAACCCAGCACCTCCAGCATGAAGCGCTCGGGGACATGTCCAGGTCGGTTTCGCTTCCCCGCGGGCTGCCAAGCCAACATCTCTTCGGATAGCTTTGTGTTCAATGTCCTTTCCTTCCATTTGGTCAAGACCCCTGGGAAAAATATGTCCGGTAGTGATGTGCTTGTCCAAGATTCCCTGCAACGAAAGGTAGCTTCGGGGCGACCGCAAGTGGACGCGGGCCAGGAAAGCATCAACCTTTTGCGGACAAGGGAGTTCAGGATGGCATGGTGTAAAACACTGTCCAAGGAGGAAGCCCCTTGCAGAAACCAATGCGAATATAAACACGAAACATATAGCAAACCTTGAAGTATCCCATGGTTGCCGGCCCCCCAAAGAGGGCCCCAAAGAATAGTATACTTGGATGGTGCGGGAGCTGAATGGTTAACAGCCAGAACCCGCCAAAACCATGGTTTTCAGCCCAGAAAACCAGGCTTACTGACCATCCAAGTCCCAGATCCCAGTTTACACCAGTGTTCATAGCAGACTGGTGCCGGATTTTGTCCATCCACAGTATTCAGGGGGGTTTTCCCTCCTTGTTGCTTTGCTGCTGTTTTTGGCTTCCCGAACGCGGGAGGTGGAACAGCTACCTCCTGGCCGAATCCTACAGATCGTGCCCGGGAAGGACGCAGAACCCGAGACTCGCGACATCGATTTTCGTCGAGACCAAACGGGTGGCTCGACTTGTTTCGCAGGAGCCCGCAAGGTTGCAGGCGGAAACCCTTGGAAACCACCCAAAAAGCTTTGGCAAGGTTGAAGGCGGAGCTTTTTTTTGAAATGACCCACAAAGCTTTGGCGCATTTTGCCAAGGGCTGTTAGGACTTTAACTTTTTGCCAACTAATGGGTGTTCCGTATTAAACCACTAAAAGTTAGACTTTTAGCAGGGGAGCAGAAAGCAACCGAGAAAGAGTACCCTCAAAAAGACAACCCAGACTAACATGGAACATGTTCATTGCTTGTCCCAGGAAACCACGAGGGAAAAGCGAAGTGAAAAGAAAAGCGTTTGTGCGATAGGGCCACAATGAAGACCTGGTGAAGTTTACACTGCCCAAGCATAAATAGGGTTCGGATGTGTGGCGACCATCAGGAATCAGTTGGAGCACGTCAGAATGGCCGATCTTTTGGTAAGGGGTCATGAGAGAATGTTCAGGTCCGCTGGGCTCCTTTCTCCCGTGTGCCGAATGTAGACCTTAGTCTACCACTGTATGAAAGCCTTATGGAGGAATAGGGGTTTCCGGGGGGTGGGGATGGTGGGGGGGGGGGTTTAGGACAAGGGTTAAAATCCTGCGTTTGAAGCCAGGGTCCACGTTTTTGCAATGAACAAACAAACAAATGACAAGGTTGGTTTCAGATACGGCTGTTGGAGGCATGGAGCTTGTGTACCATTTATACTAGGGGTACCTACTGCCTTACAAGCGTTTGTTGTGGCAGTATGGTCCAAGGATGGCCCCGGGAGGACACCCACCTTCTCAAGGCGCAAGTCACAGACTATCGCCACTCCTTCCCTGCTTGGCCGGATGTGGCGTCCCACATCCCCTTGGCCTACGTGGAAGGCCGGATCCTCTGAATGATTATGTTACTAGGTCCCCCAGCTAGGTGCCCTTCTTAACCCTTTTTTTGGTTGGGAGGGTTCCCCTACTAAGATGGACTACAAAAAGAGTACCCTTATTCTAACCTCTCTACTAGAGGACCTAGCTTAGGTTCTGAGCTTTTGTCGAGTTTAGTGGGGGAGTCCATCTAATCCACTAAAAGTTAAACTTTTAGCAGGGCACCTGAGGACAGCCCAGATAGACGGAGGGGTCACGATCTACATCCTTCAAGTTTAGTAGTACGGTTTGTTTGTCCAGATGATTATCCCATCAGGATCTTATGGATCTTATGATTTGGTTGCCGCCAAAGGGAATACAATCCAGGGGTTCCCTTGCAGGAGTACCGTTTACCTGACCCACCGCTTGGTTCCATTGCATGTGGGGGTTAATACATGTCTGTCTATCTATCTGTCTAATCTAAATCTAATCTAAAACTAAATCCATTTTAATCTAATCTATTTATCTTTAAAAAAAATTAAAAAAAAAAAAAAAAAAAAAAAAAAAAAAAATATATTTATCGATCGTTTCAATGCTTTCCCTCGGGGAAAAAAAAAAAAAAAAAAAAACGAACCGCAGAGCGCACAATCCAGAGCCAGTTTTGCTTGCCTTCCCGCAAACCAACATGGAACTCACCAGGGAGTTTTCTTTCAGAGAAAATCTGTTTGAAATCCGGATCCTCGATATCAGCTTTTGGAGGGGTAACATAGATCCTTTGTGCTTCTTCGTGACGCCACTTTTTGGACCATGATTTTGTTGGTTGGGGGGAGGAGCTGGTTTTCCCTATAACAGCCGACAACAAAACACGACAAGGCCATGTTATGATGGGTTTTGTTGGGGGAGCGGAGTGTTGAGTCGGAGGTGTTTTTTTCGAGTTGAGCCAAGCTGAGTGGTTTGTCAGCCGGATACGGTGAAAGAGCAGAGGTTGTACCCTGGGGGTACTTTTTTGAAACAGCTCCCTCCCTGACTTCTTGGGCTTGGACATCTTGGACTGGGACCGTTCCGGGACAATTTTACTTGCCGGCCTGGGAGTGAGAAATGGAATGACCCAAGAACCATCTCAGCCTGTGAATTCCCTACTGGGAACCAGCAAGTTTCATGAGAAGCTTGTCTCACCGCGCGGTATACATATATATATATATACGTTGCGAAAGCTGGGCACCACGTCTCCCGTTTGTACAATGACCCTGGGCGGAATATGAGGCGCCGGGCGATGGATTTCCCCTTGGGATCAAAAGTGTACCCTGGGCCAAGCAACTAGCGTGAAGTTCATTGGATACCCCCCGTGAGGCTCGGGATATGGGGGAGGGGTCACCACCACTGGCTTGGTTCTTGGTTCTTTTTGCCAGCGTGGGTTCAAGCCAAGGGGTGGGGAAATTTGTGTGAATGAACACCCAGACAATGGATGCCGTTAAAAGGAAGCCAAAAGGAGAGAGTATCCACAATGATGGCTTCATCATTTTGAAGCAACAGCACATGGACATCCCCACTGCAAGAAAATGGGATTGGGGAGGTGACTCCCATTTGTTCCATGTTCGATGCTTGGCCCAGCCTCGTTCAAAACCACTCGGCCTGAGGCATCCTCAATTGGTGGTTTGGACTTGTGCTTTGCGGATTTGAACCCCTATGATTGAGGGGGCATTGACGGCGCAAGGGTGGTTCGCCTCAAACAAACCAGATGGCGAACTCCAACTCACTTCCTGAGTTCCACACTTTCTACGTTTGAGACCAATCCACTCAGGAAGTGAGAAGAACAAACCCTTAACTTCCAAGGATAAAGTGACCAACCCAGGTACCCTCCCACCCTGTTCGTATGGAACCCGATGTTCCGGAGGTCCTGGTTTGGACCATTTTCCTTCTCAAAGGACCCACGATAGTCAGGTTCCCTGTGACAAGGGTGGGAGGGTAAACTTCACAGCAAAATCACCCATCGATGGGAACCGGAGTTGCTAAACAGTTCAGGGCTCTCAAGCCTAAATAAACAAATAACCCCTATACACCATCCATCCTATGGTTTCCTTTATTCTGGAATCCAATTTCTCAGTCCTGCTGAGCACCAGCCACAAAACAACCAAAAAACAAAAAAACAACAGGAAAAGGCGAGAAACAAAGAACAAAAAAGACAAAGGAAAGGGCGAGAAAAAAAGAAGAAGAAAAGAAAAGAACAAAAACGGACACACCCACAGAACCATGGCCAGGGGGGGGTCATTCCCTGAGGTTCCGCCCGTCGCCCCGAAGCCAGGCCTGGCCTCCGGCCTGGCGCGGGCCGCGCGCTGCGACCTCGCCATGCCCCACCGCGCCACGGACTCTGGGAGCGTTTCTTCTTGCCTCTTAAAAACACAACTTTTCAACTTTTTGGGTAACATGGGCTATATGTCTGTAAATGATTAACTTCCGCATGGCTTGGAGTTTTAAGGGGTAAGTCTTGTTTTTTCTTCTTCCTCGGGTGGCAGGAAAACATCTCGGAAGAGGGGCGGCTCCCGAGCAACTTTTGCACGGGCTTAAGTTTTTGGTTGGCGCATGGCTCAGCGCGTCCAAGCCTGTTACGGGTCAGGTGACTGTTTGCGACTTGTGCTTTTTTGTTTTGATGTTTTGGTGCGGGTCGCAAGGGGGTTGCTGCCTTACCAAGGGTCAACCTTTAGCCTTTTGGGGGTCAGGTGACTGGTCCTGAAGCCTTCTAGGGGTAAGGTGACTGGTTGCTCCCTCGCCAAGGCCCAAAGCCGACCTTTTGAACCTTTGGTTTTCCCCTTTTGGACCCTTTTCCTTGGTCCTTTGGGCAACGGAGCTTCGGGTCGCCTCTCGGTCTCTTCCATGCTTCTTTGGGTGCCAAGGAAAGCTGAACAAGTGGATATGTTTCCCCTGAGCAAACCTATGGGGTGCTGAGGGTGGCAAAGCTGGTTTTTTGGGCAAAGGCCAGGCTTGATTCAGTTTCTCCGTGGTGTGATGTCTAAAAGGGACCTTTTTGCCTTTTTGCAACCCTCCGCTACCAGGCTGCGACTGCTGGGGTCCACGTCAAAAAACAAAAAAATGAAGCAGTTGGGCGAGCTGACAAACCTGTTCTCAACTGTTTGTGATTCCCATTTTCCTTTTTTTTTGCGGAACGTCATTTTCCTTTTCAACCAGCAAGACGTCTTCACTGTCATGTTTCGCAGGGGTCGGATCTTTTTGGCCCACGGTTGAGGGGTGACACCTGAAGATGTCCTTTGACATGTTTCACCCTTCTTTGTTGGTTTTGGTGAACCTTCAGTTCTTGAGGGTAAACGGGAACCTCCTCTTTCACCAAACCATGGAGTGCCCAAACCACTAGGAAGCGGAATTGGTTGGTCCCCGAGGGTCACACCTTCAGCCAGTTGCAACAAGTCAGCCAAAAAGCCCGGCACGGAGCCCCCAGGAGTCTGTTGGGACTTGGGGGCTTGTTTGGAATCACCAGGCTTTGGGGGGAAACCAATGCACCCCCAAGAACACCACACGGGACAGGAATCATCCCCTTCCCTGAGAAACCACCCAGTTTCCCGCAACCCGCAATGGTTGTGATTCCCCTATCCCTCAGAACCAACTTCAACAAATTATTCTCCAAGATGTGTTTTTGGTCGCCCACTTGGGAGGCATGAGGTTGGACATCACCCTTTTCGCCCTTGGAAACCCGCCGTTTCCTAATTACAGGAGCCTTGGTTACTGGTTTTGTTGGTTGGGCATGGCGTTTCCATTCACTCCGGGGAATCCCCGAACCGGTTCACTCCCTCATTCCCTACTAAGATGGTCTGGGACTCAGCTAATGGTTAGCAGCCCTGGGTTTTTTGGGGACTTACAACAATGCTAAGGCTACAACCACAGAAAACTTACCACTTCGTAAGTCCCAGGCCATTTTCGTACCGCACCGATCGCCTCAGTTTTCTTCCCCAGAATTAGCTCCTTTTCTGTTTTCTTCCTTTTTTGGGGTTTCTTTGTTTTCCATTCACCCGGCAAAACCAAAATAACACACACATATATATATATATTTATATTTATATTTGCTGGGGTCCTAACTCCGGGCCAGAAAAAGCAGGTCCAAAAAACGCCTCCGGGCCACTGAACGCCGCTGTGCCAGAGGCGCGGCACGGGCCTTCCCAGCGCTCCAGCGCCTCGCGGCGGAGGCGGACGCCGCGCCGCCGAGCTTCGAGGCCAAGGCACGGCTGCCGGCCTACCCTGACCAGGCGGGGCGGGAGGTTGGGGGGAGGTGTTTTGTGAGCGGCCATTGAAAGGCGAGAGGGGGGGTATCGCGTTTTTTGTTTTTTTTTTTTTGGGGGGGGGGGGGTTGCGGGTGGAATGTTGGTCCCAGATGTCCATCAACCAACATAGTATTAGGGGGGTGTTTGGGTTGGGGTGGGGCCCCCTATTAAGTAAACTGGGGTTGACGAATATGGGGTCAACATTACCCACCGAAATCAGAGTTCGGGTTTCCTGTTGGTTTACCTTTAAAACAATTCCTGGAAAAGGCCTTGCTTAAAGGGACACCAATAGGACAAAAGAACCCACTGTCAAACCAGGCCAGGCTTCCAGCTAGAGGCACGCATGTTTACCCCGGATGCATCACCCCTTGGGTTTATTAATATGTTTTTTCTGGGTTTAGTGGATCCCGGAATCAGACCACGGAAGGCGGTCAACATTACGGTACCCAGATCCCAGCCTCACTTCCTGAGCTCATGAACTTTAAACTTATTGGGAAGACCATTTTTGCGTTAAATATAAAGTTTGGACTTTTTTTGGGCCATTCACTCAGCCAGTGAGCTATACTTGTGGGCAACCATGATGTTCCTTTTGGTTTTTAAAGGGTCATGCTATTGGTGACCTAAGGTAAATGGATCCACTGGGAGGGAACCAGCTAGTTCCGCCTGGTTTTTAAAGATCATGATTTCTCGCCAGGCGATATGGTTTGCCTATGGTGATCAAACAAAAAAACGGGCAAAAAGCCGTGGTGTAGGTGCTTTGCTTGGGGCTCCAATTTCTTTCTTCAGGCTTTGGAGTTGATTCAAGGCTCGCAGAAATGTGCAAGCATAATTTTGCCATCGTGCCCCTTTTTCTACTGAACTTTTTGGTGGAGACGCCTTTGGGGGTTGCTTTTTTCGCCTTTTGATTGCGGCGTGTGGTTGGCGTTATTGCGCGACAGGGCTCACCGCATCCTCCTGGAGTCTGGAGTGTTCCCAGGTTTGAAACATCGAGGGCCTGTTGAACAGGGGGTGTAACGTCGAAGGGAACCTATGCTTGCGAATTTGCTTTGGAGACCTTTGGTGGACACCGTTTTGCATCGGGAGTTATGTCCATGTTTCTTGAGGGTGCCCTCCGCATCAATTCCACGCAAATCCGTATAGTGCATATGTACCAAGAATTTGACTTGTTTTTTTCCGGCGTTTTTGGGCTACTCCCTTCTAAGGTTGGTGCAAAAGGAACCCGAAAGGACAGAGCCATTTTAGGCTGGCGGGTTTAAAGTATTCCAAGCGTGTGGGTTTCCAAGCGCGTGTAATCAATCATAAAATTGCAACACATGCACTAATTCTCACGATTTTTGTGAGATCAGAGCTTGTCACCAAGATCAAAATTGTTATATTTGGTGCGATGCATGGAAAATGATGTTTTTTTTTTAGGAAACAAAAACCGGGAAACACACGACAGGGTGCCCCTGAATTTTGTGCACGGCTCAATGCGGGCCCATGCCGATTTCGGCGGAGGCTCGGGAGGTGCTCCGGGAGCACCTGGAAGACTTGTGCTCTGAGCAGGTTCTGCCGCTCTGACGTCTCACGGGCCATGAGATCCAGCCTCGACTTCCATTTGGTTTTTCGATGGAAAAAATGAGAAAATATTTCCAGTAGGGATAGGTTCCCTTTAAAACCAACGGAAAACAAAGACTATTCTTAAGCAATGGGAAGTCGAAATGATCTTGGGGTTCTCTGGGGGGTTTACTCAGTTGCCCAGCGGATTCCGCCCCATTTTTGCAGCTTTTTAACAAAAAAGGACGCCCGTTTTGTCCCATGGCTACTGGGCATCTGAGTTTATCTCTGATTGGTTGTTTGGGTTTGCCGGTTGTGTCATTTCGGGTCTCTTCCGGCTCCGGAGGCGCAAGATGTTGGGTCGTACGCCCATCGAAGGAGTGATCGGCATGGAGCCAATCCACCAGTGAAGGAGCCATAAAATAGAAAATCAAAGAGGGGGAGGGCAGGGGGGGTGGATCCTGATTCTTGTAGACCTTGGCTTTGCTTAAGTTTCGAGCTCGCAAGGTGCCTATTGCTATCCACTCGTTTGTTTGCAATGGAGTCCCAATTCCACCAGTTTTTCCAATAGGACGCCCAGGCAGCGAAAAGGGTTCTTCGCGAAAAGGTTCTGACACGCCGAACGGCGCGTTCTTCGCGGAAGCAGACGCCTGCGAGTGCAGGGCCTGGAAAAAGTGGCAGCCTGGGGATTCGTTGGTCCCATCTTTGGCTCTTTGGCTCCGTGGGTCTCTGGCCATAGGTCGCTTCGAAGCCGACGAAACAGGCTTTTGCGAACTGGCCATGGGTCGCTTTAAACCCAACAAAATATACATTCTTGCTAACGGGTCAAAAAATCGGACAACATGGTTGCTTGCTATCAAAGCACTGGGTTGTGCCAGAGGAATGCAGTGCGAAGCCTAGCCAAGCCGACCCGCCTTCGGGCCGCGAAGCGCCGAAGCGCCCTTCGTTGTGCCTTAAAACTGGTTGGCTTCCATTTGCTGAACGGAAGGTTTTATATGTTCCCCTCTTGGCTTTAAAGGGAATCGATTGAACGACTGGACATGTTTTCTCCTTTTTTCCAGGGGTCGAAGAACCAAATGGAAGTTGGGAAGACAATGTTAGAGACAATGTGAGTGGTAAACAGTCCAATCCTCTCAGGAAGTGAGCGTTTACTTCCTGATCTACCTTTTAGCTTCCTTCAAAAAAAAAGAACTCAAAGGCCCGAAAAGGGGCAAAAACGCCAGCGGCCGGCCCTCTGAACCCGGCCGTTTTGGAGATCAAGCCACTCGCTAGACTGTGCTCAGCAATGAACTCGGGGCGAAGTAAGTATTATCCATATCTACTCCGGCCCCCAAAGGTATTGAACGGGGCTCGATGTTTTTGGGTTGACTGGGGGGTGACTTTTGGGGGGTCAGTTTATACACAGGAAGCAGGGATGGCTCTTTTTTGCCTCCTGTGTTTCATGGCGTGTGGTCTGGGCTACCTGGTCAAAGATATGGACCCCTTTTTGGGCCCCTTTTCTGTCACATGAGCATGCATAGACCATGGCCGGAAAAAGAAGAAGAAAAGAACAAGAAAAAGACAGAGTATTCTTTCTTTTTGACACCCCCGCCACTTTTCTGTTTTTTGTTGAAACTGAGGTTCCAGCAGCAGCCTTGAGGAGGTGCAGAGCTCCAAGAGTCGACGGAGGAGCCAGCGAGTCGACGGACAAGTGGCGGGTGGTCCAAGAAGATTCGCGGTCAGGGAAGGCATGGCTTGGGGTTGATGGCTTCAGCTGAGTGCTGAATAGCCCATGGCCCATGGCCTTTTCAGAAGGACGTCACAAGGGGTTGGGTACGTCGTTTTTCGCCTTTTTCGGACGCCCTGCTGGCACCCAGTTGTTTATTTCTGGTCGGTTCTCCACAGATGAATCGACAGAAATGAATAGGAATGAAAGGATTGACTTGTTGTTTGCCAGGGCCACTGTGGCAACTGCACGTTTGCGATGCCATCGTCGTTGTGGATCCAGGGCATTGCCGGGTACCACACGTGGGGGGAGGAAGCCATCCAACCGTTTTTCTAGGTGCGCAAGCCGCGGGTTGACGGGCTTTTGAAAGGGAACTGAGTGTTCACAACCCCATGTTTTCTGTCTTCCAGACAACGCGCTTGACCTTCACCAGCCACGATTCTGCCTTCTCCGATAAAATTCCCAATTGCCAGATCGAAGGGGGTGAATGCTGGATCATAACACGGTGGTTGTTGGGAAACATGTTTCCCATTTTTGCCTATTGTGGTTTAGTGGTTGAAATCCAAATCCACTTATCTGCTAGAATTGAAGTTTCTGCTCCCCAAACCCAACGTCAACCAAGATACAGTGTCCAGGCCTGTGTCGAACTCTTTGGCTCAATGCCACCGAGTGGCCATTGATCGACTCATTTCCCCCTTTTTTTCACTGGAGATCTTGAGTGCGTGAAAACGCCGTCGTTGAAATTCGAATGGTTTCCCAGAGGGCACTGCAAGTAGTTGGGTTTCGGATAGTTTCCCAAAGGGCACTGCAAGTAGGATGGATTCATTTGCAAGTTTGTTAATTACTTTGCCCCATGTTTGCGCGCTGGTTTTTTTAATTACTCTTCTTCTTTTTGATAGATTACGCAAGGGAGGCCAACAGGACAACCGATCGAGATCCATTTTTGGGGGTGCCGGAAAAAGATGACACGCCCACATGTTGGTTGCCGCTTTTGTTGTTTTTTCTTCGGCCTTTGGAGAAATGCCAGAGCTCTAGGAGCCTGAGGCGCCTTCCAAATTTCTGGACTGGGACGCTTGGGGCTCCTGGAGGTGAAAGTGTGAGTCCCTCAGAGGGAAGTGGAATTGAAACGCCGTTGTTCGAGTTCTGGCTTCAGGTTCCCTCTGGGTTCCATGCGAATTTGGATTGCTACGGAGAATCTGCAAGATGGGGTAAAGACGCCTGAAGTAAAACCACTCCTTTTGTTCAAGTGTCATGTTTGTGTTATTTTTGTTTATTTTCTGTTTTGTTCATTGCTTACTCCCTGAGTTCCAGTTCGGACTTTACACTTTTTTGGGGGTTTGGACCGTACGGTGATTAAATAAACAAAACTTCAGACTTGTTTGGTCCCATCCACTCGTTCGGAGGTGAGTCTGGTTGCCCTCCCAGGCTTCCATTTGTTTAAGAAAAAAAACTTAATTGTCCCCTGTTGGTTTTAAAGGGAATCGGTCTCACTACTGGATGTGTTTCTCCTTCTTTCCAGGGGTCAAAAAGCCAAATGGAAGCCAGGGCCATGCCTCTCTCTGCTTCGGTGTCTCCACTCGACCCGACCGCGCTTTGCGCTACAGGAGCCGCAGCCCCAGGGGCGAGAGCGCGCCGGCCAAGCCCAAGTCCACCCCGGAGATCGAGCAGGCGCCGCCGAGTTCGGAAGCGGGTTTGGCCTTGGGGATCGAGAGCCGCACCGGAGTCGAGGAGTCGACCGAAGTTCGGTGGTCCGGTTGAATTTCAGGTCGGCGGGCTTTTGGGGCAATTTCCGGGGAAAACAATTGGGCGCCCCCCCGCCAAAATAAAAATAAAAAGAAAAGAAAAGAAAAAAGCCAACGATTTGTACGCATGCAAACGGAAGCGTGGGGGATGTCAAACCTCACCAAATTGAGAAAATACAGCGCACGGAACACCTCCAAACCATTATGGAACCAGTAAGGATCCATCGGCGAACGAGAAGGATACCCACCCCTTGCCCCCAGCGCCCCAAACAATCGTGCGCCTGGGTAAAAGACCGTCTTGCTTTGGAGGGGTTGTACTTTGGATAGGCTGAACCCAAGCGATTCCAATAGGGCCTTGTTTCTGGAAATTGTTTATGGTCCTGGAAGGGCCTGGTCAATTAATTGGGATGGGGCTGGGGTGAGCTTAAAATCGGATCAAGTCATGATCAGAAGAGTAAGCTGCCAGTAACTTCGTCGCCCCTCATATTGGAGCGTGGTTCTTTTTAAGACACCCTCCAAAATTGCGGGTGTTCCTTTTGGTGCCCCTTAAAAGTCACCGCCAAACAGGGAAGCCTCCAAAAAGGGACAGACCGTCCATCTCAGCGCGGTTAGGCGAAGCTCGAAGCGCTGGAGAAGTTGAGAAAACTCCAGGTTTCGCTTAGAGACGGAGGGGCGGTGGCGGGGTAGGTAGCATCGGCAGGGGGGCGGTAGTTGAGAGCCCTAGGGTTCGTTAGGATTCCTTTGGGTTGATAGGTTGTTTTAGGGTTCTTTGGGGAGCCTTGGAACTCCCTTGGACCACCCCTCTTTCAAGGTTGGTGAACTGAGGTGCGGCCCCGAAAACCCCTGGAATACTTGTACTTCTCACTCTCCCTGAGTTCATGAACTGTTTGGAGCTTTTTGGCAAGCCATTTTAGTTGTAAACAAAACGTGTTCAGACATTTGGTGGCCAATCCACTCGGGAAGTGAGACTTGATTGGGCTTGCCACGGGGGAGGCTCATGGACAGCCCAAACAGGCCAGAAATACAGCAAAATCGCACTTGAACTCCAAATACTGTGGATGGACGAAATCTTGCACCACTGGGAAACCATGCTTGAAACCGTTGTTTGTTGGCATTTACTAGGGGAATCGAATCCTTTCACAGTTTCTGAACGGTGCGAGAAGCGGATTCTGTCCTGCCAGTGCAAATTCTGTCCTGCCAGCCGGACATTGAAGGCCTGGTTGAAATGGCTAACAGATTGAAGCTTCAAACACGGTTCTTGTTGGGACACATGTTCCCCATGTTTGATCTTATTGTGGTTTAGTGGTTGAAATCCAAATCCCCTTATCTGCTAAAATTTGAAAAATATGTTTTGCTCCCCTAACCCAACGTCAATCAATTTGCAGTGGGGGGGGTCCAAAGAAGGGACCACGATTTTTAGCACAGCGTGGTCACAAAAGGTCCGAAGCGATTCCCTTTGGCAAATTTCCTGACTGAGCTGCAGAACACGCAACCCCAAACGCTCGTTTTTTGTTCTTCTTCTTTTTTCTCTTCTTTTTAATCGGGATATGCTTTTGTGTTTTTTGGGGCTCCACGACAATTTACAGGGGTGCCTATAGGTCCTGGTTTCCTGTCAACAGCCTCAGGAAATGAGGCCTCAGAAAGTAAGCCTTTCCCGGTGCCTGGCTCTCCCGCGGGCTGCAGTCCATCGAGCCAAAAGAAGCGAGGGCGAAGGAGTGGAGAGCGCTGCCAGCGCCCAAGTGGGAAGGAGCCCTGCCGAGAACTCGCTGCGAAATCGGCAGGGAAGGAGAAATGATTGAACCTGACCATTCCCAAATAAAGGAAGCCCACAAGTTGGATGGTTTGTGATTATCAGCCTAGTGCATGGTCTCTGCCCTCTTAAATGGAAATATGGAAGTCAACCAAAAAAAATCGCTGAGAACTCCAAAGCTGTTTGAAATTTTAGGGCAGAATAAAATTGGGACCACAATCTGACAGCAGGTTTGCTGTGTACCTGAGAGTTTGACCAAAATACATACATACGCCAACCACTCACATTTTTGAACTGACGTGGTACCAACCTGTAGGGCAATTTTGTGGGTTATATATGCGGGGCATGCACAGAGGCTTTTTGAGGTGTGTATGTCTAGAATTTCCCCATCAACAAAGCAGGTTGCCATCAGGAACAATCGCAACGTGTAACGGACATGGCAAGGTAATTCGTACTTCCCTGGCCAGGGCCTGGAAGGGAGTCTTGCAAACCCTGGCGCCCAGTGCTGTTTTCGTTTTTGATGGGGTGTTTCTTGAAGATCGACTCCCTAGGCATCAGTGGTCCCTCCATTGCAGGAGTGAGGACCACCATTGGAAGGTGTTGGACCGCAAAGAGGGCCAGTTTGAGGGCCCAAGATGCGTTGCAGTTGTGTGGCTTTCGAGCTTCAATGTAGCTTGAAGGAGGGGTGCCCCCTCGCCAAGAGCAATTCCGAGTGAAAGGTTGACCCGGATATGTGAGCAACCTGGCAGATGCTCAGGACATGTGTCTTCCAAACATGAAGGCTGCCCTCCAAAGTGGGTTGCACCCGCTCATCCATGGACCAATCACTTTTTGTTGAAACTCGGGATCAACATTGACTGAAGGATAGAGGACGTGAGAAGTCATACCTGAACCAGAGGAGGTTTCTCTACGCACAGAATTTGGTGGCTAGCAAGCCGCAAGCGAATGTTCAGGAAAAGTGGCAGCTTGTGTAGTTCCCTAGGTGCTTTTGGGCAGACCTTTTGCATAAAAGGCGCAGCCCGGTTGAAAAACTCTGATATTTGGTGGCTTTAAATTCTTTAGGGCCACTCTTGAAGTGATGGCTGTTGGCATGGCACCTTCATGAAGCCGAGGTTGCGGGATTGGCATCCGGATAAAAACCCGGACAAGATCGAGGCGCGCGGAATGTCTCGAGCGCCTCGAGCATTGAGAAAAACTGGCGGCCGGAAAAACGGGCAGAGTTGCCCCTGCATTCGGGGAAAACAACACCTAAAGGAATCCCCGAGCTCCGCTTGGACGTGGCCCGAAGCGTCTACGCCCCAGTTCGATAGACACTGGAAGCTTGCGACACGTCGTTTGAAGGGAGGCCGAGCCCGGCCGCAGGCCGTGATAGCCGAGGTCCGCGTTTTGAGAGCTCGCAGGGAGCTGAACTTAGATGTAAGTGGCTCGCAGCCCTGGAAGCGGCCCAGGTCCAAGGAAGTCTCCTCAACGCTTGGCCGTACCAAAGCAACCATGGAAGCGGGTTTGGCAGTTCCTTGGTGCCCCAGGATCAATCTTATGGGTATGGTCCAGGAATTGGACCGCAGGTTTTAGTCCGTGTTTCCGTTTTCAAGGGTTCCATTTAGGGTACCTGTTTGTGGCCCGCAGCGATCGGGTCCCAATCCGAACTCCGAGACTTCAAAATGCGGGCCCACCGAACCCCCCCCCCCCCCGGCCATCCCCGGCCCAACGGCCTGAGATGCCTTGGAGCAACCGTCGCTCGGACATGGGCGTCTTCGCATGTCGCGATCTCGCTTTCGCCAGGTGGCAAAGGAAGTCTTCCAGTTCCTGCAGAAGGGGAAGACCATTATCAATGTCTGACCCGGTTTTCTCTCTCGGTGTCATGGGACGCCCGGGACACGCACCACCCCCCGCCAAGAATTGCAATAAGACACGGTGCGGTGTTAGAATCAAGTATACAAACATATTTTCCCATAGCCTCTGAAGGATTGAACCTAAAGGGTCTATCCTTGGTTATGCCCCACTTCGGGGACTTGCCTGGCTTAGGTCCCCCAGTAGTGCCCTATAGAAGAAAGGGTCCCTTATTCTTGCCTCTCTACTGGAGGACCTAGTGGCTCTGGTGGGTTTTACCTAAGTGGAACTCTTTTAGCCAAGTCCTCGGACGTCGCATGGCATCAGTCAGCACCCATCGCCCGACTGCGCGAGTCGCAGTTTGGGACGGGAGAGTCCTGAGACGTGGAGGGGCCCATGGTGAGTGCTCAGTGTGTTTAATCAGCTTGTAAAGTCTGAAAAGGCATAGAGAAGCCCTGCTGTTGTGGGGCGGAATCTTCAATTGCCAACTTAAACTGGGGGATTATATTGGGCTGCTTGAGAAGTATGAATGTCATTTTCGGGGGGGGGGGGTTGTTTGGAGGTGTCGAGGATCCAGGAATGTACAGATTAGAAACGCTGCTCCTTTATTATTTATTGTATACAGATTCTTTAAGTTGACATCATCGGCTTTTGTTTGTTGGGCAAAAGGTAGGAAAGTACGTTGCAATCAGGATTGGGTTACCCTGCCGTCAACGAGCATGGAAGAGCCCAAGCTCCCTTGGACGTGCCGGAAGCTATTATTGGCGCAGCCCGCCAGGTAATGTGGGCTCAAACGGGCTTCGGAACAGCAACAAAGCCAACTTGCCAATACCGCCTGGGTGTGTGTTAAAGCATGGGGGGCCTCCAAATTGGTGACTTTCCTGCAGGTGTTCTTTCAGAACCACAACTCCCCCCCGAAAAAAGAGTAATTACCCTCAATGTTTCCGAGCAGAACATGGCTCCTTTTCCCTCGCTGGGCCCTCCCTCCGCCTCACCGAAGCGCCGCGCTGAGCCTCTGAGGGACTTCTCACGTCCCGGGCGGCATAAAATGCCGGCTCTCACCCGCCCGCACTCACATTTGTCCGACAGAAACTGAACATGGTCGTTGTTCGGAAGCATTTTACATCTTGCTTATTGTGGTTTAGTGGGAAATCCCCACTTAACTGCTACACTTGAGTTTGTTGCTCCCCTTCCAACGTCAACCAAGTGATGAAAGTTCCTCTCTTGAGCTCTTATGGCTGGTTCGGTGCGCGGGGAATGAGTTGGAGAAGAACCAGCCCCCATGGTTTCCTTCAAGGGAATTGCGAGACGGTTCCTTGGTCACTCCCTACTGGGCACCAGCATTTTTTTTGGTTTTAACTTACTCTGAATGGGGAGGTGTTTAGTTCTTGGTCTTACATGCAACTTTGCTTTTGAGTGGGAGTACTTTGTCCGAAGCGTCTCGGCCGAAGAGTGGTGGAAGGAAAATGCCTTGCGCAGCTGCGGTGTGGGACGATTCACCGGGCCGAACACTGAGGAAGTACATGTCTCCCAGAGAATTGAGTATCTGCCAAAATCGACCCCTGAGGATTCCCTTAAAGGAAGCCACCAGTCCCTTCGACTTGCCTTCAAAACAACCCGAATCCAGAGACATTCTAATCTTGCTAGTGCTCAGGGAATGTGGGAATGAACCTGAGGATTCCCTTAAAGGAAGCCAGCAGTTGGATGGTTCTTCTCGGGTCATTCCATTTGTCATTCCCTGCCGAGAACGCACAAGCCACCAGTTGGATGGTGTATGGGGGTCATGCCATTTTTCATTCCCTGCATCTCGCGCACCAAGTAATCATGGTTGTCGTTGGGAAACATTTTACATGTTTGCTTTTTGTGGTCTATGGAGAAATCCCCACTTAACTGCTAAAATGTAAGTTTTTGCTCCCCTTCCAACGTCAACCAAGTAATGGAACTGGGGAAACGTCAAAGCTTTGCACATTAAAACCCGGCCTTTCTCACTGTTGAACGCTGGCAACTCGAGATGTGCCTTGCCACATGCGAACGGCCAGCGCGGATCATAGCGCGATGGCCCAGGCAGAGTGCCGTTAGAGCCTCCTTTGTTTTTCCGCCAACACTCAAGCTTTGTTTTTTTGCAGAGTGTCTAAGCCTGTCCAAGAGACATGCGCATAAGCGGGACGAGGGAGACATTTGGAGTCGTGGTGGTGGTGATTGTAGCGGTGATGGTGGTGGCGGTAGTAGTGGCGGGGCCGTTCTTCCTGCTTTGAGAAGCACGGCTGAAGCCCCGGGAAATTGCAACTACCTTCGCATCCGAGTCGCGATACAACAGACTCAAGCCGGCAAGAGGAATAGCTTGAGTATGATCTGAGGATTTGCAACTTTGGGGCGTGTCAGCAATCTTCCCGAGTTCCTTCACTTCCATTGGATTCAATCCGAAGTCAATTCACCATCTTCAACCACACCCAGTTCCTAAAGCTCATAGTTGGGCGGGATCATTTCACGGAATTGGCTTTTGGATCGATGAAATTCCTGGAACGTCCCATGTTTCCGGTGAATCCAACGGGGAATTATCTCCACTTGCGCCCTGTCCTGTTTTGGGCTTGGTTTAAGCCACAAGCGTTCCCCATTTTTGGGCAGACCAGCAAAAGATGCCACGGGTCCCTCGGGAAATAAGCCGCATTTGCAGGTTTCTGTTGCCCAAAGATGTGTTCCTAAGAGTACTGGCGGTGCTAATGGATATGTGGGCAAGCTGTTTGCGACCAAGCAGGGTTTCCTTTCAGCATCACCCATTCTTAAGGGCCCCCCCTTTCAACATCACCCCACCAAAAACAAAACCAGTTTCACAGACATGAAGCCAGCCCCCCAACCGCAGAGGGTCAACGCACGCTGAGCCATGGATGATTTGGCTGCGCGGCGCCTGCGCGACGACTCAGAGTTCTTTGTCCAGGGTCACTCTTTTACCTCCCACATAATCGAAGATAGTATGGTTACTTCACTGATTTTCTGCTCATGTTGCTTCGACCCCCAGCCTGATCCGTCCATGTTGCCAATTTTCTTGAAAGGTGGATGACAGCAACGTGAGTAAACGGGTGTTGAACATGGAGCACTCACTGAAGGCCAGGCAACGAGCAAACGTTTTTTTGGCAGCCTCACTTAAACCCAACCAGTCGAAACAGATCAACCAACAAATGCAAGTGTCCAAGTTTAATGGGTTGAGCTTCCTTGCCCAAAGCCGACCTTTTGACCTTTTAGTTTCCCCTTTGGCCCGTTTTTCGTCCTGGCCTCAAAGGCTTAACCTTTTTGTGTCCTTTGGGCAGAGTGAGGCTACAACTCTGAAACCTGTGACTGACAGGCACTCAGGATATCGAGCCTTCTCCTTAACTAGGTCCCCCAGTTAGGTGCCCTGTCTTTTACTCTTTTTTGGGGGAGGGTTCCCCTACTAAAATAGACTCAAGAAAAAGTTGGTACCCTTATTCTAGCCTCTCTGCTGGAGGACCTAGTTAAGGAATCGCGACCTCAGGGATTTGGCTTCAAGGGCCGTTCGGGACGCCACCTTCAAGTCATAACTGGGGTGGCTCGTCGCTTTTAGGGGACCGCCCAATTTGTGGGCTTCCCTTTCAGCCCCTACCAGAGAAGGGTTTCCCTCAAAAATAGGGCGGGCTCACTTTGAATTGCAGGTGGATTCATGATCATAAGGACTCCACTCTCTAGAGGCCCGAGCTACGGGGCTTCGGCCATGTTTTTTTTTTTGGCTTCTTTCTTTTTCATTGGGCAAGGAACACGGTTGCAAGCTGCCCATACGATGAATGCACATGATCTTGCGCCACGCGGCGCGGAGTTTGCTTATTCCGGGGTCACCAGGTTCAGAGGCTCCCACCAAAATTCACCCCAACAACTTCTGCTGAAATGAAAAGGTGTTCTTTTCAAACCTGTTGATTTTCAAAGGGAACCGATTTCACTACTGGACATGTATTTTTTCCTCGTTTTTTTCAGGGGTCGAAAACCAAATGGAAGTTAGTGGACCTCTTCGGGTGTTTTTCCTTTTGGTTGCCTAATGGTTGACAATAAAAAGCTTTACTTCTTGGACCGTTTTGTGTCCCCAAAAGAAGGTTGTCGTTCTCCTGTTAATTCTGTTTGATCCGCCCTCCCCCCCAAAAAAAACAAAACACCAGGAGAAAAGGAGAATAACAAAAAAACAGCAGAGAAGGACGCCGCCGACAAAAACAGAAAACAAGCCCGTCAAACAACGAAGAGTGACCACTTTCTGCGTCATCCCTTTCGCCCGCGCAGGTTCTTGCATGCCGGGGCCCCGGGGACCTCGGGTCCACTGCGACATTGGCTTGGTGTTTTTTTTGTGTGTTTTTTTGCCGCCTCCGGTTCCTGGACTTCCGACTTCTGGGGCAGACGCCCGGAAAAAGGCGGAACAAAAACAAAGCAGTTTTTTTTGTTTGACTTGTTGCAGCGAGGGGGGGAAGGATTATCAGTCATGCCTAGAGTAGCAGCATGGGAACACCTCCACTGGGTCCCCCTATTCTAACCCATACCGAGTCTCAGTTGTTCAAAGCTGACCCTTTGACCTTTTGGTTTTCCAATTTTTGTCCATATTTTGTCATGACCCCAAAGGGTTAAACTTTTGGTTCCAGGTCCCTTTGGGCAACTGAGGAGTTAGTGATACCTCCCGGAGCATCTAGGATTTATGGTGACTCCCCTGGAAACGGCCAAAGATGTGCGCAGATGGTATTCCCACCAGCCCTGAAGCCTCCTGAACCCTCCCTGAAAGCTCCCCCAAGCCACCCCTTCCTGCAGATTCGAACCTCAAGGAATTCCTTGTAGTTGTCGGCAATGACCCCCCGCTTTGGACGCAAACGCCCGCAAATCACCGAGAACGCCTTGAAACAGGAAACGCCCACAACCGCGAACGGCCCGCAAACGCAAAAAAAAGAAGGAAAAATGCCTAAAACGCATAAAACGCCTAAAACGCCTTGAGACGCAGAACGCCTAGGAATTCTTCCTCGGCATTGGAATCTCCATGTGATTGCCTATTTGGGCCTATCGACCCATAGCTTTCAGCAGTTGGGGTTCACCCCAGTGATTCCCTTTCCCTCTATAGCCTTGGCCTGTGGAATGTAACCAAGGCCCGTTCAACCCAAAAGGATCCAAAAGGGAGAATGGCTCGTTACGTAGAGGCCATACCTTCCCCGTTCACGTTTTCCGGATGCTCTTTAAAAACCTGGTTGCCAACCCCCTGGAAAACGGGTGGTTTCTACAGAGAACAATGGGTGAAGAGAATGGGGTTTCTCGAAATGGCTTGTTGTTCTGGGTTCCATGTTTCTCCGTAGGATGCTAACTGGGATCGATCCAGAAAAGGCCTCCTTTGGGAACCCCAGAGAAATCAACCCCAGTTTAATACGTGGTTCTCCGGCTTGGTGGGGAATCCTCCACTTTTGGAGGGCTCCTATCTTATTCCGGGGTCAGGTTCAGACGCTCCCACCAAAATTCACCCCGTGAACAACTTCCATTTGCTGAAATGAAAGGGCGTTTTCTTTTAACCAACCTGTTGGTGTAAAGGGAACCGATTTCACTGGACATGTGTGGCTCAAAATTAAACGATCGGAGGGGCAAACCGCAGGTTTTGGTCCATTCCACCTACCAGGGCAAGCCATTTTGGTACCGGGTTTTTGAGCCACAGCCATATGTAAAAAAAAGGGTCGAAAAACCAAATGGAAGACGAAGAAAGTTCCCTGGACACACCCAGTCCATTTCCTGACCGCGGAGGCCCTCCCGCCCGGCCTCCGCGAGGAGGGAGGAGGCCTTGCGAGACTGAGCCTGGATCTTTTTGTGTCCTCGGCCTAGGGGGTGCTCTAAAATGGGCTGTTTTTTGTTGTTGTTGTTGTTTTTTTCCCATTGTTTTTTGCGTAAAAAGGCCAAACAAGGGGCCCTCCCCTAATTTTGTTCGGCCTTTTGGGTGTTCACGCTGGTTGGAGTACCCTAACAAAGGGTTGGTTTCCTGGTGGCTGCCCGGTCGAAATGCAAAAAGAGGGGCCCGCCATTTTTTGGTTGAAACGCACCTTTAGAGTTCCATCATTTCTAGCTCCCCCCCTTTTTTGGGGGAGGGGGTTCCCCTACGGAAATTGACTACAGAAAAAAATGAAAAGGTACCCTTGTTCTAGCCGCTCTACTGGAGGACCTAGATAACATGCAGAGGAAGCCACTGGGTGGGGATTCCGCTTGGTAGAGGAAACCGCCCTACTGTTTGGGCCACCGGATTTTTTTCTTTGCCGGTGGGGATTACGCTGGCCGCGGCTGGCCCAGCAAGGTGCGAGAACCAGAGGGCCGACAGCAAAGTTTGAGAAGCCTTCCTGCGAGCTTCGGAGGTTGTAAGCCCTGGCGGCTTTTGGGTTTCTTTCCGCAATGAAGTTCAGGGTCTGATAAATGCGCCCTGGAGGAAACTAATCTTCCAGGCAATCTCCCATCCCACGCTAGTGGGAGAAGGGAGAAAGGGTGAATGGGCTCATTGTATTTGTCAGTGGCAACTTGGATGGAAGGTTACAAATCTCCGGTTTTGCTAGGGTCGGTATTCTTTGTTGGCCAAAAGCGTCAGATATCAACTAAGCTCCACCGTTCCGTGGCAGGGATACCCACCAGCGATGGTAAAGGCCCGCATGCTTGGGCTGTCCCCATTCCCCAAGCCTGGTTTGCAAGGTGGCACTCTTCACAACTCCCTAGAAAGGATCTTTGACTTGGTGCTGCTAGGGCTAAAAGGCGGTGAAAAGTGTGGTCGGGGTGGGATGGTGTCCTTGTTGGCTGGTTTCGTAGGAGGTAGGTGGCCGGTTGTTTCATCTGAGAAACCCCTTTTTTTTTTCTGTTGATCCCCCTGTAAATACTAAACAAACGATGGTTTCAAGCATGGCGTGAAAGTGGTGCGGGATTTGGAACTCGCAACCATCCACAGTATGCTTGGCAGGCTCCCATTTGCTCAAGAATATGTTGTATGTTCCCCTATTGGTTTGAAATGGACTCGATTTCACTACTGGAAAATATGTTCTCATTTCTTCCAGGGCGCGAACAAAGCAAATGAGCCACAATCAAAACCTTGAAGTTAGTAAGGGACAATCCCAACCATAAATAGCTACGGCCGCTTTCTTAATTCTTTGCATGGTTTTGGGTAGACCATTTGAATACCGCGTTTTGATTATGACTTAAATGGAAGCAGGGCATGGTGAACATCGGGTCGAAACGACCCCCGCAACGCAGCTTATCTTCCATTTGCTTAAGAATATTGTTTGTTTTCCCGTGTTGGTTTTAAAGGAAATCTATCACTACTGGAAATATGTTTTATTTTTCCAGGGGTCTTAACTAAATGGAGGTGATAGCAGCAACGCTGCTTGCCAGGCGAGGTGGAGGTGAAGCTTCTGCCTCGCACAGGTGCCGCTGATGGGTCGGCCGCGGATTGGGTTTCCCCAACGAAAGCCATGTGGGTTCGAGTCGTTTACTGGGTTCCTGACCCAGGTGTTTTTTTTGTTCAGTTTTTTAGTTTTAGCCCCCGCCCACCCCGAGTTGTTTTTGGTTGTTGACATCTCCAAGCCCAGAAAACCTAAAACACACGAGGCGTTTTGTTTCGGTTTTTGACATCTCCAACTTCTCCCCCCTTAAATGACTTAAATGGGTTACAACCAAGGTTGTTGGTTGCTGTTTAGCCAGGTGCCAAAACTTCTTCTGCTTGCTGGCTCTCAGGGAATGCCTTGGTTTCACAGGTTCCCAAGAGCCTTTTGATTCGCTTCCGCGGCTCGCAGGGTGCCAAATTTTCAAATCGTAAGGAACAGTCGCCAGAAGATGGATCCGTTTAAAGAATGGCGTGGTCTTGGGTAGAGCCTTTGTGCATTCGTCTTTTTTTTTTTGTTTGGGGGGCGGGAAGGGCAACGAGTCACACTTCAACACGCCCTTGCTTTACTCGATCTAAACTCACCAAGGGTTGTGTATTGGTTTGCTCGACTTCTTTTGTCGCTGCTTTTGCCTTACCTTTTTGAGTTGTTGCCTTTTTGATTTTCCAAATTGTTCGGCCTGGCTAAACCAAAACATACTGTGGATGGATGAAATCCTGCACCACCTAAGAAACCCTGGAATTATGTTTCCATTGCAAATAGCAGCGGACAATGGTTTCCCATGGTTTCAAAGTGGTGCGAAATGCATTTCGTCCATCCACAGTAGGGGCTCAACATGGAGCCCTACAGATGGAAAGGTGGACTAAAACCCGCGGTCCCCTGTCTCTTGAATTTTGCGCCACCATTTTTGTGTGCTCCGTGGCCTGGGCTTGGTCATGTCAATCCTGGCTATTGTGCCCTCAACTCTCAAGGTTTGCCCATTTCTTACTTTGGGCAACAGTTGCCCACCGTGTCTCCTGTTGAAGAACGTGTCGAGGGCAGGCTTGTTTTTGCCCCGCTTCTGTTGGCTGAACGGCAAAACATGCACATAGCGCTAAACTTGCCGTGATTCGCTGGGAGGTTGGGAAGGACAGAGCTTCCTACATGTCCCCTTTGACCATCAATCACCCCACTCAAAGGAAACTCACTTTGATTGGACCCAACCGTTGTTGTTTTTTTGGAACAAGCGAGACGGGGAACTCTGGGGAACCGTGCCCCAGCCACACCCCCCCGTTGTTCAGTGCGTTTTCCCTTTTTGCTTGCTGGCCTCACTGAAGACTTCCATTTGCTTAAGAATATGTGTTATTTTCCCCTGTTGGCTTTAAAGGGAATCTATCACTACTGGAAACATTTGTATTTTTTCCAGGGGTCTTAGCCAAATGGAAGAAGATGGTCCACCCAAAGGGACGCTGCATGCCAATTGTGCTCCATCCGGGAGGCCCCCGGCCTAGCCGCAGCCGCAGCCGCAGCAAAAGCGGCCGAAGCGGCCGCAGCAAAAGCAGCTCGAGCCCGGGCGTTGAGGCGCGGGAGTCGGAAGCCGACAGCGGCGGTCAAAAATCGAGTCCGAGGGACTCCTTTGCTGAAGCATAGTTTGTGTTTTGTTTTTCCCCGGTTAGTTTTACAGGGCTCCTTAAAAGATCACCATTTTGCAAATTTGAAACATGTTGCATTTTTTCCACCGAAATAAAGGGAAACCACCATTTACAAGGCAATGTTCAGGTGTATAATGTAAGGATCCCTGTTTGAAAGGGAATCTATCACTACGTGATTTTTTCCCTGAGGTCCTAACCAAATGGAAGTGCAGGGATCGTAGGTGTCCTTGTTGGTTAGTTTGGTTCGTTAAATGGCGCATCTATGTGCTTAAGAAGGACACCTGTGGCAGGGATACTTTTCTCGCCTCAGGGGAGAGCCACTTGCCACTCTCGGTTCCCTTGCAAGCCCTTGCTTTCACGTTTTGCTGGTTCTTAGCAATTGATGACTGAAGCATTTTTTGGAATGAATGCCGAAATTCTCTTTGAAACGAAGCTACAGGGATGGTTCAGCTCACGGTCGTTCCCGATATTTGAACATTGTTTTGGGGGCCGCTGAGTAAGTTTTCTTTAGGTGAGATGATGTTTTTCAGATCCCAGAAACTGTGCAACTCGCTTTTGGACCCAGGCATTGCCAGACTGGAATTCCATTTCCAGGTCAAAAAAGTGTCCAGCTTTCAGAGATACAGCCGAGTGACTCCAACAACACTGGGGGGGAGAAACCTGCGACTATGTTTACCCTGCTTCAACTTGGACTTGGATAAAGGTTTGGATTCCAATTGGGGCCAAGGGCCGACAACATGGAGAAAACTCTCGCCCTCATTGCCCCTGAAAAAGAGGTTTTTACTACTTCGTCCCGCCGGCTTGGTCAAAATGCAAATGCTTTGAAACTTTGGCGATTCAACCCGCCACTTCTGGTGGCCTGAGACGGCCTTCCTTCAGACATCAGCTTCCCTCAAGAAAGGTTTGGAGCCCAGCTTGCAGCTGACACGGGGGTCGGAAAGCCCCATGCCTTTAACAAGAACCACCTGGTTCAAAATACAAATCAAAACCACCTATCCAAGCCACCTAATTAAGGGTTTGGGCAACTGAGAACCACCAATCAGCCAGCGAGGTGCAACAAGAAGGTCCGCCCCTGAAGAGCCGCTCTTGTCGGCGCCCGCTTTTTGTCAATCCAAACCAGTACCCCCCCCCCTCCCAACCCACCCCAGCCCCAAGCCCAAGCCCAACCCCACCCCCAACCCCACCCCCAACCCCATCCCCCCCACCCCCCCCAACCCCAAACCCAACCCCAAACCCAACCCCACAGCACTCCAACCCCACCCCACACCCCAAACCCAACCCCACCGCAAAGCGTCTGGGTCCTTTCATCGCAGGTGCGGCTGGCACCGCGGCAGGGCCGACCCGCCGCGGCCCAAGGAAGTGGTTTCCCCGCCGGGCGGTTTGGAAACGAAAGGCTCGCGGCAAACTTCCATTTGCTGAAAGGATTTGGTTTTTCCCCTGTTGGTTTTAAAGGGAACCGGATTATTTTTTCCAGGGGTCGAAAATCCAAATGGAAGCAAAAGGTTCGGCAGGAACCTAAGGGATTTTTCAGGGTGCTGGAAAACCTTTCCTGGGGTGAAGCGAAAGCTAGCCAAGCGAAAGCTGGCCAAGCCAATCTTTGGGAGGTTTGGGACTGGATCGATCAGCATGGTTTGTTGTTTATGCACGGTTATTGTGCCATCGACGAAACAGCTAGAGCGCCCCACAACCAATCAATGTAAATATGTGTTCCCATGAATGTTCCTTTTGTAGCGAGGGATTCAATATAACGAACGGGGCTGAACCTACATGTGTGGTTTAGGACTGGAGGGTACGTCATAGAAGGGTTCAAGACTGATGACTTTGGAGTGGAGGCGGCCTTTGGTTCGCTCCCGTATGGATTGGACGCGTATTGGTGGATTTCCTTATCGAAGTCACCCAGCCACTTAGCCACTTGGAGTGGCTGAGTGATGCTGAGTGATGCTGAGTGATGCTGAGTGATGCTGAGTGGCTGGGGGTGAGAGTGGCTGAGTGGCAGAGTGAAGCCTGTTGCTAGGGAAAAGGGGAGTCGTGATGCCAAGCATCAGGAGGAGTTGAGGTTTGGAACGTGTTGATTGGGCCCCTTCCTTGAGTTAGGAAACGGTTTGGCCCCTTGGCCCTTTGCTACAGATGTTCCCTTCTTAGTCCGTTGGAAAACCGTACTGTACAAGTGTATGTGTGCATGGCGTACCTAAAAGCTTAGGTTTCCTCCTGGGGGACCAAGCAACATGTCAAAGGACCACCCTGTTACTTGGATAGTTCGTGACTTAGGTCAATTCTTACCCCCGGTTGCTAGGGTCCTTACAACCCACCTGCGGTTTGAAATAGATGTCGTCATATGTCGTCCATCCACAGTATGGCCTCACTTTTGGTACAGGTTTGTCACTGGATGTTCCCCTCCAAAAGTTGCGATCTTCCGGGGCTCCCGCCAAAACTGCCACTTTTGAACATCATGAAGGAGGAAGCGGATCGAGTGATCCCTGTTTTCCAGCTATCCAAGTCACTCAAGGGGTTTAAAGGGAAGTACCCAAGCGACTTTCTGACTTCGACTTTCGGACAGTGCAAATCATGAGCCCTGAGCCCTGTTCATACTTGGCTTTGGCCACCCACAGGTTTGTTCACACTTGGCTTTGGCAACCCACCAGCTTGGGGAGAAGGGTCACATCAAGCCTTGGGTCAAACCGAATCCAAAGCGTCCGGAAAGCCTCCGGAGCTCTGAGGCCACGGCTCAAGCCGCGCCCGCGGCCCGGCTGCTGCGGCGGGAGCTGAGGTGAGCGCCGGGCCTGGGTGTGGCACAGGGTCCAGCGTTTTCCGAGCCAGGAAGTCTTGGCCCGTCTCAGGACGTGAGGGGTGGGCTTTTTTATAGCGGTGTGTAAGGGGTGGCTCCGGGGCAAAGGAAGTGAATGGCCATGTTGCAGCTAGCAATGCCAACGATAAGAGCCGAATGAGCGCTGTTCAGGTTGTGCGAAGGCTGTCAGGCATCAAAACCTCAACCGGGGAGAAATACAAAATGGTCCAAACCACAAAAAGTCGAAAGTTCAGGAAATCGGGAAGTGAGTAAAGCACAATACGCATCTTTTTCGGGGGCCTAAGCGAAAGTTCCAGCTTGCACCCAAGGACAATGATGCGTGCGCGTGGCATGTGAAAGGACCCCGTTTGGTAGAAACAATTTAGGCTTGCTCAACTTTCTGTTTGAACATGATCGCTTGCTTGTGTTGGCTCGGGGAGCGGTTTGGCCCGATTCTGCCGCACCAATTGATTTGTGAGGTTGTTGGCTTCCCCATCTCAATCTGTGCGTTGCGTTTTACCCGGCAAGAAGGACCGCTGATCTCTCTGTTGCTCTCTCTGTTGCAACCGGTCGGATTCTGTTGGTGGGCAAGGGGTCAAATGGGTTGGCTTTGGCTTGAGGCTCGGTACCCTTTCAAACCACCAGTTCCAGGGTTCCCCTAGTTTAAGACACACCCACAAACATGCACCTGAAGGACGGATCGCAGGTTGCCCGCGAACACGCAAGAGCTGAATGTACCATGTCAACACAAAAGCTTTTGGAGGTTCTCACTTTGGAACTTTGGGAGGATTCGCATGAAGCTGAAAGGTGCAACACCCTTGGCCAAGCTTCCTGGCTTGCATGCGAGAAGCCGCTCAAAAAAAACAACCGAGTAGAGAATTCTTGCTTGTAGGAGACCTGTTTAATTGAGACTCACTTCCTGAGTTCATGAACTTTAAACTTTTTGGGAGGACCATTTTAGTGGTACAGAATAAGTTTGATTTTTTTTTTGGCCATCCACTCAGCCAGTGAGTAATTGAGAGAGAGACTTGAGAGACCTGCGGTTTTTGGGTTTCAGAGCCTGTTCCATGAAAAATTGCACCGCGCTTCTTGTAGCTTCTGCCGCTCTGGTTTGCCAGGGGGGTGCAAGCGGCCAAGGCCGGGCTTGCTCGAAGACCTTTGGGATGTCCCCAAATCAATAGTTGATCAATTTACCCAGAGCCTCAAACTTTGTGTTTTTGGGGTATGACATTCTTAGAGGCTTTTGGGTCTCCTGGTGCTGATGGTTTCCATTGAAACTGATGGTTTCCATGGGATGGTTTCCATTGAAAGAAGCTGCCACTTCTGGCCTTCAGGTGAATTCTCTGTCCGATGTCTCCAAATCAAAAGTTGTAATCTCAATTTTGCCATTGAAAGGATCGCCACTTTCCCAGGTTCCGGGAAGGGAACTGGCTTGGAAGCCCAGTTTCATCCCGACAAGCACGAAAAAAGCCACCCACTCATGGGGGATTGGACAAACTATAGCTCACCAAGGCCCCTTCAGCAAATCAACCAGATCTGACCCCTTAGGTCCCCCATTTTTTTGCCAATCATGTTTAGTCATGGCCCAAAAAGGTCGACCGTTTATTTGTGGGTCCTTTGGGCAGCTGAGAGAAAGTTCAACTTTTAGCAACAAAAACAACGAACCACTACAGTTGCGCGAATGTAGATGGTGCAATTCCCTGTTGGTTTACTCTTCCCCCTTTACTTACCCTCCCACGAGGGAATTGTGCCATCGATTTCCCCAAGTGGAAGCACCTAATCAAGCCAGAAGGCAAGCACGGAGCATACAGCCGCTCGAAAATCAAGGGGCCCTTCTCGTTTTGGAACGAGCCTTCCAACCGGGGCTCGCGCACATATCGGCCCTGGTGCCTTCTAGTGCCCGTGGGGCAACATGTCATTAAACTTTCACTAGGGCACACCAAACACACACAACCACACAGAGACACAGAAACACAGACACACAGCCACACAGACAGACAGAGACACAGAGACACAGCCACACAGACACACAGACACACAGAGACACACACAGACACACACAGACACACACAGACACAGACAGACACACACAGACAGACACACACAGACAGACACAGAGACACACAGACAGACACAGACACACAGACAGACACACAGAGACACAGACAGACACAGACAGACACACACAGACACACACAGACAGACACAGAGACACACACAGACACACACAGACACACACAGACACACACAGACAGACACAGGCACACAGACAGACACGCAGAGACACAGACAGACACAGACAGACACACACAGACAGACACACACAGACACAGACAGACACAGACAGACACACACAGACAGACACACACACAGACGCACACAGACACACACAGACACACACACACACAGACACACACAGACAGACACAGACACACAGACAGACTCACAGAGACACAGACAGACACAGACAGACACACACAGACAGACACACACAGACACAGACAGACACAGACAGACACACACAGACACAGACACAGACACACACAGACACACACAGACACACACAGACACACACAGACACACACAGACACACACACAGACACACACACAGAGAGACACACACACAGAGACACACACACACAGAGACACACACAGAGACACACACACACACACACAGAGACACACACACAGAGACACACACACACACAGAGACACACACACACAGAGACACACACACACAGAGACACACAGAGACACACACACACACACAGAGACACACACACAGAGACACACACACACAGAGACACACACACAGAGACACACACACAGAGACACACACACAGAGACACACACACAGAGACACACACACACAGAGACACACACACAGAGACACACACAGAGACACACACACAGAGACACACACAGAGACACACACACAGACACACACACAGACACACACAGACACACACAGACACACACAGACACACACAGACACAGACACAGACACAGACACAGACACAGACACAGACACAGACACAGACACAGACACAGACACAGACACAGACACAGACACAGACACAGACACAGACACAGACACAGACACACACACACACACACACACACACACCTGTACAGCTTGTAGTGTCCCTTCCATGTGCTCGCACTCAAAAAGCTACTTGATTGTTTTCTTCAGCTATGGACACACCAAGCACCCCTCCCAAAATCTATGTTGTTCTTTCCCAAGGGGTGTGTTTGGAGGGGGTGTGAACATGATGGGTGCCCTGTGAAATTCCAGTCGGGTGCCCTGAGCCATAAGCCAACCGAGCGCCAGGAGCAGGGCAGTCAGGCGCAGCTTCAGCTGGGGCCCAAGGGGGTTTTGCTGCGACCCATTTTGGAATTCTCCGACCGTGAGCTTCTTGGGAGAATTTGCATCGTGTTTTTTTTCCGCTCAACGAGGCGCTCGATTTTTTGTTTGGCAAAAGGGGCAGCACTGGTCACCGAGACATGGCGCCTCTTGGAACCCTTTTTGTTGGGTTCCCCGCCCAAGAAGGATCGAACACGTTCAGAAGGGTACTCTCTGTCTACCAGGGTCATTGGGCAGCTGGAAATTCAGCGGTTCCTGCATCTTTCCTTGTAGATCCCCCAGCTAGGTGCCCCTTTTTTATCCCCTTTTTTGGGGGGAGGCTTCCCCTACTAAAATAGGCTACAGAAAAAAAAAGGTACCCCTATTCCAACCTCTTTCATCTGGAGGACCTAGCAGTTGCATGGCAGCCTTGCTCAGCCCACATGGAAGCCAGATTTCAGTTCGCAAGCCGATGTTTTTGAAGTGCTGACAGGGGAAGCAGGCTGAAATCCAAGTGACATCCCCACCCCCTCAAAAATGGAATTGGGGAGGGGGTGACCCCTGGAGATCTCCATTTGTGGCAACCCATTTTCCATCTTATGGGGAAGACTGGGTAAATCGAATCCTGGGACCCCACCCCCCTTCCCCTTAAGCTAGGGATCAACTGACGCAAGCCTTTGGGCCCCGAGGCCTTTGGTTTCAAGGCCCCGGTTTCAGCCGTAGGTTCGCCTTAGGTTCCTGGCCATAGGTGTCCTTTTTGGTGGTTTTGCTGAGAAAAATCGAGGGCGATCCCTGGTTTACCTGGTGGTTTAATCATCTTCCCAATAAAAAAAGGACACCTGTGTTCCTGGCCGAAGGGCCGAATGCCAGACCTGGTGTTTTCTGCTGAAATGCAATAAGTTTCTGGTGGCTTAGGGTCATTCTTAGTTTGCCCAGGCTCTTGTTGGGAAATGGCACGCATATGTTGGTTCAAGTGGCACGTCAAGAACATGGAAGACAAGAACCTGCGAGAAGCTTATGATATGAAGGGGCCTCTGGAAAAAGAGGCTTTTGCTTAGCGTCGACAGCCCACCACGTGGCAAAATTGCAAAACACCGAAGTTTCACATGCCCCTGCCCAACCTGAATTTGTCTCTTCATGTTTGCAGCTTGGTGAACCTTAGCGTTACACAGCTTGGCCTATCTTCATACACCAAGTTCAAGTGCTCAAATTGGGCTGAAGAGCACAGCATGTCTTTTGGGGTATGTCCCTTTGGGGCACGTAAAAGGGGATCGGTAGAAGCGCCAGATTGCAACAGCCATAGCCATGACGACGGTTACCATCGGTATGGCTGGCCGCGTGGTGATGAGCGAGGAGGAGTTTGAGGAGTGGCGGAGCCAGCAGGATACACGAGGCGTCGCAAGCTTCTATGACGCCTTGAGACTCATCTTGCAATTTAATCGACATTTGTGCCCAGACAAGCAGCCCAGTGGTAGCCTTTCCCCCCAAGTTTTTGAGTGGGTTTCCCTTTTCAATCAAGTACCCAGCAAAAATTGCTGTTGTTCCGAATGCCACTGGGGGGGGGGGGGCTGTCTGAGTGTCTGGCTTTTGTCATACCCTTGGTTCTGGTGCCACCAAACTTTCTGCTTCATCGTTTGGCCGCATTTCTTGGAGCCCTTTTCATTGGAGGAATTGGCTCTGGTTCCAAAGTGCGCATGCCTCGCAATCAGATTCGATTGGGGGGGGGGAATTGTGGAATCCACCTGGAGTCTCCATGGCCCTTAAAAAATGACCACAGTATTGAAGGGTCATGGAGACTCTAGGCAGCATTTGTTTCATTCAGCTGCGTGGGTTGCAGTGACTTCCATTTGCTGAAATGAATATTTTTCATTTTCCCCCTTTGGTTTTAAATGGAATCGATTTCACTACTGGACATATTTTCTTTCATTGTTCCTGTCGAAAATCCAAATGGAAGCATACAGTGGGAAGCTGACAGGTGAGAAGACCCCATTTTTTTTAGGGGTCATGGAGACTCTAGGTAGTATTTCGTTAGATTCAGCCGGGTGGTGCAGTGAGCAATTCGCAGGTTTCGGATCCAAGGCGCCGGGAGGTGGCCCGAAGAGAGCAGCATGCGAACTTTCGGCAGCTGCAGCTGGCCAGCGACGCCAGCGATGCCTTCCACCTGTGGCAGCTGCCGGCCGGGTCCACCGTGGTCGCCGTGAAGCGCCAGCTCTTGTTGGCGGAAAAAGGCCGGAAAAGGAGGTGCAACCCGAAAATCCACCCCTTGACTGCTGGCTTGGATCTTTGGACTTTAACTTCGGGGGTTTGAAGGTGTTTGCTTCTCCTATTTCATGTCCATCCCCTCAGTTGTTCAAAGCGAATCGACCTTTTGACCTTTTGGTTTTCCCGTTTTGGTTTTCCCTTTCGTCATGGCCCCAAAAGGTGATCACCTTTTAGTTCCAGGTCCCTAAGGGGCAACTGAGTCCCATTTTCACCCCATCCGGACGGAAGGAGTTCAACCCCAGCACCGGTGGTTGAGTGTTGTTTCGGGGGTCTTTGGCGAAAGATATGATGAATTTGAGCGGCATGTTTTGGTATTACCAGTTAATGCCGGAAAATACCGTATTTCCCACATCTATCCATCCCATTCCATGTCCATCCCATTTCTTTGTTGCATTTTGCTTGGATCACTAAAAGTTAAACTTTTGCAGGGGAGCAGAAAGCAACCGAGTTTTCACCCCATCCGTCTTGAAAGAGTCGTGGCTGACGGAAGGAGCGCGCTTCGTATACGGCGCAAGACCTGAAGCTTGGACTCGCTTTCGGATGTTTGAACATCGAATGCGGCGTAGACCCATAAACGCACGAAAAACTACATGCACACAATCCAGCACATACATATGTAGCCATACATATACACATATGCACATATATCTATGCAAGTGCATCTACCTCTGCATATAATTGTGCATGTGCAGGAACATTGATATCTTGCACATTATACAAAATCATATGAGGTTCGGTTAGAATTACTGGTAGTCTGCGGTACATTGGTGCCCTGTGGGGGGTAGAAGTAATTTTAACAATGGCTCATATGTCTTTTGGTTATACATGCAGCTGCGCATATCCACATGTGCCATAGCATATAAGAATATGTATATTTACTTTGGGCGTAAGCACAGCATGCCCTGATGCACATCTTTGTTCGACAAATTGAACATCAGGTTGGGGAGGGGTGAGTCAGGTTGGTCTGCTCAGGCAATCCTTACCCTCCGCCCCCATGAAAGTCGACAGAAGGGGATTGGAAGACGACATTTGGAATACGCCCCTTGTCCACTTCTACATTTGGAATCCTCACCGTATGAAAGGAAGCGCTCACTTTGCAGTGGTTTCTCCTGGGTTGACTGACCTCGATTTGAACAGCCCAAAGAACCACAGGTCCACTGAGGGTTCACTGGACACCTCAGGCTTTGGGTCGAGTCGCCGAGTTCTGTTTGCCCGTGTCCGATTCACGACTTCAAATGGTGCGTGACTGGTATGGTGCGTGCGTGCGGGCGTGCGTGCATGTGTTTGTGTATGGTGTGTGTGTGTGTGTTTCTTGCTGTGTCTCTGTTTCTGTTGATGTTTGTTTGTGATTGAGTGGTTGCAATTTAATGGGCAACCATGTTGGCACCCAAGCGGACTCGACGTACAAAGTCGCGCGACCCATCTGCACCGCCAGGCCATGGTCGTCTTTCGATTTTCTCGGCCGCCCGAATGGATGGTGTGGGGACGATGATCCGCCTGCTGGAGGAGCCACAAGATCCAAACCAGGCAGATCCCCACGGTGGTAGATCTGCCTTGTCTGCGGCTGCGTTTGAAGGAGAACATGAGGTTGCCCAGTGCTTGTTGGAAGTGGGGGCGAACGTAGATGAGGCTGACCGTGAGGACGCCCTTGCATTTTGCTGCGCTGCGGCTCCGTCCTGAGCTTGCACGGTGCTTGTTGGAAGCGGGTGCGGACACAAACAAGGGCGACAAGGCTGGACAGACACCCATGCATCTTGCTGCGTCCAAGGGCCATGATGAGGTAGTACGGCGGTTGTTGGAAGCAGGTGCTGACAGTGATAAGGTTGACATGAAGCGAGAGACGCCCCTGCATCATGCTGCACAGATGGGCCGTGACGTGATCGTGCACCGCTTGTTGCAGGCTGGCGCTGACAAGAACAAAGCCAACGCGAATCGAGTGACACCCATACATCTTGCCGCGCAGGGTGGCCATCTTCGGGTTGTACAGTGCTTGTTGGAAGCGGGTGCTGACCACGAGGCCGTGAACCTGAGTGGAGCGACAGCCCTGCATTTTGCTGAATTCGGGGGCCATCATGAGGTTGCACAGTGCTTGTTGGAAGTGGGTGCTGACAAGGACAAGGTCGACAAGAAGGGCATGACACCCATGCATCATGCTGCACAGCAGGGCCGTGCTTCGGTGGTGTGAGGCTTGTTACAGGCGCGCGCTGACAAGAGCAAGGTCGACAGGAAGGGAATGTCACCCATGCATCATGCTGAATGCAGCGGCCATCCAGAGATCCTGTGGCATTGCCTGGGAGAAAGACAGCATCGGATAATGTGGGCACTTGATTAAGAAAGGCCCCCCCCCCCCTGAACAATGGAGGCGCTGGAATAAGGTAGGCTCACTTTTGGGACGTCTTTGGGGCCCAAATCTACTTTAGTATTGCAGCCACTTCCTTTTTGCAATTCTACTTTAGTATTGCAACCACTTCTTCCTGAGCACCAATTGAAAGGGGATGCTTTTAAGCAAGTGGGCCACCAATTGAAGGGGATGCTTTTAAGCAAGTGGGCCACCAATTGAAAGGGGAATGCTTTTGAGTAAAGCAACTGATAGTTTATTTTCTGGGAGGGGGGTCTGGGGGCTTGCAACTAAAGTGGTCCCCTAAAAGACTGACATTATTGTGGTTCAGTGGGGTCTGTGAGGGGTACCCTTGTCCTGATTGTTTTTTTGCATTTTTTTTAAAACCCGGTTTGATAAAGAGTTTGCAGTTTCAGGGCTGGGGATGGTTTTCAAATTTCAGAGGTTTCAGCTGGCGTTGGGTTCTGTGGTTGAGCAACCAACTGAAAGGGGAATGCTTGTAAGCAAGTGGGCCACCAATTGAAAGGGGATGCTTTTTCGCAAGTAGGCCACCAATTGAAAGGTATGGGGCCAACATGGATTTTGGATGATTGTTTGGGGGGGGGGGGGTTAAATGATATTGATTTGTTTTCCTCCCGGGCAAAACGACTTTCAATTATTCTGGTCCCCTTCAACAATGGGGGCGAGCCAGAATAAGGAAAAACAAGTTCCATTATTATAGTCCAGTTGATTGGTCAAGTGGCAACATTATTGACGAAGACTTCCATTTGCTGAAGTGAAAATGTATTTGTTCCTATTTTAAATGTTTCCCTGTTGCTTTTACAGGGAATCGATTTCACTACTGGTTTTTTCCAGGGGTCTTAATCAAATGGAAGAAGAAGGCCCCCCCTCTGCTTGGTGGCCAGTGGAAATCTGAGAGGCTGGCTCAAAGGGCCTTTGCGCAAGCGTGTGCTTCTTTCAGCGGGCACCTGGCCCACGAGGGACATATCAAAAGCGGCGGCGCGATCAAAAGCATTGTGTGTGTGTGCGGAATGGAACGTTGTGGGCAAATAAGCTTGACTGCTATTGGGTTGGATCTTTAGACTTAACTTTTTGGGACATCAACGGGTTTCCACGAAAAACAACTAGAAAGTTAAAAACCCACTTTTTCCCAGCGGGCTCAACAGCAACCAAGTCAGCGCGATGCGCCACGCCTTTCCTTGGTTGTTTTCACCGTGGAGGGCGGCTGCGGTTTGAGGGTCACATGGCCCCCCAGTCCCCCAACCTCGCGAGCGTTTTTTTTTTTTTTTTTGCGTTGTTTTCAAGGAAAGGCCGGACGCCGCTGAAGTTGGGGGGGAGACGCCCTCGCCCTGCCCTTCATGTTGCCACGCTCCATGGGAGTGCATTGGCCATGCCTGGGAGGCTGCCTTGGCTTCGGCGGGCCAGGTGAGCCACAATTCAATCCCGGGTAAATGAAGGTTAGTAAGGGATAATCCCCTTCCAATAAATAGCTGCGGATATCCGCCTTCTAAATTCTTCACATGGTTCCGGGTAGACAATTTTGATACCGGGTTTTGATTGTGACTCAGGTGCTCTTGACCATCATGTCCCTTACTCACGTGTGGCCTCTTGTCTCACTGGCCCTGGCACTCCAGCGTTGGAAAGCAGCGCCCTGTGTGTGACTTGCTCGCAAAGCGCGACCGAGCTCCTTACGTAGGATTCTCAGGGATGCTTGCCTAGTTTGTATGCTTACTTTTCTTGCTGGTTCTATAGCTGGGGAATGAGGAAAGGAATGAACCCAGGCATTGGTCTCCTTAAAGGAAACCACAAGTTGGATGTTTTAGCTTGCCTTACAGATTGTTTTCCTGAAGGGAAAAGGCTGCACAATCCTGGGCCGCTGTTCTTTTTTTGGGTGGACAAGGCGGACAAGGATGAGATGAGCAAAGCTCGGCTTGCAGCCGAGAGACTGAAGGGCAACAATGGGTAATTCGTGCCAGTCAGCTTGGATTCGTTTGCGTGAGCCGGCAGCACAAGTGGCCCACGTGGGCTGCCGCTAGATTTCACTTCGACTCTAGACATGGGAAAGGCCCTTATGAAAGGAATATTGTTTATTTTCCCCTGTTGGTTTAGAAGGCAACCGATTTCACTACTGAAAATATGTTCTCTTTTTTTCCAGGGGTCAAAGAACCAAATGGAAGGGAGCCTTCATTCAATTCAGATTGCACCGGGTCGAAGGACCCAACCCTTCCCGAATTTTTCCACCCCTGCGCAGACTTGTGTACAAAAAGGGCAAGCTTTTTGTTCTGGTCACCCCTTCAAATCCCCTGAGTTGACCTTTGTGCTTCAGGCGACCCTCTGCATCTTTCCAGGATCCCGTCAGGGTAAGCCTCAGGCCGCAGAGGTTCGAAGCAAACGCCACCTGCCCTGAGTGCACCTTTTGGCCTGCTTTCCAGTTGTTCACGCAGAGAATGCTTCTACTATGTAGACTCCAAGGTAAGAGCACATTCCAAGGTGTTCTTTTGCTTAATCGACAAAGGGAATGCTATTCTTCGAAGTGGCGCCCTGCGCATTTTGTGGGGCGCATTCCTAAACGGCGCCCTTCCCTTCCTCCGGGGCCAGCATGGACCTAACCTACCCTGGTGCCCCCAAAAGGTGAATGAGCTTAGTTCCAGGCCAGTGGGCTAAACAAAGCAACCGTCTTTCAAGAGAAGGCTGTGAGTACGGTTCGGCCTTAGCAAGGCTCGTGTTTTTTGCAATGGAAATGGTCGATCACGAACGCCCTAGGCCTAAGGAACGTGGTGTGTAGCGGCTATATTGTGGTTGCGAACCCAGTTGTTTGCATAGGTCCTCACACTACACACACACACACACACACATGCGCGCACACACACACGCACATAAAAATACACTTCTAAGTGTCATGCGCACATGCGTCTATCCGTGCATTCCTTTCATGTGTACGCATTTGTATATTCATCCTGCGTTGTCCATATGGCTCTAGCCACTTCGGAAAAAACTGCCGTTCTGAGGCGGAAGCCGCGAGTCGTGAAGGAGGCAGGGCAGTTTCGGGGGCTGGGGCATAAATCCCCACCTCGAGAGGGTGTTGTCAGTTGGCCATGGGGCAGAACCTATTGCTCCATTTTGGGGTGGACGAACATCCATGTGCCACATATTTTGAGGTTCACCAGGAGTAAGTACAGGGTTTTTACCCACAGCCAGTTGCTCAATGGATTCTGCGATGGATATACACGGAATACGGAACAAGCAGCACGATGCCAGCGCCCTTGGTTGACCGTGAGCTCATACTCAACAGGCAGCTCGCGCAACACCAACGCTCAAACTTTCAACTTATGCCGATTTTTGAGGTTTGGCTGCATGTCTAAACACACCGCGGGTCCCTCCATCCAGTTTTGAACTTAATCTCCTAAACTTGGCCCCCAAGCTGTCGTTGCTTTGTGTTGGCCATCCGACAATCTATATGAACGCATGGAGTGAAAAGAAGAAGAAAAAAACACGCACACCCGAAACACACCCACACACATACACACACCCAAGCTGGGCTGGAGGGACGGCCGCCACGAAAGGAGTCAGATGAAGACGAGGAGGCCCGATCCGGATCGGATCGAGGAAGTTGCTGCCTGCAGGGCGTAGACCTGCGCGATGGATTGCCTGAAGATTGCCTAGCCCCCCTCCCCATGGTTCGGGGAGGGTAATCCATACGAGAGAGGTTTAGACAGCTTACGACCCTACTGTGGATGGACATAATATGCTTCGCACCACTTCTGGATGGAGCCCGATTTGAATACCGGGATAAACCACCAATCCCAACTGCTGCAAGATTCTGCCCAATGAGCAACGAACACCCGGGCACAGCTCTGCTAATGTTCTTGAAGGTCTCCAGATGAGAGCTCTTTGAACATGTGTTGTGTTGGTTTCCATGTTTCTGTACTCCTCTGAGTTTGCAGCCCCCAACAGAAGAATACATTGTGTTCATGTGTTCATTTTCATGCTGATGTGCAGGGCCGTCATCACATGAAGTACAGTAGAGCCCTAACCAAAACACATGGGTGCGGCAGACTATGCCCTTTGAATGATTTGCCCTCAGTTTTGGGGTAGAGTTCTTTGATGCCAGATGTTGGTTTGTTGTTGTCCTATATTCCAGTGAGTTCTTGCAATTCAGTGACACGCACACACACACACACAGCCCTTCAGCATGATGGACAATTAGAATTTAGGGCCACCTTGTACAATGTATGACATGTACTCATGGATCCTGACGGAACTCCCGCTCCCACTTTGGTATCGCCGAAATGCATTGTACAGCCACAACCCATAAGTTTCAGTTGAAAGCCGGAAGGGCTCTAGAGGCCTCCAACAGAAACCGGCAACGCCCCGCCGTTGGGAGGCATTCATACCGAAGGGCTTATTGGTTGTTTGGGCGGAGTGGTATGGGATGCCTTCCATATCAGCCACGTGTTGGAAATACCTTTGTGAGCATTTCCCATGTATATACCGGATCCAGTCACAGCTCCACAGTGCAATCCAGGCAAAATCACCCTGAGATCCTCCCATTTGGGTGTGTGTGTGTGTGTTTTTGTATTTTTTGTATTTTTTTTGGCGGGGGGGGGGGGGAGGCAGCCGCGGATTCCAGCTGACCCATTTGAAGATGTCCGGCGGTTTCTTGCTGACTGGTGCAGTGGCACCTCTCTCTAATTCCCAGGGTCCGGGTACCTGAGGAAGTGTTTTGTCCCCAATATGTGTTATTTTCCCTTGGTTTTCAAGGGAATCGATTTCACTATTGGACATATCTTCTCATTTATCCAGGCAACGAAAAGGCAAAGGGAAGTATTGGCTTCAAGACACAACCATGAGGAGGTCCCTCAGAAAAGTTTGGTGGTTTCTTTTTTGGAGGGATCGCCTTTTTTGGGGGATCTCTAGGGCTACCTTCCCCATTCTTTCCAGGAATATTTTTCGTTTTCTTTCTAGACAACCTCCAGAAACCCAGGGAAAATGGGGAATCAACCTCTAGAAGATCCGCCCCCCCCCCCCCCCCCAAAAAAAAAAAAAAAAAAAATGCCCCTCCCTTTTTTTCGGGTTCCTCAAAAACCCTGGGGGGGGGGGAACAGAGTCCAGGAATCCGAAGAGGAGGACTCTCAGGCGCTCCCGGGGGCAAATCCCGTGAAACATCTCGCCCCGGCAATTGGTTGAGTTGACCAAAGCGAAAATAGATAGATAAATACCTGGATAGCCAAGTTGCTGCTTGTTTCAGTCACTGTTGCTGGTTTTTTTGGGGAAAGTGGATGGAAAAAAGCAGCAGCTGGCGATCCAGGTAGATATTTGTGCATTGAAAGAGAGATTTCCATCTGTGTGTGTAGATATAGATCCTTTTATGTATGCATGTAGGACGCAACAGTTGCCCAAATCGGACCTGTCCAAGAACCCCCGGGCCAATTCTAACAAGAGTCCAGACCTGATCTTTCTTTTCTTGGGGCACGGCCTGGTCAGCCAAGCTCGACTGTCCGTGAAGACTTAGATCTCGGCGCCCTTGGGACCCCATTTCGGTGTCTGGGAAGTTGGCCGCACGCAGGGCGCAGTTTAACCGGGCTGCTCCGAGCCTCCCCAAAGCGAATTGACCTGGCATGATAATTTTCGGTTTTCCTTCACTTGGCAACCACTTGTAGTCCTGGCCCCAAAAGGCTGCTTTAACCTTGTGTTCTTGAGCCCCTAAGAAGCAACCGAGCAGAAGGAGACCGCTTTTTTTGGCATTGCAAAAGCCAAAAGCCGGAACATGGGAGGCAACTGGGATTAATTCTGTGCCATAGGCTGTCAGTTCTTGTTGTAACCGAAAATGCCCTGCTGGGTTCTGAGCATAACTGGAAGGCATAAGGAGACTCAAAGGAGTTCTCCTGATTCTTTAAGGAACTTGAACAAGGCGTGCTTTACAAGGAAGCTTTGATTTACATGGGATTGTTTCGCCCCGCCATACCTATAACCCTGACCAGGTGTCTGTGGATGTGGACCCTGTCGACATCGATTTGGACGATGAGGAGGAAGAGGAGGCGCTTAGTTCATTTTAAGCGCCCAAACCGCTCATTGGCAATTTTGCTAGCCCCAAAAAAGCAGCTTGAGTGGAGAGTATAGCTTTCGCCATTTTGGTCGAACTGGCAGTCGACGGGTTTTGGGCACTTTAGGTTTTGCTGTTGGGGGGACGTGGGGAGTTGTCGATGTAGAAGTGGGGTGTCGTTTGTGCTTGTTCACAAACCTTTGGGGAATAGGAGCCTCAGAAAGCCTGAAGCTTTCTAAGCCTAGACCTGCCCCCGCCCGAGCAACAGAATCCCCGCGTCTACAGGTGTGAAACCTATAGCTATACTCGGTTACTTGCTATAGCGGCAGCTGGAAGCACTGGGCAATGATTTGGACAGTTTGAGTCGAGTCAGCCATCGCGATGCGAGGAACAACAAAATGGTGCATGAGCGGAAACCAAGACGGAAACCTTACTGGAGGACCTAGTAGGCTTCCTAAGCGCGCGCTTAGAGCTAGCCTTCAATTTAGCCCAAAGGATGGAAGGCCGAGGATGTAGCAGTCTCAAAGAAGTCGATACGGTTCTAGGGGTTGATTCCCGATTCTTTCCTCCATTTGCTTAAGAATGTATGGTGGTTGTTGCAAAGGGCTACATGCCTGTGTTTTGTTTTGAGGCTGCCCTTTGTCGGGGTTATTAAAAAAAAAGGACGCCCAAGAGAAACCGCCTGTTTTGAATTCGGGAGGGGGGGGGGGGCGGTCCCGTGAGACAAACGCAAGGAACCCCCTAGATGATGGCGATGGATCCGAATCCCAAGTTGGCTTTGGTTCACTGAAAGGTCTTGGCTTTTTCACGAACTCGTCAATTGCTACAGGGAAAAGAGGGGCGAGGCCTATCATTGCGGGGCTTCTGATGTTGATTCGGGCTTGTTGATTCCCCATTCTTTTCAACCATCGTTTCTTCCAAAGCCCAGCCGTTTTCCCTGGGTATTCTAGAAAGAAGGATCCCTGGAAAGAATGCAAATGGAAAGTACCCCTAGAGGGCTACGTTCATCACGTCCTTCAATGACGTGGGTGGACTCCTGTTCTTGTTCGCCAAAGTGAGCCAAGGCGGTATGTGGGCATAAACGCCAGGCTTTGGGAGGTATCTTGAGGGCAGTTCAATTGGAAGTCAACCATTTGGGCTGCCCCTCTTGGCAGACATAGCTTACTCTTTAGCTGTCTTGCCTTTGCGGGTTGTTTGTTCATTGTTTCTTCGAGGCAAAAGGGGTGACCATTATTTTCACCCATCGGTCTTTTCAACAACCAGCTGTTCCCCTTGACTTCTGCTGGTTTTCTGAAAAGAAATTCGGATCCCTGGAAAGAACGGAAATGGAAGTGTGCCCTGGAGCGACGGGTTGGGTCGCATCGACTCGCCCCCGTGGCCCTTTTTCGCTGTGGATAGGAGTCGGCCGAGGGCGAGGGCAGCGAGGGCTCGGGCCCTTCAAGGCTGCGGGTTCTCATGGGGAACGGTTGGTAGGTGGCTGGGTGGTTTTGAGGGTACCTAGGCTCTCCTTCTGACCTTTTTAAAAATGGTTGGTCATTACCCAAAAGAAGGGGGTCATGACCCCATTTTTGAAGGGTCATGGAGAGTCTAGAGACCCTTTGTGGGGCAAAAAATGGTGGTTTTAGTTCCGCTGATGGGGTTCACCACCTCAGATGGGAGTTCTTTCCCACAAAATGTGTGCACAAAAACCTGGCCCCAAAGGGAAAAGGAGCATTAGACTCGTTCATGAAACCGTTTGAAACCAGAACTGTTTCCATTTAAAACCAACTTCGCAGTGAAGAATGACCTAACTGCCCTGCAAGCCTGCAAATTCCAGAGTCTCCATTGATAATCGTTTGGAGTTTCAGCCCGGAAGGGGTTGGTTTCGGGGCCGTTCATCAGAAGTTGTTTGGGAAGGGCGTAGTTAATTCCAGACAGCGCACTCAGCAGTCAAGTGAGCCTGCCTTGTTTTTTGGTCATGTGATGATATGTATTTGGCCCTGGTTGCTTTGATGGAAACCAACGGGCACGCCGTCATGTTCAGAGCCCGAGGCATATGCTCGTGTGAAATGTTTAGTTAATGGGGATTATTGGGGAGCATCCCGATTTTGAGGGGATTTGTTCATTTAAGAGGGCCCCTCCCTGATGAATCACTAAGGGGGGGGGGAGGGGGGGGGGGGGCGGTGTGTAAATCGCTTCCATGTGCGAAGGAAACTGTGCTATGTAATTACACAGCAATATTACAAGTGACAAGTGCAAATCAGAGCTCATGAAACAACAAAGAAAAGATACACGATTGCTCCCATGGGGAGCATTTTGACCTGGGCAACTGTCCGAATTTCTTTCTTTTTCATTTCTCTGACTTAGTTCCATAAAAATCAGCTTTCCCCTAGTTGGTGGTTTAGAGCCCGGTGGCTTGGTGGTGAAATGGGGGTGGTTTCCTACCCCCTACAAGGTCCAGGGCTTCGATTGCCCAAACCACCACTCCAAACCAATAATTTTAGGGGCTACCTGATACACACTTAATTTGCAGCGGAGGGGAAACCCCGCCCCCAACTAGTCCAGCTTTGATGACTCCAGCAAGTCAGGCTCAATGTCTACTTCTTGGACGGCTAGAGATGATTGAATGAGTCAATGAGGGAGGCCCGTTTAGATGGTGTTAACAAAGCCTTCGGGGAGCCGACCCTTTGTGCCCAACCCCATCCCTGCATCTGGATGCGGATAAATCCCAAACCTCAAGAAGAAGCTTACCCCACTTGCCCTCAGTTGAGCTCGTGAATGATCAGGGCGAGAGAGAGAGAGAGGAGGTGTGCATGCTTTGCTCCAGTATTTTTTGGTAGATGGCCCAGCACGACGTGTTTCTGGCAGCAAGTCTGCGTCGGCGCATTCAGCTGCTTTCGCAATGGCACAGCAAGGATGCGCACGATGAACACAGGCACGCCTATGTGTAGGCATGTTGAATCCAGAGGGCATTCTTGAAGAATAGCTTGTCCCTTCTTTACTATCATGAGCCCATATATTCCTGTTATTCAACACTTTTGGCATTCTAGCCTTGAGCCGGCTAAGAGGTCGAACCCGAAGTAATTGCTACAATTAAGAAAGTGAATTCCAGGACCAAATGAATCAGGATTTGCGTAGCGGCCCTGTAGCTGGCTGAGTCCATCCTTTGGCTTCCTAGGGAGAAAGTGCAAATCTTTGAGAAGCCCATTCCAAAGGTTGTGAAGTATAATGTTTCTTCAGTTGCGACTTACCCAAAAAATATCTCCCCGAGCCTCTCTTTCAAAGCCGGCCACGCCGGCCGTACGATCCGCGCCGCGAGCCCTGCAGCTTTGGCTCCGCCTGTCCTTACGGCCAGCGGCTTGCTGCAGGTTGACATCTGGGAATCGGAGCATAGACTGCGCAGGTTACATCTTGCCTGGCGGGAGATTGATCTCTACAGGAAGTGAAGAAATTGTCTAGAAAGAGGGTTCCAAACATATGAAGCGTGTGTAGGGTTCCAAGTTGGGAAGGCCCTGCATCCATTCGTGGCCCCAAAGGTGATCACCGTTTTTTTAGATGGGTGCTTTGGGCAACTGAGGTCATATTCTCAAGGAGCTGTGTGAAATTCAGCAGGAAGTTCACCCAACCCTTGTTGCGGGTCGGTTGCTAACTTCCCATATACCTGCGACATATTTGGGCAAGTGGGGGAAAACAAATCCATCATGAATTGCTTCTTTTGAATTTGTGAACTGTTGCACCTTCGCAAAAACAGACATAGAACCTGCACAGTTCCTGGCACACTCTCTTCTTTTCATGCAGGTATCCAGGTTTGTGTTCGGGATGATCATTTGATGTGCCGTACTCAAAGCAATCGCCAAACCACCCGACGATTCGGCCATTCGCCTTAGCAAGAATTGCATATGGCGAGACATGGTGCGGGAAGTGGAGCTGACCATCATCAACGGCCAGGAAGCTTTTCACCCCCGCGCCTCATGGGGTCCTTGAAAGATGCACGCGGATTTTTCTGGGAGAATTGCGTCCTGGGACCCGGCAAGTTCAAGTTGGCTTACCCTTCCTCGTCCAGGATCCTTTCAGGTTGTAAGTCCTCGTGGGTCATGGACAGGGTGTTTAACCATTTTGCAATTTATCTCAGGGTCCCTCAACGGGTCTACCTCAAACACCCTACTACATGTAGCACAAATATCTCTCTATATATAAATATATATATATACACATGTAAGATTAAAGAGCTGCACCGTCCCCCGGCAAAATCCAAAGTTAGCATGAATCTATGTGGCTTGATGGTGGCTTCCTGCAGGGGGGAAGTTTTCCCCCTCTCAGATCGGATCCCAATTGGCCCCCTGCTCTTCTAGCTATCGCAGAGCCAAGGGTTGTTTGGACCAGGGTTCCACTGTTTGACTAAGCCAAGATAGACTTAAACCCAGGGCCTCTCCTTTTGGGGGGAAATGAGCCACCCCTGGGTTTGAGCCTACCATCGGGTAGTCAAAAGCGGGAAATCTGGCTCGGACCTGTCATGATTGACTCGGAAGCATGAGTAAGCGGTTTTGTTGTAGCCTTTGACGTTGGGACCATGAGCCTTTCCCGACTACCGGCAGGTTGTTGAGCGATTGTTGAGCTATATGTCCCCGCTTACACCTCAAAGATGGAATTGGCGGAGAGGGTTTGCAACCCATTTGTAGATCCATCTTTCCCATTTTTCATGTTGCCGAGGATGCAAGAAAAGAACATTTTCCTATACTTCCATTTGCTTAAGAATAGTGTTTGTTTCCCCTGTTGGCTTTAAAGGGAATCTATCACTACTGGACATATTTCATTTTTTCCAGGGATCTTAACCAAATGAAAGCATAGGGTACGGGGATGTTAGGCTTACTACTCCGGGGCTCATGTCAGGAGCTGCCGCCGGATGCTGAGCATGTGCTCCAGAACTTCTACGAGGCTGGAGACGGACCCGGCAATGTTCTACAAGGGCCCCCAGTACCCTTTTTTAAACCCCTTTCTAACCCCCCTTCTTAACCCTTTTTTTTGGTTGGGGGTTCCCCTACTAAAGTAGACCGCAGAAAAAAGGGTATCCTTATTCTAAGCTCTCAAATCTGGAGGACCTAGTCTAGCATACTGGCTTCCGCTTAGATGGTCTGGGACTTAGCTAAGTGGTTAGTAACCCTGGGTATAAGGGACTTACAACCATGCTAAGTCGGTTACAACCGCGTTACTAACCACTTAGCTAAGTCCCAGACCGTCTTAGCATTTGCTGAAAGGAATGTGAATTGTATTTTCCCTTGTTGGTTTTTACGGGAACCTATCACTACTGGACATATTCTTTCCCAGTGGGCTTAAGCAAATGGAAGCTGTGGATGGACAAAGTCCGCTTCGCACCAGTACAAAGCCCTTGAATACTGACTGTTACTGAGATGAGCCACCTACCAACTCTGGGTGCAAAATGGGTTTGTCCCATCGGTATAAGGATTCCCCCCCTCCGGCCCCGAGGCCGGGGGGTGGATCCTGTGTCCAAAGTGGCATCGAAAGGTCTAGGGATCGGCTTAGCCTTCAGTCTTGCGCTGAGCTGTAAGGGCAAAGTACGGGTTTGTCCGCCTACAAGCATTGTGTGCGGTACATCCAGTGGGCAGAGGCCAAAGGTAAGCCTATTGGAAAGAGCTAACATGCCATAGGCAAGGACACTTTACTGGCAAGGGACACCACGCCCAACGTTTGATCCGAGTTGCCAAGCCTGAAGATCTTGCTCTTGAAGCTGTTCGTAGATCGCTTCTTCATTTGGGGCCCGAACAGTCAAGCTCCCTTTGAAGCCAAATGGGGAAGACACCTCGAACGTCCAAATCGCCAAACCAAACCAACAACAGGGGGATGGTGAGATGGCCATGAAATTTAACCGGGGACCACCTCAAAAGTGATTGGAGGACATGAATCCCCACCGAACTTTGATCTCCACCAAAGGGTCCCTTAGTAAAATTCATAGCCAAGCGAATCCGCGAATCGGTTCGGTCGCTTTTGCTGGAGGCCCAGCGGGCCAAGTGCGAGCGGGAGCGCCCGCGAGCGCGGATCGGTACAGCGCGCTGGAAGAAGCAGGCGCCTACGGAAATCCTACGTCACCAAGCTAGGTGCCCTTTGTAACCACCCTTTTTCGGGGTTTTGGGGTCCTCTACTAAAATAGACTACAGCAAAAAGGGTACCCTTATTCTAACTCCTCTACTGGAGGACCTAGTCTCTCTAAACTAGCGTCATTCTGGTAAACTATGTCACACTATGTCCTGCAACAATGCGCATGTATTGCTGAGGGACGGACCCGAACCAATGCGCTTGTGTTGCCGAGGGTACCTCTTTTCTTTTTTTCTCGGATGGCTGTAACAGGAAATCAAACAGGAGCCATCCATTTTGGGGCTTTGACTCTTTCTTATTTGGTTTGCCGGATCTTTGGACCCAAATTCATGACCCCTCCAATGCGCAACCCCGGACCCTCCAATGGAGAACCTCGACCAATTCCTCGAGGGCCCTTGAAAACAACAAGTTTTGAGGGCCCAAAAACAATCGAAACCCTGAAGGACTTTAACTTTTTGGGAAACAGTGGACAATCCATTGGGCCCGCAAAAAGTTAAACTTTGTTGCAGGGGTCAACAGCAACCAAGTCTGGTATGCCGGACTTGAACAATGCGTGTGCTGGCAACAAACAAGGAACCGCCCATTTTTGGAGCTTATCCATTTTGGAGCTTATCCATTTTGGAGCTTATCCATTTTGGAGCTTGATTATCCATTTTGGAGCTTATCTACTTTGGAGCTTATTATCCATTTAGCTTGTCCATTTTGGGGCTTGCGTAAGTGTGAGAAGCCCAACCTTCCATCTGGTTTTTCGACCCCTGGAAAAAGCGAGAACATATTTTCCATTAGTGGATTCCCTTTCAACCCAACAGGGGAAAATATGAAAGTATTCTTAAGCAAAGTATGTTTTTGTTTTTTGTTTTTAAGAACCCCTAAAAGAAGGATCCTAGGAAAAAGTGTCTACAAACATTACTCCCTCCCTCGCCGCTCTCAAAGAACCGGGAACCTGCCCAGGTGCTTTTTGGAAACTCACCAAGGCCCAAAGCAAATCGACATTTTCAAATGTTGACTTCACTTTGGCCCATTCTTAACTAGTCCCTCAGTAGTGCCCTTCTGCCGTTAATTTTTTGGGGGAGGATTCCCCTACTAAAATAGACTACGTAAAAAAGGGCACTCTTTTTCTAGTCTCTCTACTGGAGGACCTAGCCAAGGCCCAAAGCAAATCGACCTTATTTTGTGTTGGTTTCCCCACTTTGGCCCATCCTTAAAGATCCCAAGACAAAAGGGCAACCTTTGATTTCTGGGTCCTGTGGGCAAACGAGGAATTTGGTCCTGTGGGCAAACGAGGAATTTATGTTGCACTTGTTTCTTCGTGATTCAATTATTCTACTTCTCGTGACTTGGGCTACGACAGCACCTCCCGAGCGGCGCTTTTCGCGTTTTCCGGGGGGGCCTAGCCTCTGGTTTGACAAGGGGCTTGCAACCTGTTTTGCCTGTGACATTTAGAATGGATGACGTTACCCTCCCCAATCCCCAACCCACCCAATGCTAGCTGGGATCCGGCCAACAAACCAGTCAGCCAACGAATTCCCTGAGTCTAGAGCTCTGCATATCCGGCGCGGTGCTGTTTTGATGCTTGGGTGCCTGGTAAAGGCAGGCCCAGGCGGGTCTTGGCGGAATCCCCTGTTAGACATTTGTCCCAGACCAACATTTTAATGGGCACCTACTGTGGATGGACAAAATCCTGCACCACCTGAGAAACCCTGGAATGATGATTCCCCAAATGCTAGCAAATCATGCTTTCCCCCGGTGTCAAAGTGGTGCCAGATTTCGTCCACAGTAGGTAAACCGGGAAGCGCCCCAGCATTGAAGAGGTCAGTTTAGCGCCCAAACAAGGTCCAAAAAACACCCCTCCTGAAATGAGAAAGGGGATGAACCTGGGGGTTGGAGTGGCCGAGTGGCCGCTGCCCCGCCTATGGCTAGGTCCCCCAGCAATTGGTGCCCTTTCTCAAATAGACTACAGACCAAACAAACAAAACGGGAAAAAGGGGAAAGAAAACGGTGTCCTTATTCCAACCTCTCAAATCTGGAGGACCTAGAAGAGTGCCCTCAGGGCAACTCAAAGCCAGGATTGGGCGTCGAAGATGTTTAGGTGGTACCTTTGGGCGCGCAGTTGTGGATTCCACCCTTTTAATCCCGTTTTTGTTTGGCTTTCCCGATTTTGCTTTTGGGAAACTGCAGGGTCACCAGTTGCAACCTGGGGGGGGGTTGTCCCCTTGGGATGGCTCGCCTCCGGATCGATGCCCGCGGTTCCAAGGCGAATTGCTCAACCAGTTTCTCGAAGCTAAATTCCTTTGTTTTTTACTTCCATTTGCTTCCTGGGGCCCCAAAACAGCAAAAACTGGCCAGATATGCCTTTTGACCGAAAAAAAAAGAAAGTGGCCTTTCGGGGCTCCAGGTTGAGGATATGTTTGTCTTCTCCTGTTGGTTTTAAAGGGAATCGATTTCACTGCTGGAAATATGTTCTCATTTTTTTGCAGGGGTCGAAGAACCAAATGGAAGCTTTGTTTCAACCAGGGGTTGACAACGCACCACATGCAGAGGCGGGCACTTGGAGGACCCAGGCCGCCTTTTTTTTCTTCCAGGAGCTCTACCTGAAGGAGGAGAGCCTGGAGCGTGCCAAAACCGCCAGCCCTTTGCAGTGCATGGGTTGTGGATGAGGAACCTCTTCAACATGGCGGTGGTTGTCAAATCGGTCGCCCCATGGGCTCCTGAGTGATTCGGAGCATGTTCAAATGGTTGTGGTTGTCAAAAATAGGTACCCAGAAAGGAACCCTGGGAAATGGAGGCATGGACTCAAATTGCGGTCGCCTGGTGGTTTAAGTTTGGCCCATACCCTCTTCAAAAGTTAAGCCCCAAATAAGGCCGGGCTTATCCCCCAGCCCCCATGACTTCAAAATGGGGTCTCCGCCAAAGCAGTTCAATCATTTTTGGGTAGACTAGATCTGAGACAGACGCAGGCATTGTTTTGGAGTTCCCCACATGTGGGCCAAGCAGCTAGCAAAGATTGTGCTACAAATGGTAGCTGGCTCAACAACCATGGTAGTGAAACAAAGCAAAGGTAGCTACTTAACTAGCTTACTAGTTCACTAGCTTGCTAGCTTCTTAGCATACTCTCGAACTAGTAGGCTATTGTGCCTGATTTGGTCCATCCATATTTCCTAAGCTACAGTACGCTGTTCTTTGATCAAGTTTGTTGGTTCCTTGTTTGTTGGGTTCTGTTCATTGTTTTATGTTTTAGGTTCGGGGCTGCAAAGAACAGACTTCTAGAGGTTGATTCCCCATTTTTTTCAACCATCGTTCTTTTCAAAAACCGGCTGTTTCTCTAGGTTTCTGATGGTTTCCTGAAAAGAAATTCGGATCCCTGGGTAAGTTAGAATGGAAATGGAAGTTACCCCTAGAATGTTTGCCCCCCCCCCCCCCACATGTTGACACCATATAGTTCCAAGCAAGCATCACCCCACAGGAACCTCATTTGAATTTGCCCAAACGGTACCCCTACAAGACTCGTACCCTAGAACCATAGCCTTTCGATCCCCCCATTTGCATTTTGTTCATTTTTTGGGTGGGGGGGGGCTGCAAAGAACAGGCTCGGTTGGTCCGAGAAGACTCGGTTTTTTGCCGGTGGCTCTAAGCCACCAGCGCTTCGGTCACGCCGCTGTCAGAATTTCACCCAGGCCGGCAGCACCTGATCCGGCAGAGGCTGCTGTTTTTGCGGCCCGAGCAGTTGCCCGCGGCCCAGAGTTAGATCCCGGCGGCACCTTGCATGGTCGACGTAGCAAAATGGTTAGTACCCCTGGATTTGGGCACATACAGCCATGCTAACGTAGTGGATCCAAGCACCTCGAATGTTTCACCCCGGAGAGGATACAACCATGCTAAGTGGGTTACAACCACAGAAAGCTAACCACTTAGTAAGTCCCAGACCATTTTCGTACCGCACCAATCGCCTCAGTTTTCTTGGTTTCACCAAAATCTTCCCGAGACCTGGGCATTGCTCACTGGGGGATCTGGTTTTGCTCACAGATTCCCGCGTTTCTTGGGTCCCAAGCCAATTCTTCCCCAGTAGCTCCTCTTGTTGGTTTGTTGGCCTTTTTCTGGGTTTTTTCCCCTTTGTTTTCCCACTCGCCAAGAATATGTTTCCTGTGTTTTTCTGTGTTTTTTCCTGTTTTTTCGCCGGGTTTTCTCCTTCCGGCCAAGATCTCAGGTCTTATTGTGACAGGGCCCCCGAAAAGACGCCCAGGGGCCAATGAACGCATCACCTCTGCCGGCTGACTGAGCGGGGAATTCCTGGTGAAGCAGGTTGCTTTTCGGATGGTATGGGTTCTGAAGATTTTGACTGGAGGATGAAATGAGTTCATTAAGTTTATAGTGCTCCGTTTATGCTCTATCGTTTTCTTCTTGCATTTCTTCATCATAATCGTCATCATCATCATCACCATCATCATCATCATCATCATCATCATCATCATCATCATCATCATCATCATCATCATCATCATCATCATCATCGTTTATCATCGTCATCATAATCGCCATCATCATCTTCATCTTCATCTTCATCGTCATCGTCATCTTCATCATCATCGTCATCGTCATCGTCGTCATCAACATTGTCATCATTGTCATCAACGTTTTGTCAACTTTGTTCATCTTCTTCCAAAATGGCAGCTTCCTTTAAGTGCCCCGGTTGGAAGCCCAGGAATCGAGGGCAGGAGGCAGCCCTTTCTTTCCGTTGCAAAAGCGAGCCTGGGGGCCATGAAGGTACCGGGCCACTTACCTCCCACCAACATGGCACCTGGCAGGGGTGTCTACAAGAAGAAACTGTTAGTGGGAAGGAGGGTACAGTTTCACTTTTTGCCATTTGGGTTTCCAGCAGTGGCAATTGCAGCAAATTTGTTTTTTGGGGCCCGGATTTGTGTGATCTGAGATGGCTATATAGATGGTTTGGGGACTTAGCTATTGGGTTAGTATCCCTGGGCATATCCCACAACAGCCATGATTGTAAGTTTCTAAACCAGCGCAACGGCCAAGGATTTCGCTAAGCCCCCACACCATCTAAGTGGTATGCTTTGGTCTCCTGCATGTCCGATTTTTCCCCAGAGTGACAGGTGGGCTTAATGTTGGGTGGGGTGGGGGGTCCCTCCAAAAGTGCGAATTCCCCTCTAAACCCAGGGACGTCTGCTTTCGAGGTCTGAGATTATCGCCTTGCAGACGCTCGCCCGATGGTGTGCGAGCGGCGTGTGGCCATGAATTTTAACAGGGGATCAGCTCCACAGTGGCGGACTTTTGAATAGCCACCAACATGATGTCCACCAAAGGGTCCGCCAAAGGGTCCGCCAAAGGGTCCGCCACCAAAGGGTCCGCCACAGAGAGAGAGAGAGAGAGCGAGATATATATATATATATATATTCTCACTCCATGGTAGACCACAAGGTAAGCTATGTTTGCGCGCTACGATTCGCATTTTCGGATGCCCGTGGCGTTGGCACAGGGCTCTCGTGATTGGTTCGGGGAAATCTCCAAGGCACAGTACTTGTTGAGGGCACGGAGGGCGTATCTTTTCACACCCCCGTTAGCAGCATGGCGCGGGCCGAGGTTGTCTACATTAGGTCGACTTTTTTTCAGGGAGCCAAGGGGAAGCACTTGAGCATATGTCCCATAAGGAGAAGCTGGAGGATTGGGGTGGGGTATGCTCAACGAGTTTGGCTGGATGTGTCCTGGCAGTTTTGCGCATCTCCAAACGATAAGGCACCCGGTTGCGAGAATGTTGGAAGGGCCAGGGCAAACTAACATGGAACCCAAACAGGGGTCCAAGGTAGAGTCGGCTATGTGAAGGACCATGACTCAGAAGCCATGGTTGCGAGCTGGCGAAGCTGGCGAAGCTGTCTGGAAAAATGAGGTCCCAGAAAGTGATTGCCTTGTTATCGACCTTGAAAACTTGCGGTCCTCAGCAGGGAATGAGGAAATGGCCGTCACAAACCATCCCTTGTGGTTTTCTTTCAAGCCAGACCCTCTACTTCTCGCACCATCAAGAAAAGGGAACTCCTTTTCTCACGTCCTGAGTGGACTGGCCAACAAAAGGAACCACACGTTCTGTTTAGTGGCTGGTCAATTAGTATGGCTGTGGGTCAAAACCAATGGCACCATTTTGGGGTAGGTGCATCACCCATTTTAGTCTATTTTAGTGGGGATTGGGATGTTCGCTGGGGGTCCGGGATTTTGACCCATGGCCATAGGGGCTCCTCAAAAGATACATTTTGCCCATTTGAAACATGGCTTTTTCCACCAAAATAAATGGAAACCACCGTTTACAAGGCAATGTTCAGGTGTACAATGCAAGGATCCCTGCCATATGGGTCAATATTGCCCTCAAAGGACAGGCCCATGGCTCTTCCTCTCGCGCGCTCGAGGCATTTGCTGTGGCTGGACCTGGAAGATGCGTCCCTGGCTGCCGAAGACCGGCGCAGCGAGGACCGCTTTACAGGCCACCGGGATATGGCGATGCCCTGGTCCTTTGTGGCCGTTTCGCACCGAAGAAATCCCTGGGGCCTGATGTTTCCCAGGTTTAAAAAACCGGCAAACAGTGGTTTCGACCATCGTTTCTGAGGTGGTGCGAAACGGATTTCGCCACCATCCACTGCAGTTACTGTTTTGTTAGGCTGCAATGGCTCCGCTTGCTATGGCTCTGAATCAGTATGTCAACCGTCGTTTTGTGGGTGGTTTCACTTTTAGAGATGTGACCCAGTATACACACACGCACACACCAAACCGACCAAACGCCTTTCCAAAAAAAAGCGCGAACCTCAAACAGCAACATGACGCGCGCACACACCCACACACACGACAAATGCCTTTACAATCAGCAAAACACAACCAACAAGAAGCATAACAGCACACACACACACACACACACACGCACACACCACTCGCGCTTGTGCACGGCGATTGCGCAGGTGCAGGCGCAGGCACACGTACATCCACACGCACTCGCACATCACACCCACTCACACTCACACGCACGCTCACTAACCGCACAAGCAGACGCAACACACAATACGCCATACATCTTTTGGGGAAGACAGTGGGCAAACCACGCAACAACAAGGCACAACGCGCACTGTTTAGCCTCTTCCGCTAGGTCCGGACGAGGCGGTTTGCGAGCAGCTGATCCTCGACGCGCCTCGAGAGCTCTTTGTCGTTGCCGCCCGGCGATGTCCTGGGGAACGGTGAGCTGCACTGGGGCCGGGATCGGGCAGGTTGTGGTGCCCAAACACGAAATGTCTGCTTTGAGGGTCTTTAGCCAAGCACAAAGGTGCCAATACTAAGACCCGCAATGTGCGTATCAAACCTCCCTTTTTCTGCTGGTGCTCAGCATGGAATCAGGGAATGACCCCTATAAGCCAGCCCCCAGTGTCTCATTCCCTACCTACCGCACCAGCAAGTTGTTGTGACCTTTGAGGCAAATAGTCAACACTTTGTGTGAACCAAGGGGTTGCTTTAAAGGCAAACCCGCCATTTTTTCGCCTCCCCCCTTTTAAGCCGCCCATGTCAGGCCCACACGTCGCGAAACCCGGGCGCCGGGTTTAGAGTTCCGTTCCTTTCGGCGCAGTTCCCCGAGGACGGGCAGGAGTTCGACTTTGCGTCGGAGGCGCAAGGCCTCGGGGTGGAGCTGGACGGCGCTTCGGCCAAGTCTCTACTTGAAAGCTGAGCCAATAAACCTCAGAAAGAAGGGGTGCGACCACTGAAGGCCAATGAAAGAGGCCACATTTTGCTGGACTGCTATTGGGCAACGGATCTTTAGACTGAACAACTTTTTGGTGGAAATCAAGTTGGGCTTTCCACCGAACCCTCAAAAAGTTGAACTTGTTGCAGGGGGTCAACAGCAACCACGTCTAGGGGTGGATTGTTCCATTCTTTTCACAGGGAGGTGGGCCAAACAGCCGTGGAAGTACCTCAACCCGGTTCTTCCGTGATACCATGTTTGCCGGTTTTGCTTGTCTACTAAGGCCGGTCGACCCCAAGATTCCTCCTTTTCTCCCGGTAACCTCCCTTTTCTGCAGCACTGGACAATGGGTTGCTCAGTGCCCCACGGTTTCCTGTTGACACACATTTTCCCCCGTTTTTGCTGGGCTCCAATTTGCACCTTTCGATACCAATTTCGAAGCTCACTCCCGGAGTTCAACTTGAAGCTTTTCAGGAATACCATTTTAGCCACCAAACAGAAAGTGTGGTTCCTTTTGTCTCACTCCCTGAGTTCATGGACTTTATACTTTTTGGGAAGACCATTCTGGTGGTAAACAAAAAGTTCGGACTTTTTTTGGCCAATCAACTCAGGAAGCAAGGGTTCCTTTTGTTGGCCATTCCACTCTGGTGAGAAATGATGGTTCCTTTTCTTGCTGGTGCTCAGGGTTTGGGAATGAACCGTTTCGTGATTCGTAAGGAAACCAAATGATTTTCCAGGTTTCTTCCAACTCACCTGCCAATCGCACCAACAGGTTTTCAATGTCTCGTTTTGGGGGTGGTTTCAAAGAAGACTTTCAAGGGAGACCAAAAGGACAACACTCATTTTTAGGATGCTTCCATTTGCTTAAGAATGTGTTTTTTCTTGTTGGCTTTGAAGGGAATCTATCACTACTGTTTTTTTGTTTTTACTATATTTCCCCAGGGTCTTAACCAAGTTGTTAGGATCTTACTTTGCCCAACTCGATGTCTTTGGGCCTCGGGGAAAATTGAGCTCCCAGGCAACCGCCTGGAGCTCATGAAGCAGCAGTTCTGCGCCTCCCGGAGGTAAAAAGAAAACAGCGAGCCCACTTAATGTAGGTAGTTTTTTTTGTTTTTGTTTTTTTTTTTTTAACTCTTTCTTTTTTTAAGACATAGTGATTATGACAAATAGTAAACTTGATATTAAGACAGATTTGAAAGTCTGATCATGAATCAGAAGTTGTAAATAAGATACTAGATGGAACCGTTGCATCGCCTTTTTCTGTTCCAAAATCTCAGTTGTCCAAAGCCGAGCAGAAATGACATTTGTTTTCCCCCTCATTTTGGCAACCAGTTTTGGCCATGGGCCCAAAAGGCTAAAACTTTTCAATTCTGGGTCCTTTGGGCTGAGAAGTTCTTGGGGTGACTTTCCTGTGATGTTCAAAGGAGTTCCTCGGACTTTGGTGACGTTTTCTTTCGCCTTGGACCTTTGGTCGTGAATAGCTTTGGTTCCTTCCCCAGAGGGTCCCTTGGCACCTTCTAAGGTACTGAACGATCCCTTTTTACCCCCCAAAAGCCATCAACTCATGAGGTGCCAAGGGACCCTCTGGGTTCTTTTCTTTGGTTGCCAACTTGGGAAGTGAGAAAGTCCCTTTCAGACTGATCGGGTTGTAGAATTGCAGGTCCTTTGCTCTCCTCCTTTTGCTGCAGTTGCACGGTTCACTTCCAACCATTCTTTCCAGGCGGCGTCCGTTCGGGGAAACGGCTGGTGATTGAAAAGACCTGTGGCGCATTCCAGCATTCCTTTCTCGGAGGGGAGTTCCGTCTAGTCCAGGATGCGAAAACCTTTGTCCTGTCCTTGGGCAGGATGGGAATGTACGCCAACCACGACTTTTCACCAAAACTTTGGTTGCCTGGACTCCACTTGGGTTTGCTCAAAGGCCCGATTTGGAGTACTTCAAGGTAAGGAACCGTTACTGAAACTCCCTGGCGAGCTCACCTGTTGAACGAGCTCACCATGAAGGCCCTTTTGCGGATTCCTTGCTTGACTTCCATTTGCTTAAGAGTATGTTTATTTTCCCCTATTGGTTTTAAAGGGAATCTATCACTACTGGAAATATGTTGCTTTTTCCTCCCAGGGTCTGAACCAAATGGAAGTTGAGGCTTTTTAACTGTACAATACGTGTAGGTGAAGAAAAGGCGACCTCGGCAAACCATCCTTTAGGATCCTTTTGGGGCGAACCCATCCCTGCGTTGATTTGTTCTCAAGCGTATGGCCCTCGCACCCTCACCCAGCACTGGCAGGTTTACCATGCGATCTACTTTAGCTTCCTTGTTGTTATGTTCCATGTGCGATCTTATGGCTGTGTTGCATTGTTTTACTTGGGGCTGCTATTTTTGTGTTACTTTTACTTGTCAGGATCTTCTGCCATTTATGTTTATGTTTGTTATTTTCGTTCAAGCCGTACTTAGAGCAACTTTACTGGACGCTAAGCAGCCCAAAGCTGGATTGTTTGTTGTTTTGTCAGGACCCCTGTTTAACGCCCGGTTTACTCCCCACAACAGTGTTCTCAGAACCCCTTCGGGATAGCTTCCGAGTCATCATCATTTTTCGTTTGGCGAGTTCCTGAGGAAACATGGTCAACCGTGAAAAGGCCCCCTTTTTCTACCAGGATCACTGGTCAACTGGGAATGCGAAACCAAAAGGAATCTAACGACATGTTGGGTCCTTCCATTTTGAGACGGCCATATTGGGCCTGCCTCCTGTCCCATAAACTCCTGTCTAACATGGAACTCACCACAAGTTGTGAGATCTTCGCACCCTTACGTTGTTAAACTCACTTCCTGTAAAATACAAGGTTTCCCATTCACTCAGGAAGTGAGTAAAGTGAAAAGGAGGGTCCTCAGATTGATCCTGGGCCCCTCCTCCTCGTGCGGGGGCCGCTTCGCGTTTTTCTCAAGGACCGGGTGGTGGCAGCGTTGCGCCACACCCTCGAAAACGCGCCGCTGGCTTTGCTCAGGGCGGCCGCCTGGCCAAATGGGGTGTGGTTGGGCCGAAGAATAGGCATGGTTATCTGGGGGTGTCTTGTCTTAGTGGGCCCCAGAATGGCCCCAGATT